AACATAATGCCTCCGGCTACTTCGTAACGGAGGCATAAAAATGTAAAAAAAATTCTATCAAACCTTACTTGTATGCCATGGCCAATTTGTATGAATGTAGGCTTGCTGGAATACTTGACCTCAATGTATAAGCTTGTTTTCCTTTGCGTGTTTGGCTCGCAGACCACAACCTGTTCTCCATCATGTCATAACAACAACCATGTTTTCGTTTCGTGTTCGTGTTCCCTCTGATGCAAGTTATGCTTTCGTAACTCAATATCTCTATTCTTTTATGATTATTTAGAAAAATCTTGGTAAAACAGGGTAGGTTTGCATTAGTGCTGTATGAGTATCATCCCATGATTGTAATACGTATCTAACCACAAAGTACGGTAAGTGCTTTGCTCCAGGTTTTTTCCTCAGAATTTTAGTTTTGTTAGTTGCTTTTTTTTTCTTAAAATTATTTCCAGTCAAATGAATCATATCTGAACTGTTTCAATAGAATATTTCTTCAAGATGAACTATATAATTTAATATTTTCAAATTTTGTTTGTCATTGTGTTAAAACTGGGAAATTATTATTTATTCCTTTAAAAAAAAAATAATTTTAAATTGACACAAGATGTAAATGCCAACCAAATTTTCACTGTGATGAACTACTGAATAATTAACAGAACGATAGATGTAGATCTTCACATACTTTGTATGTTTCTCAAAAAAATCTATTCAGGTATACCCCAAGAAATGGATTAAATCATCTTCAAAATTGTTTGTGCAATGATTAGGGTGAAATTGATACTATTTTCAGGCTGTAGGATGCAATATTCTTTCCTTTTCATCCAGTCAGAACTTACTGTAATACATTGTATTAAGTGCTTTTCTGATAAACTATTCACCACACTCATGACCCAATTACATGATTTAAGTTTCATTATCCATTCATTAATCAAAATATGATTAAATTACCTGTGCGTCCATTCTGCAATAAAATGCAATTGACGGCTGGATCAGATTTACACCGTAGACACATTTTTCCCTCATTATTACAAAACCATCCTTTGAGTCTGCAAGACATGTTCTGTTTCGCTCTAGGCGAGCAAACAGTGTATGAAACAAATATCCTTGATAATGTTTACAGGCATAATATCTCATGAATGCAATTTTATAAAGGCCCCTTGTATACATGTAAATGAGAGAGAGAGAGAGAGAGAGAGAGAGAGAGAGAGAGAGAGAGAGAGAGAAAGAGAGAGACAGACAGAGAGACAGAGAGATAAAAGTCTAAATGCATTATTCAAGTTCTGTTTCTTGATGACAACTGGCAACTTCTTTTATGAACAATGTGATGTACAGTATAATTATAAGATCATCATTAATAATATTTACCTCTAGGTCCAGGTAAATAAACTCATATGAGAATAAGAAACATAATTTTATAAGATCAAAGCTCTATTAAAACAATTAACACTATTTATATTTTTTTTTACATGACTCAAGCACATTGATTACACTGCTGCTGAGGCTAGAAAGATATGTGCATCATGTAGAAATACATACCTAGCTTAATTTTAAACAAATTCAAAAATACAATGGGGGAGGGAGGGTAAGGGGTCAGAGTGTTTTTGCCTCCAGGGCTACCGAATTATACATATTAGGAAGGCCTCCAAAATGGTTGAGTTTCCTTCTTTTAGGGTAGATTATCCCTCCTACATGTAATCTTAAAAAGTACCCACATAAATGAAAGAAAAATGTATATGCCAAGCTAGCGTGTACACAAAAAGTATGAAAGTAACGGTATTTATAGACAAAATATGTATGAAGAAGAAAAACAAAGCATAAATACACTAGGAGTTTACCCTGAAAAGAAGTTGACTTTTGTAAAAGCAGTTTTGACAAACAGTTTTAGTTTGAGGAAAATCTGATACAGGAAAAAAGAAACGTATCTGAAGTTTTACATTTCATTACAAATGTGTATCTCTGATATTTCCATTGCAAGCAGATCTCTAATTATTTTTCCTTAAACAAATTATTAATTTTATCTCTCAGCAAATGAGAATTTCATGTACTGTATATATCATACCTGTGCCCTAGACTTTTTGTTGGAACCCTGGTTTTACAGATGCCTCTGTGCAATAGATGTATTCCTTAACCTTTAATCAACATTTTCTGATGATTCTTACTTTTAGGTACAAAACAAAGAGAGAGCTGCTCATAAGGTAAAGCACAGAGTTGCTCACATGTGTTTGATCAATATCAACTTTAATAAAAGTATGGATTTCTTATTCTTTATCCATATTTTTCTCAAACTTATACCTGGATGTTTCTATTAATTATCGTTATTTCAGCTTTTGTTAACACATTCTTAATGTCAGGGTGTATGCCTCCTCCTTTCAGAACAACCTTCTTTGCAAGGCAAGAGTTGTGGAATTATTTCTCAGGCAGCTGAGTGGAAATGAATTATAGCTCTACAAAGCCGACAATCTGGAGATGATTAACATTTATTATTCAGACTTTACAAAATGAAATCCCCTTTCACTCTTAATACCTCGCAGGAGAGGGATTTGGGTGCAAATTCCTATTTTTGAATTAATGAACAGCATAAATTATATCTAATGTATGCAATCAATGTAAGAACAAAAAAAGCTTATTGCAGAATCATTTGAATTCCTCTTTCGAACCATCAAGCCTTGATGGTGATCAACGGCTAAAAAGGGATGAATATTCACAAAGCAAAGTAAATATTAGCTTTACTCTTTACTTAGAGCCAATAGAATGATTCTATGTGTATTCATGTGAATATACATACCTATACATTAGAGAGTTATCTATTAATCAAAGGGGAAGTTCGTCTCAAGTTAATTTTCATTTGCATAAAGGTACAAACATGAGGAAAAAATGGTTTGTAAAAGTGTGAAAACAAATCAGATGAAGGAAATTGGAAAGTTACCTGCACATGTAAGATTTTTTTCGAAATAAACACATTAAAGGTACTATGTCTCATTTGCAGGCCAAAAAAATGAAAAAGTTAAATTCCAACTGCATTTGAAAGATAATACTAATTTAGAAATTCCCTAAAAAAGGTGGGGCTTGAAAATGTCTTCAAGTGGGAAAATAACGACTATTACTTGTCAAATCGACTTTAGGGCTATAGAGCCCAAGAGTAATAGTCTTGATTTTCAGACAATTGTACCGAATGGTCATACGTTTTATGCTGCGCAAAGATTCAATCAATTTAATCTTGGCCATCACAAGAAGTGGGTTATTGATGTAGACAAATGCTCATGTACCCTTTACAACTCTTTTCATGTATGTTATTACCAAAGAAGAAAAAAAAGCCAGTCAGTCACTCAATAGTGTCTGGCAGTGAAGTCTAGCAAGTAAACGGGTTTCCTTGCATAATTCAAAAATTAGGGCACTGCTAACGTTTAAATTTCACAGATAGGACATACATGACATATTCATAATTCCTGCAAAGTTGAGGTCGGCTGCAAAAGGGACATAGTACCTTTAAAGAATGCAAAACATGCTCTTGGTATAAAAGTCACCGTAAAAGTGAAAGGGTAATCCATCCTTAGTAATGAGTTCATTTGTATAAATGCAGAAAAATAAGAGAAACAGAATGGAGAAATTTAGAAATGAAAAGGACCGATAATAATGAAGTTGTGAGTATTTGAAATATGAGATCTCTAAATCTATGCGAATCTAAAATTGGTCATTTGTCATCTACAAACAAATATCTTAAATTTCTGTTTTCTTCCAAGCACTTGCTCCCTTGGGCTTGGGGCAATACTTGAAATATATTATGGATAGCATATTATTAAAGGGCCTCTAACAAGAAATGGTCCTGCTGAGCTTTACTTATTTCACTTTTATTTTATTCACTTTGTGTGGAATGGAAAAGTTGTCGGACACAATGTTAAAGGGATATTTCTGATTCAGCCAATTTGAATATACCTACAGGCTATAGTGATTACAGTTTTTAATAATTCATAACTTTTTTCTTTTATGTTCATCTACTTTTAAACTTTCACAAGTCTGCTTTTCTGATTTTTATGCGTTCTATTAGAGTAATTTGCTTTAGGTAGGATTTTCCTTTAAGTTTGATAATTGTGTTAAAAATTGTAGCTAAATTTTTTTTTTACAACATTCACAAAAGATATCACTATAAAACTATTCACAGTTTTAAATTTAACCATTACTCATCCTACTAAAATAGCAAGGTTAACACTTACAATTCGGGGTCCAGTTATAACATTTTAGAAATATCACATCTCTGAAAGAAAACATTCTCACAGAAAATTGAGTGCAACAATTTCACATCCTCACTATAACTTGCTAGTAAGAAGAGGTTTTAATAAACAAGGCCTCAAACTTTGTATTACAAAACCAAATAATACACCGAAAAAGTCAATTTCAGCACTGATGAAACAGACTCAATAAAATTACCGAGAAGAACCAATAGATCTAATATGCCAACAATCAAGGCCTCAAGATATCCTATCACATAACTGTTATAAAAACCATGATCCGAGGGGAATTATGAGTGGGACAAGGATTGGAAATCTTCCATACAATATACTCCATTCTAATTAGCCATCAAAGTTCTGGAAAGCTAGTAAGCTATTTGAGAGATTAACTCCAGCACTACAAATGCACTTATGATACTATCACACTCTTAGAGATGCCCATTAACAGATCAAACCATCCTCATTTTACAAGCAATTATAAAAATAATAATATTAAATATAACTTATAAAGAGCCAAATCCACTCTGTGTAGTGCTCAAGTCGCATTAAATGCCAATCCTAATCCATCATCATCACAATCTACAATATATAATTCTTTTGGAGGGGATCCATCAAACAAATGGACTGCTAAGTCAAATATGACAGAAAATTAAGAACTTTGCAGAAAATAATGATTACACATTCAGGGCCTAGCAGTACTTGAAAGAGATGAATGATAAATAGAAATGGATTCATAGAATAAATTTGATTCACTTTCTAAAGAAGTAGGCTTCTTACCTGCATCTCCCTCAAATCCAAGCACTTTCCTGTGACCGCCATGACTTAAAACTCTTAATAATGTTTGGGCTGTGAATGCCACTTGGTCCTGAAAGAATAAATAGAGAAATGTACTTAACATGATACAAACAAATTTTACTTCATCAAATACATACAATTTTGTTAAATTCTTTCATACATGATTCATACATGTATCAATATCCTATTTATTCTTGATTTTGCTGTTAAAAATATTCTGGTTCTATGTAATTGGAATATTGTTCATTGTATTTTTTTTTAATTGGGACCCTGCTCACTAGCGTTTCGCTTTTAAGGGTATCTCACCATCTTATTTCATGTTTTTATTGCTGTTATTTTGCCCATGTACTTGTGTTCACATTGTTTTAAAATGAAAAATGAATGAAATTGAATTGAATTGAATTGATTTGTTTAAGAACGATTTCATGAACAAAGAAAATTCAAATTCCTTTGTCGAGCCAACTTTACGATACACAATATGTTAGTAAAATCATCAAATGTAAATCATGTAATGTTACATTTACAACACAAAAGGGCTGACTTACAATGACTTACCAAGTACACTAAAAGTGTTCAAAGATGCTCACAATGTTTGTGTATAATAGGTCAAGGGGGCCGAAACCATCCCCATCCCGACCCGGTGTACATGTATATTCACCACAATGTTAAGGAATAATTGCTTTTGCAACATGAGTTTATATAAAAATATAGTCTAGAACCTGCATCTTTTCATACCAAATTTATACAATTTCAACAATGGAGTACAATGCAGCATGCAGGAAAAAAATGTACCAATGGCAGCATAGTAACAGATATTAAATAAATCAAGATCCCTAGCAAAGCATCAGCTGTTTAAACCAAAGCTCATCAATATTTCAGTTTTACAACCTACAAGTTGAAGGCTGCGTCTTTCAATATTAAAAACACAGATCCTCGTCTGCAAAAATTAAATTATTCACACGGTCAGTCTAGCTGACAGTGGTCAAAAGTCTACACCCAAGACTTGTGAATTTTTGATGAATGTTTCAGTTTTATGTCAGAAAATGTGGGTGTTATGCATGTAATAGCAGCACTAAATAATGTGCATTGTTTGATGCAGGTAAATTCATATAGTCCAGTAATGCTCTATTCTGCTTTAATATGTGCTCTTAGTGGTTTATGAATATGATAACGCAGACATCCAGGCACTAACCCAACCTGACATTAGTCAAAGTTGAAAGGTCATTAAATATTCTCATAACTAGAGGCAGAGGAGTAATTTCAAAGGTATTCTTTTTAATTATCATCACTATAGTTTTCTAGTTCATCATCACTTTCTTGATTGATATTCAACCATGTGTTGTTAAAGTAAATTCTATTAGAAGTACCATTAAAGCAAAATTTTACTCTGATGCTGTTAATTTTGTATGAATCTTCCAAGGATAGCATATAGATCTATGTCTCATACAATATTCATGCTCAGGAAAGCTTCAAATATTCATAAGGACTTATCAGTAATTCCCATGGATGGCATATAAGAATTCCAACAACAAAATGAGGATGTACCATCTCTTCTTTCTTTTCAACCTCTCTCATTTCCTTTAATTATGCTTTCAACTGTGTTTCTTTAGTTCCTAGTTACTTCTCGTAATATTTTAAATGGAAGTCGATGAGCATGGCATAGAAGTCTATTTGAAGTACAACTCTACTTGTTTCAAACTTAAACCAGTACCTGCTAACTATAGTTACCTGATCACATATAGGCACAATTTAAACCCATGTAAGAGCAAAGATTTAGTTTGTCAATTTACAGGCGCCAAAGGTAAATTTCTTTATCCTGTAGTGTGTGAAAATGACCATATTTCTTTAATTAAATGAAGGTTTCAACTATTATTATGAAAACTCCTTTTACTTGTGCATTTCTGGACTAATTCGGTTTGCTTCATCAATCCTGGTACATTACAAATATAATTGCAGAAATTTGATCTACATGGAAGGGTTGACACTTGGTAGAACAAATAGATAAAATATTGCCAAAAGATTCATCAAACTGAACAAAAAATAAACCGAAAAGCCATAACTGTGAATGTACAGAGTTGATGCAGAGCTGCCCTCAGCTTTGCTGACTGTACAACATACATGTACATGTATTTGGTAAAATAACAACCCTGATTCTATGACATCAGTGTAAAAATCAATGTCTTTGTTCACAGGAGATCTATACGGATTGCTACAGTTTTTCATCAAAGTGACTCTTATCATGTGAATCGGAAATATGCCAGGACAAGAAATATCATACTGTAACTTCATGAGGAAACAAAGAAGCATCGCTACAAACATTTCTTACTATCAACAACTCTATAATCATCTATGCGATGTTCATTTCTGCATCACACTCTCTAAAGTACATTATCATAAATCCTTGAATTAATTGACTTTGCCACATACACCTAAAATATCATCAATGAAAATGGAGACCCGTTAAAAAGTGTCTCGGTGAGAAGATTATTGTGCACCGATACTGGTGCCACAGACTAAGAAGCGTTTTATGAAAATGTTTTCATTTCACAGATCACTTTGAAATGGGTCGAGGAAACGACCCAAGACATATTATCAGTTACCAAGTGTCCTCTTGACTTTTAAAGGTGTCAGACAGACATCTGCACGGGACGATGACTCCATGAATATTGATACCAGTCTGCATCGTGGTTCATCCAATCAGATGTAGCTTGAATTACGATAAGGATCGCTATTAATAAAGAGGTCTCCGGCAGTAGCCAAAAAATAACCTTATGGTCTTGTAACTCGGAATGTCAAGTATACTCGTATAGGATATTTGATATTCGAGATAGATTTACAAAAAAAGGAAGAAGAAAATGGTGTGAGATAATGAGATGCACATGACAAAGAGAGAGCCTGAAAAATGAACAGAGGCAGACGGAACGAGAGAGAGAGAAGGGTAGAGAGGGAGAGAGATATATAGAAAGAGAGCAAAAGAGAGAAGCCCAATCCAGACAAAAATAAAGACAATGGATAAACCCAAGAATGGAGTAAGCCAGAGACACACAGAGCCAACAAGATGTAAAATGAGACAGAAAATTTAGACTAAACGAATAACATGAAAATAAGGAGAGCTATGGAGGAAGAAAGGGATAGAGGAATGATAGAGATACATGCTTTCTTGATGTGATGAGTCTATAATCTTCACCTAGTAAGAGAACACATTTTTCGCTGATAGCTGCAGCTGCAAGCACTCTTATCCTTACCTTCAATGTAATTCTAAACCAGTCAACATTACAATCCATTATTCTAATTTTCATCCACTGACCACCCGTTTGTGCTACTTCTGTTTGTTACCTTACATCGTTTCATTCCCTTTAACCAGTACGAGATGACAACGATCGTTTTGAGGATTCAAATACACACCCTCAAACTTTGATTTGAAAAACTATTGTTTGGCTGATCTATAATTCTATTTGCAAGTATCCTCCATACAGCTTGAGGGCATATATCATGCATGACCTTAAAACTTGGTTCATCAAAGCCCAATGCTAAATTGTTTTCAGCTTTTGGTTAGATGTGGCCACGGGCTACATCTCTATTGCAGAATGTTGATCTAACAGCCCAAGTCAGATGCATCATTTTGGGCAAACAAACAAGTGATGGATGTATTTCATCAAAAGCCTTCTACATCTTCCAATATATGCTGATATTGAGGGGAAATCCCAACCGTTTACGCTGCATAAAAGAGGCGGTGGGTTGACTACAACTCGGAAAGTAGAACAACACTTCCTGTATGTCTGGATTTCTGTCATCTTTAGTTTTAAAAACGACATTGTTACTATTATGTGTAACAAGTTCACAAGCACAAATTGGCGCCTTCAACTGCACCTCGGGTGGGTTTTTGAACTCGCACCTTGCTTCCTACCGACGGTATCGGCAATTTTTTGTTTTTAAATAGGGGTGCGTCTTATACACTGAGATTTACGGTAGTGACGGTTATACTTACTTTTTGTGATAATATTATTATTTTATTAGTTTTTATCTTTGAATGAATTCTTGTAACCTTTATGTAATAATTGTTGTAAGTTCCCTATGTTTCACATGATTTTATTGTAAACTTAATGTAATTCAGCTTGGGCAACTTTTTTCACTGTTTTTAATGAACCAATTCAACTCAATTCGTTATCAGCAGGAAACTCACCTGGTGTTCTAGCGAGAGTGAAGTGTGAATTCTGACCCCGCCTCCTTCACAGGGGTCGATGATCCCCACAGATCGTGGGAGAAAGAACCCAGCGGAGAGGAGAGACAAGCAGCGTCTGAACGCAATGCTGATCTGAAGGGGGGCATGTGATGGGTTGTTCATAACGCAGTAGTGAGCCTGTCCAAAAGAACAAAACAGAAATGAAATGTTAACAAAATGACCAGGGCCCTGTTTCACAAAACTTATCACCAATAACAAGTGGTAAAACCCTATACAAAATTTGCTCTCAGCCAATCAGATCTCCTGATATTAGGAGCTTATAACAGGTATTTTAACTTGTTATTGATAACAAGTTTTATGAAACAGGGCCTAGAACAGCTGTGATTGCCTGTACTAGGCAATATTTTTCTTATACCAGAGGTAAATGATTACGATAGACATGGTTTCCATTTACATTTTTCTGATTGTATTGGATGTATGAATTTGGTTCGGTTGAAATATCTTGGACGGTACTCAACTTAGTGTGTCATTAGGGTTTTGGGGGGATTTCCATGAGAATTTTACCCCTACAACTAGAGAGCATATCTTATTTCCATGATTACTTCAGTTTTATTGAAATCCAATAAATAGTTGTCATGTCAAAATTGTCAAGTGTTCTTTCATACGACTCTATGATCTTCCGACTACTAATCATAAATATGATTTGAAATATGTTTGTTTGAAATGGCTTCAACAGATCTAAAGCTAATGACGTTAAAGATATTCCAATGTTAAAAGCGAACACAGATGTGGATTGGTTAAAGGACACCTCGGTTTCACTGTGAAATATGCATAAATACATTTAAGCACTTCCATGAACATACCAAGCCCAACCTACATGTAGTTATATAGAATCCATTTTAAGACACTTCCTTAATAGATAAGAGGTTGTGGGAATTGAATTTACAAGATGCAGTAGTGTCTCCTACTTTGAACGTAAGTCTAAAAATCTTCTTTTTTTTATCAACACAAGGGGTGCATTACTGATAGTAAAAACAAAAATGCCACATATATGACTTAATCATAAGTATTGAGACAGAAGACAGAGAAATAAGAGAAAGAGACAAAGAAAAGAAAGAGAGAAGAAAAGAGGAGGGAGAGAGAAAGAGAAAAAGAAAGAGGGAGAAAAAAGAAAGAGAGAGAGAAAAAAAGAGAAAGAGAAAGAGAGAAGAAAAAAGAAAAAGAGAAAGAGAGAAAAAAAAGAGAAAGAGAGAGAAAAAAGAGAAAGAGAGAAAAAAAGAAAGAGAAAGAAAGAGAGGAGAGAGAGTGAGAATTAAGTAGAGAGCGTTAAAAAATGAACGTTAAAAATGCCTCTGCAGATCATATCGTGCATGAAGAGGGGTCCCAACGACTTGAGGGGGCACTTATGGAAACGGAGCGTCTGGGATTGATGGATAACAACCCTGAATTCTACTCCATCCGGAAAGTCAATCACCCAGAGACCCATTATGGGCCACACACTGTGAACACCCAGCTCGCTATTTCACTTTTAATTTTTATACCAACCTAGGAAATATTACACGCATAAAAGTAGTGAGTATAGCGAGTATTTTTTGCATATTCATGAGTTCTGGGAAGGGAAGATATGAAGGGAGGCTGAAGAGATCTTGAGGGTGGGTTTTTTCTCACGGGTAGGTTACTACTTACCAAGAGGTCTATCATCCAAGGATTGAGAGGCTCAAAGCCGGTGAAGCGTGTCTTCAGGTACTTGAGAATCCTGATCAAAACTTTAACCCTGCACAATTAAAGAGGGTAGGTGAAGTTTTAATGCGTAGGCATATAAAACGCACAAGATGTATCAAATTCTGATCATGTAAAGACAAGTTAAGAGAAAAAACATTGACTCAGAAAATTCTATGGGAAAGGGTAAAAGGGGTATGACTACACAGGAAATGACAAAAGATGATTTACTCTAAATGCAAATTTTATTCCATATCTAGAGAACAGAGTACAAAGAAGATCTTGAGTAGGTGTGAGAAGGTCATGACTCTATAATCCTGAGGGACAAGAAGATTTGTTTTCTCCTAAGGTATTAATAAACATTGCACAAAAAGATAGTTAGCATTAGGGAATGTAGAACAACAGCTGTTTGACTTTAAGCAGTCACACCCTTTCTTCACATTTCACCAGAAGCTTATTACCATAACCGCTGTGATATTTTATAACCACCAACTTCAGTGGCAGAGGCATAAAAGTGAAGAAGTAATACAAACCAGCTCAAATCACATTTAATACTGAATTCAAAGACTTGAAGCAATTCAATTGTGAAGGGATTCATTTGACTAACTACAGTACCAACATTATTTATTTTAAATATCGTGATCTAAGATCAGTTTTTCATATTTGATTCTAATTTTTTTTTTTTTTTTTAAATGCTTTCTTGACCGTCATCTTTCACCTTTGACCCCTTACAACCAAAATCTAATCAGTTCATCCTTACATGCTTCAGTGCATTTCAAATTATCATGCAATAGAGACATTTTCTGGTATTTTACTAACATTTAAATGTATATGACCTGTGGACCCGAGAAGGAATAGGAGACTTAACCCTATCTAGCCTGGGCTATTGTGAAACTGCATAGCCTGAGGGGGAGGGGGGGGGGGGGCTTCTAAGCCCCCCCCCCCCCCCCCCCACCTCCCCCATGATCTTGGCCGTGAAAGAGCACGTTGCTGCGAAAATTTACTATGGTACTATGGTCATTTCCATTTTTAAGAAAAATTCACTCATATACATGGTAATTTATGCAAATAAGGTAATAAAATTCACATTTTTACTCATTAATCATATATTCTTCATATATGAACATAAGTTTTCACTACAAATACTCTTTAAGACCATTTGGGATAATAATACACACAAAAAACAGAAAAAAATTGGAAGAGCCAGGCTATTCCTTATGTTATCTATTGTTTTCATTTTGAAAATTTCTTATGTATTTCTTTGTTTTTTTAAACTTATGTATTTTATTGTTTTTTGTTGTTTTATTTCATTTCTAACCATAATTCAACTTTTATTTACCCCGAAAAATAAACGTGTAAACTATAAACAAGACCAAATAACCAATGTTTTATCTCTATTTTGGAAAAATGAGATTTCCATATGTTTTGCACACAAATCACGAAAATTAGCAACTTTTGGGCTGACATGCAAAGACAAAAGGTCAAGTGACTTTGTAACGGTAGATCCAATTATCAAAAAAAATTGTTTCAAAAGATGCGCAAGCCTCGAAAGAAAAAAGTTGTAAAATTTAAGTGCAAGATTTTCTACTTAGAAAGTGTCCTTGATTTACACCGTTGCCCATAAAATTGGAATAGAAGTTGCTTACCTCTTTCCATGAAAAGATTGTGACAATATGAATTATTCTTGATAGAAAGTTGTTTCTTCTCAGTACTTAATTGATTAATCTTAAACTAGGATTACTAATAATAATCTGAATTTATATATCGCTCAATACAAAACACTATTTTATTACTCTGGTCATCGGACTCATTCATGCACAAGAGTATTCCTACCATATGGTGACCATATTCATATGGCAAATAATAACACAGGCTTTCGTCATCCTACCAGATCCCCATTTCTTTCCTGGGTATGATGGAGTGGCAAATGTAGATTGATACCTTGCCAAAAGACATTAGTGCAGTATCAGGGATCGAACCCAAAACAATTGTACATCATGCATATCCATGCCTGATGGATGCACAATATATATTATTAATTTTGTAAAACTTTAAACCATGATAAACTTACACTGAATTTGTTGCATTTTCTTCAAACCATCGGGCATGTCGAACAGCTGCTAGGGCACTTTGCATGGTCTTGAGAGGTACTGAAAATAAAGAATAATGTTTGTGATGAATTGAAATATGTGAATAAGCTTTTTTATTCTTAAAATTACAGCATGAAATTTTACAGTTTACCACATAATACAAAACCGATCTTCTATAATAGAAGAGAGAGTAATTGAATGTGAATGGTCCAAATGACAGTTTGATTATAACAAAAGAAACACTAAAAGATGGGAATGCACAATATATCAACAAGTCAAAACTGATTTCAAGTGGCTTTACTTCATTAGCAAACCCAAAAGCCATGAAGTAATATGTGTTGATCAATTAATTGCCAAAGCGTCTTTGTCATATGGCTTTTACTAGAACCTGGACCAGTTTATCAACAGTCTGGTGACTTACCCACCAGACTATAATACTTCTCCTTTTGTCATCTTTAACAAAAAAGTAGAACCTAAGTGTTCAAAACCAAATTTCATCAGAGCAAGTTGATTCTATTCTAATGTGATACATAGAAACTAGATGGAATTCGACTGCGCGCAGTCGAAAATGATGCCTCCGTCATAGAGCAATTTTACCAACCAAAACAGAAGAAATTTTTCAAATTCAAGTTCATTTGTAATCCATTAACAGGTTCTCAAAATATCGTAATTACAAGCTATTTTTGCATACATAATGAGCCATGACCTTTGACCTCATGACCCAAGAATCTACTCGGTTCATTGGCTCTGCAAGATACATACATGATCTAAGTTTGGCAGGAATCCATCAATCTGTTCTAATGATAATGCGATCACAAGCCATTTTTGCATACATAATGAGCCACGTGACCTTTGACCTCATGACCCCAAAATCTAATCAGTTCATCGGCTCTGCAAGTAACATACATGACCAAAGTTTGGCAGGAATCCATCAATCTGTTCTTGAGATAACGTGATCACGAGCTGTTTTTGCATATATAATGAGCCCTGTGACCTTTGACCTTTGACCTCGTGACCCCAAACTCTAATCAGTTCTTTGGCTCTGCAAGATAAATACATGACCAAAGTTTGGCAGGAATCCATCAATCTGTTCTTCAGATAACGCGATCACGAGCCGTTTATGCTTACATAATGAGCCCTGTGACCTTTGACCTTTGACCTCGTGACCCCAAAATCTAATCAGTTCATCGGCTCTGCAAAATAAATACATGACTAAAGTTTGGCAGGGATCCATCGATCGGTTCTTCAGATAACGCGATCACGAGCTGTTTTTGCATATATAATGAGCCCTGTGACCTTTGACCTTTGACCTCGTGACCCCAAAATCTAATCAGTTCATCGGCTCTGCAAGATACATACATGACCAAAGTTTGGCAGGAATCCAGCAATCGGTTCTTCAGATAACGCGATCACGAGAACGGGACGTACGGACGTACGGACGGACGTACGGACGGACGGACAACCCGAAAACATAATGCCTCCGGCTACTTCGTAACGGAGGCATAAAAACTTTGACGTTCATATTCCGTTACGAATCAATATGAACAGGGTCTGGTGTATATAAACAAATCAAGAAATTTTGCTCCACATCAACACATTTCAAAACATGTACAGTGAACATGACTTTTTACATCACTCTAGGCCCCCAGAAAGATTAAATGTGGTGCCATGCTGGTATTAGATATTTATTTTCTCCATTGACTACTATACTCACAGTGGATTGAGGCATCTAGTTTCTTCATGTTGGGAGGAATGGTGGTGACAAGGATCTTAACGGTGGCATCCGAGCTGCTGATCTCACACCCAGCCTCGTTGGCCAACATCGTGAGCACTTCTTTGGGGTCTGTCTCCTTTACTCCTTCTACTACCTTGTTCCCTAGTGCCATCACTGCTTCAGCTGAAATACAGGAATATAAGAAGAAAGCATGAGGAAGGATGACAATGATGATAAGAATCTTAAGAGCTGCTGTTCTCACACGCAGCCTCATTGGCCAACATGGTTAGTACTTCTTTGGGGTCCGTCTCCTTAACTCCTTCCACTACCTTGTTCCCTAGTGCCATCACTGCTTCAGCTGAAATACAGAAACATAAGAAAGCATGAGGAAGGATGACGATGATGATAAGAATCCAAAGAGCTACTGATCTCACACCCAGCCACGTTGGCCAACATGGTTAGCACTTCTTTGGGGTCCGTCTCCTTTACTCCTTCTACTACCTTGTTTTCTAGTGCCATCACGGCTTCAGCTGAAATACAGGAAAATAAGAAAGCATAAGGACGACAATGACAATAAAAATCAGAGCTGCTGATCTCACACCCAGCCTCATTGGCAAACATGGTGAGTACTTCTTTGGGGTCTGTCTCCTTTACTCCTTCCACTACTTTGTTCCCTAGTGCCATCACTGCTTCAGCTGAAATACAGAAAAACAAGAAGCATGAAGAAGGATGACAATGATGATAAGATCAAAGCTACTGTTCTCAAACCCATCTTTAGTGTCTGTCTCCTTCCAGTGCTGAGAAATACAATTGACTCCTTTCACCATCTTGTTGCTGAGCATCATCACTGCTTGAACTAAAGTAAAATAAATATCATTAAAGGATCTTCAAGATTTGTAATCATTCTACATTGCCGATTTGCAATTTCTTAAATGACTGCAGCCTTTGTTGCATGTTAACGTGCCTCTCCCGTTTCATAGACATAATCTGGGTTAAAGTGGAACTGAATAGATGTCCCTGAGATAGAATGTTATGCTAGTTTACATATGTTCCCGGCGACCACAGCAATCACGTTTCAGGCCACCATGGACAAAATAGGATGGACGTAAGACAACGCGGGGGATGGAATGGGCAAACGTGACAGGCCATGATCGCTGTTCCAATTTGGCCATGGCAGTCGCAGAGCAGTTGAGAAACCTAGTAGGCTGTAGTAAAACGGGGTAAACGCAACAAAACGTGTCAGTACATGACGAAATACCTAACAAAACTTGAATACAGAGAAAAAATGACAAAAATCCCATGGCGCACTAAGTTTCAAGCAAAGGGGCTGCCGTGGTCTCCTGGAACATGATGTAAACCTAGAATTAAATGAAGGCCCCGTGTAGAGGAGAGTCACCACCTTTGCACTTTAAGAATCCAACGCACTATTTGTATAAGAGTAAGGTGAAACCTCGTTGTAGTGGTCCATCTGCACATTCCCAATCAGTTATCCCGGGAGGAGAGACCTGGGCAGTGTATCACGAAACCGTCACAACAACAAGTTTGCCAACAAACTATTGAAACACGTTTTTTTTAAATTTAACACACGTTTCAATGGGATGTCGGTGAGCCTGTAGTTATGACGGTTTCATGAAATAATGTCAAAGTGTCAAAGGGTCAAAGTGATTCTGTTCCCTTTCCCCCTTCCCAGGCACAGGTCAGGTGATGCCAAATATGTCATAACTTACTTGTTGGCAGAGTCTTGAAAATGACAACTAGATCAGCTACAGGGCTGTTGGCCATGATGGTTCCTTTCTTGAATGAACCAACCTGTCTCACCTCCTCTATACTCTGTGTACAAATTGAAAATGGTGATGAGACTACGCTGTAAATATGACTAATATAACTTCACATGAAATTCTCAATTCAGAAATTATTGTAATAATCATACAATGATCTAAGAAACTTCCAATAATCATAAAAACTTATGTGCTAAATTATTTTATCTTCTTCTAGTTCTGATTTTAATATTTCAAAAAAGCATGATCTGCAACCGATTTCCTACATTTTTTTTTCCTTCTCTTATCATCCTTTTTTAAATTTATTAATGTTTTCTATTTTCCTACCTCCTTTCCCACCCAAACAATATCCTCTAACACAAGCTATTTTTCAAATATTAAAAATTATTGTTTTGAAATTTCCTTTCTTTTCTTCTTCATCTTGAATTTTAAAATATATGAGTTTTCTAATCCTGTGGTGGAATCTATACATAAGTTTTTCAATAATAAATCAGAAATAATGAACAATGAAGGAGCTATTTCAATAATGGCATACTGTATAACGCAAAATATTTCCAATTCATTTGTATTGAAGTTGAGCATGAAACATTCAATATTCCAAATTAATATTGAATTTTGAGACATATGCCAACAAAAATGTATTCTTAGAGATGTATTTTGCATAAAGTATTTTGCACAATTAGAGAACTGAAATTTAAACAAACATATATCTTAGCAATATCAAGCAACTACTCTATTTACCACTTCAAAGTTTGCTGGTGGAGAAACCATTAGGTTGTCTAAGACAGAGCTGATTTTGGTGACAAGGTTGAGTACTGCAGTCTGTTCATTGGTCCCTGGGGTCATCTCTGTGTTCTTCTCCAATAGACTCTGCAGGAATTCAAAAGAGAGAAAGTAAGGATATAATGTCATCTCAACGATTGTGACAAAGATGTGATTGTAGTGCGATTAATTACTACGGAATGCTGCAAAGGATAGTCCTGAGTAGAATATGTGATTCTTTGCTAAAATATTTGTCTCATAAGTAGCCTATATGGTCATAATCAATTTACATTGAGCAACAGCAACAAACTAGATGGATCATCAACTGCACACAGTCAAAAATGATGCCTCTGCCATTTAGTGATTGTACAAACCAAAACAAAAGCAATTTTTCAAATTCAAGTTTGATTGTAATCCATTAACAGATTCTCAGAATATCGTGATTACAAGCTATTTTTTTTTCATATACATGTATGGCCTTTGATTTCTGACCTCATGACCCTAAAATCTAATCAGTTCATTGGCTCTGCAGGATCATACATGTCCTGAGTTTGATGGTAATCTGTTCATCGGTATTTGAGATAACGCAATCAAGAGAACGGGACATATGGACAGACAACCCGAAAACATAATATAAAAAGCAAATAAACGAACGCTCCATTTCTGTGAAAGTGATAATCACTTTACGGTTATATCAGTCCATTTTTCTGAAAATACCTCATCTAAAGTTGACAAAATTTATTTTGCAAACAAAGTTCGGGATAATATCAAATGTTTACCTTTTTGATGTACACTGTACCATTCAAGTTTGAAATGAAGCTGCAGTGAAAGTAAGCAGTGAAGCTGCTTATGTTTAAACCATTTAAGAAAGGTATTCATAATCAAATCATATAAATGACTTCCTACATACTACATACACATAAAATAATGTTGCCATGTTGATCTACTATTAATTGAAACAATTTGAATTCATTCTCACCATTTGTAGAGGTGTATCCTCCGTGGGGGGAACTGGTTTCGTCCTCTGGAAGGCACTTTCACACTGAGAAGCAAGACAAAAAAATTGAAAATATCAATTAAATGCCATATTCTCCATAACTACAATGACGGACGGACAACCCGGATAACATAATGCATCCGGCTCCTTTGTAACGGAGGCATACACACAAACATTATGTAAGTTTACAATTTTTAAAACAACTCAAACAAGAGGCAAGGGTGGTGTAGCACTCTTCGTACGGACCACACTACCTGAGACATGCAAAGAAATACCATGTGAATCACCAAGAATTGTGGCTGCCTTCTTCCACCTGAGAATCTCCACAGAAATTCTTGTGGTAATCTACTGCAATCTACCTAGTGGAATATCCCTAAATGACCAAGCAGACTACCTCAACTGTCTTGCAAGCATCACACAAATCAGAGAAAGCTACCCATCTTCCTCATCAATCATTGTTGGAGACTTCAACGCTGATACTGTTACCAGTAACCAGACCAAACAGACTCACTCACGAGCCTCACAGCCGCAGACTGTGATGAGAATGACCGTACCTACTGTACAGATGATGGAAGACATAAATCCAGCATTGATGGCTTTATTGTGCCAACCGATGAGCTTCCCTTGTAATACCGAGATAACTGGGAATGACCCGACTTACACCTCGGATCATCTTTTGGTCATCACAAGTCGACTAATTCAACCCAAGGTTGCAAGACGCACTGACCTCAGTGATAACCTGAAGAGCACTCCCCTGCACAGGATGAAAATCAAATGGCACACTGTAGAGCGCAAAATGGTACAGGAGAAATATACCACTCCCATGGAAAGAATAGCATTTCTCATCTTTCAAAACAACAACTCAAATCTTCTGATGACACCTCGATTGACACACTATTGCAAGAATTCAACTCGGCAATGCAGATGACCTCCTTAGCACTCCCGCACACGGTTCTCTCCAAGAAGAAAAAGGGCAAACCTGAATGGACACCACAACACTGCCCAGAAAGCCAGACAAATCTGGCAGAAGGAAAGTGGTGCTAACAAAGGAAGAAGATATAATGATCACTTGAGAGAGAAGAAGTCCTTCAGGAGCTGCTTGAGACAAGATAATGCCATCCAACGACGTAATCTCCAAAAGCAAGTTGAAGAGGCCTCGCGCTCGGACCAAACACTCTTCTACCATGTGAAATAGAAGAGCAAACGTAACAAGCAGCATAACATAGCTACCTCCATTGAATATGATGGCCACACATTTGATGGCTCAGAAGTCATACTTGGATGGCACAAGTATTTCACAGACCAGGGGGGTGTTTCACAAAGATCCTAAGTTGAACTTATCTCTAAGTTGGACTTGACAATTATGGAAAGCCGTTAGCATCTTTGAAAATATTTTGTAAAAGTTATTTTAAAAGGCATAAACTGTTGGTTCAAATCATTCATGTTTTCTATTATCATGGAGATTTTATGTTCTTGATGTGTAATTCATGAAAAGTCCCATATAAATTTTTGCTTTTGAATATATTTTATTTTAAGGCTACAAATGGCTCTCCATAATGTTTCAGTCCAACTTAGAGTTAGGTTCGACTTAGGATCTTTGTGAAACACTCCCCTGGCAAATAACCCCTCCCACCTCCTTTCATCTGAGGAAACAAGCCCAGTGCCATCACGAATCACATCTGAAGTATACTGAGCTCCAGGTTACCATTGGTTCACTCAAACCAGGCAAAGCCAGCGGCCCTGACAATATTAGCTCAGAACGCATCAAACAACTCGGCGTGATAGCACGAAGACTCCTTCTCCTCCTTCTCCTGAATGTAATCCTACAAAGTGGTCACTGCCCAAATTCACTGAAGACAGGAATCATTCTGCCCTTCCACAAAGGCAAAGGAAAAAGCACTCAGGATCCACGCAACTACGGTGGCATCACACTAACTCCAACGCTCACAAAGCTGCTCGAAACCTGCATCAGGCCTCTCCTCGAGGCACAGCTGCCATTAAAGACATCCCCAGCCAACAACAGTTCGGCTTTCGCAAAGGCTTCTCATGTCAGTTGACTGCATTGTGCCTTCAACTCACAATCGAGATCACAGGAGCTACAAAGAGACCCTTGTACATCTGCTTTCTGGATGCAGAGAAAGTGTTTGATAAACCATGGCACCTTGGCTTACTGCATAAACTAAGGAAATCCGAAGCTGATCCGGATATCCAGCCCATCATTCACATCATACACAATCTCTATAATGGAATGGAAAGCCAAGTCCTCTGGGATTGAAGGGTCACATGAACTGCTCAACACCCAGGACCCTTCCCATCTGACTTGCGCTATTCTCTTGCCATATGATCCATCCCTTCCCTACACTGTCGACGATTCTATTTTAAAGATGACACTTCATTATCTTTACAAAATTCATGCCCATCGCCTGCACTCCATACCCTCCAACTAAGGATTATATAGCAGATTAACAACACAGCCTACCACTTTGACTGCGATGAACTAGCTGATCTCCATAAAGTGGAGGGACAACAACAGAGAGAGAGAGAGATGGGGGAGGGGGTGAAATAGGATCACAATTGAATCTTACCTGGACTATATCAAATGGAATGTGTGGCATAAAAGCTGGTGCTCTCCACCTATGAAAAGAGAGAATGGGTGATAATCAAGTCAAAATTCTACATGAAATGATGCAGATTAGGAAAAAAATGAGACATGATACATTCTTCTGTTTCTTATCTGCTATCCATTCTTTGCAGCTGATAAGGATATCTTGTTTAACATCACATATCAACTAAACATACAATGTAGACCATAGTTATTTGCAATTAAAGAGCAATCTTCAAGAAAAGCAGTGGGCTTCATAAGAACGATAAACATTGTTGAAAGTTATGGAGAATCAGAGATCATCAAGTATGTGTTATAACTGGAACCCTCAAATTGGCAACTGGTTCATGTGATTGTGACGTTGAAACAGAATTCACTTCATTCATTTATTACTGAAATGTGCTTAGACATAACGTAACCATTCATTTCAAATTCTCTTTACGTTAATAGTTCATTTATGCATCAATTCAACATAGATTCTGTCAGTAACATATTCTGCATTTTGAACCCTTTTTCACAAGAGTAGCAGTATCTTTATTACATACATTCCTCTCGGGCCTCCTGGTCCCCTAACTGGGCCTCTGGGTCCTCCTCCACCTCCGCGACCCCGTCGACCTGCAGTCTTGGACCTGAAAGAAAAAAGTTAATAACATGTACCCTTGATAATTTATAACTTAATTGTGCTGAGATTTTTCAAACATTGTAACTTCTGTGGCATTTGTTGGATTTACAAAGGAAGGTTTCGAAAACTGACTCCGAAACAGTGAAAATTGAAATGAATATTGTCATGGCAATTCGTGATTTTTTTCTGGGATTCTTGTTTTGTTTAAATAATAATAATATTTGCTTCATGATTTAAACAAAAAATGATAATAAATAGGAAGTAAAGGCTCCTTTACTCTAAGTCTTCGTTTTCAGGAAAAATACTCAGAAAAAGAGAAACGAAACAGGTAACAAACATATCAACTTTTAAATCATGACCTTTAGACTATTTGAAAATTTGATGAATATTTACTTAATTTTAGGGATGTTTTAGTCGTTACGGAGTTACGGGTCAAATTTTGGATAGACTTCTGAACTAGCGCAGGAATTATCCTTTTCCCATCGAAGTCGAACTCGAAGACATCTTTAAATTAGAGTCTATAGAGTAAAGTACCCGGTAATCGGTCAGCTCCGGTTTTCGGCCAATTGGTTGGATACATGGTAAAATCACTTTAAAATACATCGCATAATAGCATAACACATATCCCACACATACCATACCATGCCAGTGTCACTGAAGAACCACATTTGCAATGAAAAATATATCCTAAAATATCACATTTTAGCGATGTAATCGGCGGTCCCGCTACCCAAATCTGAAAAATCGAGTTTCTTACGCGTGTATGTAAGAAATATGGGTACCATAAAATGAGCTTTATTTCAAGTATTTTGCAGATATAGAGCCCGATTTTGTGCTGGTCGCAAGCTCAAAAGTATCTCATCGCATGTATTAAATCAATGCAGCCGCAAACCGCGACGCACACACGATATGTCTGTCTAATTCAGATTCCAACTTCCGATCACCGCTGTGCCTGTATTCGGCCAGGCGAGCACCCGGGAGCTCCGGCGTGGGATACCTGCTCCGCCCGCTTGTGCTATACATCAGCGCAGAAACGCACGGCGCGCGCGAGCGCTTCCTATTGACTTTGTACATGCGGCCGTAAACTGAAACGCTCGACCGATAACCGGCTCCAAAACAGTGAAAATTGAAATGAATATTGTCATGGCAATTCGTTTTTTTTTGGGGATTCTTTTTTTGTTTAAATAATAATAATATTTGCTTCATGATTTGAACAAGAAATGATAATAAATAGGAAGTAAAGAGTCCAATAAATAGGATTTTGTCTTAAGTGGCCGAAAACCGGGTACTTTACTTATTTCATAAGGTTGACTGAATGCCCAGAGGAGTAAAAAGAAACATTGTAAGTTTAAACTGTAATTAGCCTAGTAGATCTACTTCTTCAGATTTCCAAAAAATAGGACCAAACCCGCTGTTTGAATCGTTTCTCAGTTTAGGATCTGGAGCTCGGAGTCGGAGCTCCCTGGAGTTAGACAGTGCCCTGTCAGCTGCCTCCTTGCCCCCGTAGGAATTGGGTGCTGCAGACGAGAAACTGGAGACTTCGCCATGGGCTTGGGCCAGTTCTTCGGGGACAGGGCAAAAACAGCCATTCCCCTTTTAATAGATACTTAAAATAAATCGAAAATGCTACCAACCTCGTCATATTTGAGGGTCTTCTCCGTTCAAAATCAGTGGTATTTAATTTAAAGGACAGCCTCCGGCTTCAACTAGGTCTAGGCTTTAGATAATTAATAAATATAGCAGCGCAGCTACAGCGTACAGTACAAAATTAAACAGCAGCCGTACACAAACGTCGACTGTGACTGTCGACCTTAGCAAACTCGACTCATTAACTCCATGGTAATTCGTTCCCGAATTGAACTTGTTGGCGTTTTAGGTATTTAATTACGGTCAGATCATGTGAGCATCCAGGGGACCGCCTTAGGGCCCTTGGTGGGGTCCAGGGGGCAGAGCCCTCGGAAGCTCGGGGTTTTAGGTTTTTAATTACGGTCAGATGAGCATCCAGGGGCCCGCCCTAGGGCCCTTGGTGGAGTCCAGGGGGGCAGAGCCCTCGGAAGCTCGGGGTTTTAGGTATCATAATTACGGTCAGATCAGCATCCAGGGGACCGCCTTAGGGCCCTTGGTGGGGTCCGGGGCGGAGCCCCCGTATGCTCTGGGGTTTTAGGCATTGAATTACGGTCAGATGAGCATATTTTGATACCTCATTTTTGACATTGGCAGGTCACTTATTTTTTCTCTCTCTTTTTCTTTCTTTTTCTCTGTCATACTTTTTTTTCAAATAATGAGGGGGGAGGCTCGAGCACCCGAGCCCAGCCGTTCTGCAGGCCCTGACATGAAAGCTTCTAAATAAGCATATATTTCGCCCAATTGTACATTTGGGAATTTCTAATTTTCCAACAAACGCATATCAATTCCTTTCATAGCAAAAGCGCTCCTCACAATTTCTGTAAATTTGGCAGTTTAACGCTACGCGTACCGCCTTGACCGGACTGTGCGGTATCTGTGCAGTTCTGTGTGTAGAGAGGTCGGGCTGTATTCATTATTTCTTGGGGGTGCATAAATTGCTCTAATTATACGTACGCGTGTAATGCGCAAGTTTATTGTGATGGCACTAAACCCATCCCACTCATTGTTCCCCTATTTTCATAATGGTACTGACCCAATGAAATGTAGTGCAGTGCGCTCGTACGCGCTGCGCTGCGTGTGTACATGTACTGTACTTATGCATGTTCAGTTATATGTGTATGCATAGCATTTACGTACAAGTACATGCATACAGGACTAGCTGGCACAAAACCCTGGGTCGGGCTTCTAAAATGGGACATGAAGCCTGATTTGACATGAAAATTGACGGAGCTAAAAATGAATCAATCAAAATGAAATTTATATGTATGAAAAGCTTACGTATCATATGTCATTGTCTGTGATTGAGGATTTACAAATTTGACGCAAAACGCGTTGCTGCAAAGTTAAAGATTGGTTTATTGAAAGGCAATCGAGCACAGTGCGACCGATCCATTGACATTGTGTATGAGAGATTTTTTTTTTTTAAATGGATTGTAAAGTTCGACGTCAAAGTGACGGAGGTTTTTTTTCAAGTAAGGGCATGGTTTTACATGGAATGTAAAGGAAATGTTTCCTTCTTCTCATATCTCGATTGAGGATATTATTCTCAATTTCGATTTTTAATGGTAAAGAAAAGTGTAAAAAGATGTCGAGAATTTTACCATATGTCATGTAATATAAAATGCGCGCGGGTCGGTTGATCTCCCGAAAGGAGCGCGAAGGAATTGATATGCATTAAAGACGTATGACTTACACAAAAATTGAGAAAAAATACCGAAAAATCATGTCATTTCAGCAACATTTGTAAATCACCGGTATCGAATAATAAATGACCCCTTCCCCTATCAGTACGACAGCGTTCAGGGGCTCATGTCTTCTCACCCCTATAACAAAAAACACACACACTTTCCCCATTCTAAAAATTCCACGATATGCGCGTAAAAAACTTCCATTGATAAATATAGGTGGCATGCGAATGTTTAGGAAATTTAATTCCTGTTAACTTTCCTTTTCTTTGAATGGAATTTTATATGTGATTTAATTCATCTTTACTTCTTTACTGCTTTTCTTTTTTTTTTGGAGAGGGGGTGTTTTTTTTTTGGGGGGGGGGGGCAAAAATACGTTCCCCCCCCCCCCCCCCCCATTTTTTTTTTTTTTTTGCCACACCACTTCCGGCGCCTACGCAAGTATGCCTATTGTAGTTGTAATCTCTCTCTCAAAATCGTCCGAATAGCGGGTAAAAAATCACAGTTCGTAGGGGAAAAAAAATTGCCGGCCGACCGACATTTTACATCTCACCGACTTCAAACTATGGCATTGATATACCTGTATAGTACACGAGGATCGAGCAACAATCGCACAGCTGACCCGACACCAGTGGCGGATCTAGGGGGGCCCAGGGGCCCGGCCCCTCTCCCCCCCCCCCCCCCGGAGAAAAACGTGTAAAAACCCGTTAATTTTACCTTTTTTGGGAGATAGGCCCCCCCCCCCCACTTGCGCTCAAGGGGGTGGGGGGGGGGGGGAGGGTGCAAATTTTCATATTTTCGAGGACCAACAAAAAAAATGTGCTCACTACCCCCCCCCCCCCCCCCCCCCCGTTTTGATTCTTTAAAGCCCCACTGTCCTACTTGGAGCTACGTTTGGTCTAATCCCTTCTGGCCCAGTAGTATTGACGGTCTTAAAAATTGTTCTTTCTAAATACGGCTTGCTTGGTCTATACTTTATAACGTAACGTCGTAATTTGACGCGGGCCTACACCTCATCCTCAAAACAAAACAAACGAAAATGAAAAAGTATAGACCTACTTGTGCGGATTTTAAAAATGAAAAAAATTGAATGGGTGCCATGGGCGGCGGAGTGTCATTCAAAGGGGGGCATTAAAAAAAGACATTTTCTGGTGGAAAGGGGCACCTACAGAGGGAAACCTCAAAGTGAAAATATACAATTTTTAGACATTGATATATACCCCTACATTGAAATTATATCATCAGGGATGATTTCAATGTTTGTCTCTCTCATTATACATGGTCCGAGATACTTTGCAGTTGAATGTGATGGTCTGAATACTTATTTGAGAGCGATCACAAATTTTAAGATTTGTGAAGTCGCAGTGCAAAAAAGAAATTAAAACTTATATAGAGGGAGAAACAAATCCTAATTGGGTTTTACGCACAATCTAATAATTAAAGACTGAAAAAAAACTTTAATACGAAGCATTATTATATCAACTTTAGATGCGAGCGAGCGTAGCGAGCGAGCTTTGGGTGAAATTAAAGAAAAGGTTGCTCTTGGTTGCTTTAAATGAGAGGTACAGTTATGGTGAAGATCAAGGGCGCAATTATCAGAAGGAAAAAAGGGCATTTATAAGAAAGGAAAAAAAGGAACGAGTCAAAGTTTAAAAGGCAATTACCAGACGTAAAAAGAGGCACGTTCAAGAATGGAAAAGGATCTCTTAATTGTAAAGGGAAAATGGGTACTTATCAGGGGTAAAAAGGGGCACTTATTAGAAGAGGAAGCGGTACTAATTAGAGATGAAAAGGGCACCCATGCGAATGAAAAGGGTGATTTATTGGAAAGGAAAAGGGGCACCTATCAGATTTTATAAGAAGGGGAAGGATACTTCTAACAAAGGCAAATGAGAACTTGTCAAATATATAGAAAGGGCACTTTTCCAATATAAAAAGGGGCACTTTGGGGTATTTGAAAAGGTGCACTGATCGGTTAGTGCCCCTCCCCCCCCCCTTCTGACAACTTTAAACAGAATATCCATTGTACATTAAAATAGATCAAGAGGTATCATTATAGTTCCCTTCTGACTTTCGAATGAGATGGTGCCTTCCAGAATGATCTGGGGGAGGGGAATCCTACATGTATGTCATATCAACAATTATCAGAAAAGATTAAAAATAGAAATAATGGCGTAAATATTCTCAACGAGAGAACGCCAAAAGTATTAAACAACAACATCAGCAACAGCCGAGATTGATAAGGGTAGTACCCAAATTACCCCCCCCCCCCCTCTCTCTCTCTCTCTCTCTCCACTCCCCTTTACAATTCCCCATGTGCGCTTAGTCAGAGAGATACCCGGGGGTATATTCACAAATTAAGACATACGGGGGTGTGTATCTCTAATGGGTCACTTTTTCTCAAAATATCTCTAAACATGGGTCCCATTTTTAACAAAAATACCATCATTATCGGTCCGTGTTTTCAAAATTTTCATTTTATTTTTTCTCTTTTCAATTTTCGGTTGGTTGCATTTGTGGGAAATGGGCCTTACCTCGAGAAAAATCCCCCCCCCCAAAAAAGCGACGCGGCACACCCCGTCCAAACCAAATCTGAGTACCCCCCCCCCCCTCGATACAACTTGTACAAAGAGAGGGAAATATCTAAAGGCCGGAAAGGGGGATGGAGGAGATGAAATATTAATTGTATCTTGATTGAACCAGGTGTCCAATGCATTGCATTTTTCATACCTCGGACCCGCTTCACAAAGCCTTTTTCCCATAACAAATTATAAAAGTCAGTGACAAATCTGCTAATAATCAGCAAGGATTTTACTTGCTGACAACAAAAACTGTCATTTGTCACTGATGACCAGTTTTGTGAAATGTGACCCTGTTGTACAAATTACCCCCCCCCCCCCCCCAAAAAAAAAAAAGAAGAAAAAAGGAACTCCATCAATTCCAACTCCCTGCTCAATCTGATAATCTGATGTCATCTGTCATAGGATGCATTTATTTGCCGAAAATGTAGGAGACTGTTTGTATATAGGCCTGTTATTTGATACTTACTATGAAGAACATAGTTTTGAAAAAGATTATAAAAGATGGGCTACATCTCAATACTAAATTCTAGGTGAAAACAGAACAGCAGCATGCCAATTATGGCTACTATGATGGGCCGATTAAAGTGTAGACAAAATTACATTGGACGAGTTTCTTTGTAGTATTGAGACGAGTCGTTTTGTGAATGTTTGGTTTTTGCACATGTTTTGTGTTTTTACACTCGATTGTGTGTGACCTGGCTTGACACGAGCGCTGAAGACAGATTTCGTTTCGCACAGTACATTGTGCTCTCATCCGCGATAATGAGTTCATTATGCATTGCATTGCACATGTAGAATACATGCACGTATTTGTTTGTTTGTTTTTTCTTGGTTCTTTAAAGTCTTTGTTTGTTTGTGTGTTCCTCCTTCGTTTCTTTCTTTTTTTCTTTCCGTCTTCTTCTTCTTCTTCCCGGGTCTTCTTCTTCAGTTCTTGCTTCTCCTTTTACAATTCAATTCAATTTTATTTCTGTTTCCAACACTAAAACATTACAAATCAAGTATAATTAAAGAATAGATATTGGATAACAGAGTGAATGGTTCGTGAGGGAGGGGCCAGATAAGGTATTTAAAAGTATTGTCAAAGATCAGAGCCTTAATTGATACCCGGGGGGGGGGGGGGCAGGAGCGGATCCACCGACGGTGAGGCGGGGGGGGGGGGGGAATTTTTGAGGAAATATTTAGCAGCGAATCGCATCCAGTCGGTGAATAAGCGGTGGGGGAATGGGGCCGGAGGGGGGGAGAAGAAACACTAATTATTTTTTTCGGGGCGGAAAATATAATAATTATAATTTTTGATTAGTTTTGTTCAAATAATTTTTTGTCAGGGGATCGGGGTGGGGAGGGCCCGTTTTAGTTTTTCAAAAAGTTCATATTAACGCTACCATCTTAGTTTTTACCATTTTTTTTTCGGCTAGGGGTTTCCCCGTCGCCCCCCCCCCCCCCCCCCCCCCGTGGATCAGCGCCTGGGGGGGGGGGGCGTTTCTCCTGCACTGTTCCATTCCGAGTGTCAGCCATAGAAATCACAATATTTATTTCTATGTGGTCAGCCCATAGAGCTATATACTACTAGTATGCAGGCGCGTACGCAGGGGGGGGGGTTTGGGGGGTTAAACCCCCCCCCCTTTGGAAATTTTTTGTGTGTAAACCCCCCTAAAACCCCCCCCCCCCCCTTTTGGATTTTTTTTTTTTTTTTTTTTTTTTTTTTTTTTAATTATTAAAAAAAAAAAAAAAAAAAAAATTATTCCCATGGCCGACCTAAAAAAGGTGACCTTACCCCCCCCCCCAACGGAGCAAAATGTCAAATTTCCTAATTTCGAGACCAAAAAAAAAAAAAAAAAGTGTCCTCTTACCCCCCCCCCCCCCCCCCCCCCCCCCCCCCGCTTATTCAGCGGTCGGCTGAGTCGTTGCGATTTTTTTGGGACCCAAAAAAAAAAAAAATGTGTCCTCTTACCCCCCCCCCCCCCCCCCCCCCCCCCGCTTATTCAGCGGCTGGCTGAGTCGTTGCGAAATTTTCGGACCGATTTATAAATGTTAAAACCCCCCCCCCCCCTTGAAAAAATCCTGCGTACGCGCCTGCTAGTATGTATCTCTATGGGTCAGCCCAGTCTGCAATGGCGTATCTAGGGTGTGGGGGCAGGGGGTAAATTATCAATGATTCATTGCATTTTGCCCCGACCCCTAACATAAACAAATCCTCTATGTGAGCATGCCATAATGCATGGCCCTACAGAGGAATTTTTCATGTTGGGGACCGCCGGGGAAAATGCAATGAATTATTGATAATTTATTGCATTTTCTTTGTTTTTTTTTTGCCTTGTGGGGGCGGCGACGTACCCTAGCCCCCGATGTGTACAGTCATGATTCAGTGGCTAAGAAATGGCCTCGTTACTGTGAGACCCCAGAAAAAAAACCGTGTCGAGGCTATATTAGTGCCCCCCCCCCCCTTGAGCAAAAGAAAAGATAAATTTGTGGTTACCATCTTTAATAATAAAATAAAAAAATTGGTCAGGGTTGCGGGACCCACCTTTTTTGGGTCAGGTGTGGTCGCCCCCCCCCCCCCACTCCCCCCCCCCCCCCCCCCCCTCCCCCCGTCGATCCGTGCCTGGGAGTATACGGGAGAGGGACATGGGGCTCCCCGATGAATTAGAGTTCCTTTTTGAGCAACCATCACTTCATTATCATTGGGAAAGCGACATGCCCGAATAATATCATCATAATATATCGGTGCCTGAATATATCGTTATATTCGTGTGCCCGGATTATTTATTTATTATTGTATTATGACGTTGATGAAATAACATTTCAAAGAAAATATGCTTTCCATTTTTGCCCCCTGGCCAACTTTTATTAGACAGAATGATTTTTGGCCAATGGTGCAGCTTGTATCTGGATGACGAAGTAATATTTTATACTATACAATTAAAAACATTTAGAAAATCTCTCTCTCTCTCTCTCGCTATTTTGTGCTTACGCGGGGTGCCGAAATCAATACGCCACTGATCCAGTAGGCTACTATACCAAAAGTCCACGAGATCTACAAAACAAAGAAAATAAATAAGTCAACTTAGGGAAGAAAAAAAAGTTCCAAAAGATCCACGAAACCTATACCAAACAATAATGAGAGAAGAAAGTAATAAGTAAGCCTAGGGTAGAATTGTTTCACTTCTGTAGTGCATCCTCTGCCAATTTGAAAGTGCATGGCTATTGATATTTAAGTCTGGCCCCTAAAGTTGTAGCCATATATAGCATTGCTTATGAAGTTTGGGCTTTCAAAGGAACACTGACCATGCATGCTCAGCTAGGCCTACCCAGTTCTCTATTTCCCCTCTCCGGATCCCCCCCCCCCCACCCCCCTCTCTCTCTCTCTCTCTCTCTCCAGTCTTTCTCTCAACCTGGGTTTGATCAACTTTAATAACAGACAGGCAATATGCCCGTTGGCGAAAGTGGGGGGGGGGGGGGCAATGTCCAAGAGCTCCTCTCCTCTCACCACATCAACTTAACTTTAATTTACCCCATTAAGGTTTGAAGACATGCCCCTCATCCATTACATATTACAGAATCAGTATTTTTGTTGCATTATAGGACGGTCGAGAGTAAGTAAGTTTGGCAAGGGCGACTCGAGTGCCGAGTAGGTTTCCAATTTTCCTATTCTTCAAAGACACGGCCTATCGTGTCTGGAAGGACAGTGTGCGACTCACAAGAAAATAAATAAAGATGAATGCTCCTTAGAGACCAATTGGTCTCTAAGGAGCATTCATATTTATTTATTTTCCATTTTTTCGGGGGGGGGGTTCCCTCGTAAGGCCCCAAGCCCCCTCCCCCTTTCGGACAATTCGGTGTCATGTTTTCCATAATTCCATTGTTATGCACCCTCGTTTCCCCAAAGCAAGTCTTTATTTTTTATTTGTATTAAGGGCTTAATTAATTTAATACATTTGACAATTTTCAAGTTTTCGACACAAACATATCACGGTATAGGACTTCATCCGCGAACTAATGTGAATGCCGAAATCGGGTGTACATGTGAGCATGTAACGTGTATGTGCCTGGTTGGTGTCGATGTCTGGATCATGGGCTTCATTGGTTGGGGTACTATGCATGCAGCTCGTGCCCAGCCGCGCTGCACTCGATGATTATGCTAGCTCGCTCGATATATTATGCCAGTTCAGTGATGAGTGCATGTGAATTCTGTGATATTCCATTGACTTTTGTGTAGGACAGCGCTGGCCAAGCGATCGAGTCCAGGAACCACCGGCGTGACTCTAACACAAAAGTTAATGAACATGGCGTCTGCTGGACAACAAGGGCAGTACGATGCGACAGCTGGGGATGAAAATTCGACTGAAGACCCCACAGTCATATTTCCAGGAGGAAGAGCTAAAAATTCAGATGCTATGTATGCGATCACTCGGATCAGAGGCCAACAAATGAGTGATGCTCGTCAACAGGCGGGAAAGCCGAAGCCACCCATTCATATTGGAGCTGTGAAGGGGCTACTGGCTGTCGTTATTCTGTTTCTGGCCTGTTTAGCAGCCTTTTCTTCCCGTCTGTTTGCAGTGATTCGCTTCGAAAGTATCATTCATGAGTTTGATCCATGGTAAGCTGAATTTAACTGCCTGGTCTTTATTTTTTAAGGATGCAAAAGTACTTATCCCAGATCCAGGGTCTAGATCTACATCATACATGTAACTAGGTCTAGACCTAGGCCTAATAAAAATGAGAGTCACATTAATAATTATTTTTAGATCTAGATTCTATAGAGTTTAAAAGATAAACATGATAAGGCTGAGCTGACTGAGGGAGAAGAGAGAGAGAGAGAGAGGGAGAGATAAAGAAAAAGAAAAGAGGAAAGGATACCCGCAGAGCTACGAAGTAGGCCTATCACGCATTTCGAGGGTCTGAAAATGCTCTTACGCACGAAGTGCGCGCTAGATTTTGAAAAACGCTATACCTTATACATGTGTTATACCCTCGCATGCGCGCTTGCCCGCCGAATCATGAAAATGTCACGCATTGCCGATCTTTGAACTTGGCGTCTTTGTACCCGTCTAGATGGAAATCAAAGTCCATCTAACCAGTGGCAAAAGGAGCGGTCCGAGAATGAGGATCATTCGTATAAACAAAGACGAAGGAGGATATCCTCGTAAACACACCAATGTTTTTTTATCTTTGGTGCTCTGCGGATGTATGATTCCTGATCTGCGCGCTGGCAATGCGAAAAACGTTGTCCGTCTTTCCGAGGATTTACCGTCCATAAAGGTGAAAGTCTCTGTACAATGTGAAATGCATCAAGGAGCATCATCGCAGAATCCGTTTTTCGCATCCCAACACGTGGATCGGAAATTAGAATCGTCTGCAAAAATGTGGACGATCCTTATTTTTTAGGATGCGCCTGTTCGCATTTCCAAAGACGATCCTCTTTTATGCGGACGATCCCTATTCTCAGACCAACACCCCCCTGCCAACAGATCCTGGCACTATATTACTGTACTAGTGGTGCACCGCGACCGGGTATGCTTCGTTCCGTCACATGCATTGGTTTTCCTCATTCCCACTCCATAAACTACATTATTACATAACTGTCTGGACTCTGGAGAGTGGGGGATTCTTCTATCTCAGAAACTATTTGTTCAAATGATATGATTTTTGCCAGATCTTTTTTGAAATACATGTACTACTGTAAAATGACATGTACTAAATTTCATGTCAATGCATTAATGCATTCGTTTGTTTAGTAATGCTCAATAAAATCTTCGAAATTTTTAGGTAAAAAATCATTCAGAGTGCTCACACTTTATAATGTAAATGTGCATAGGGCTCTGTTAAGCAGTTATGGAGGGTGTTTCTAAATGGATATTAGAAAAGTAATCTCGTAGAATTTTCTCGAAAATTTCCACAGGCTAATATGAATAATATTCTGCTTTTATATAGCACTTAATACATCTACAATGTCTCTAAACGCTTTACACCTATCTTTTCAAATTGTAAATTGCAGTTGTGCGTCGGTCAATGGAGGTGCGCACCATATTTGTCTTTATTTAGTTGATTGCCACTGTTTTTCTTACCTTATCTATGTTACTTTTGTATTGTTGCTTTTTCTTCTAATTTAATTCTACGGGTTATAGTCTTCTCTTAATCAGAACACTGTGCGCTTAGAAACATCAGTATTAAGCGCCTAATAAATGTTATGTATTATTATTATTATTATTTACAGAGGATCACCTTTGGAACATTCAAAGTTTATTTAGTTCCAGTGGAGAAGTTTTTAGCTCCAGAAATTACTGAGATACTGCATGAAAATGTTTCTTCTGTTCAGTTTTCATAATGAAGATGTGAAGCATAAAACTTCTCCTTAGCATAAACAATTTAATGACTGTATAAAATTAGTGTAAAATCGGTGGAGAGTCGAGTGTTTCTGATACTTAGACGCTGAATGTGGACAGGCCAGCTTTTGAGCTGGAGCTGGTGTGTCATTTGAAACGTAAATCTTTGTACATTGTATGTACGCTTTTGCAAACCAGCCTGTATTGTTAAAAAGGAAGTAGATATTATTTGGTTTGAATTTATATTTGTTTTACAGTGGTAGCCTTTGGCTGTGTAAATTATTCCATAATATGATTTGCACCATGTTCTGATAATTAATTATGGTAAAAAAAAAATAATAATGAAGGGATTGAGCATGTTTAAAACAAAACTAATAATGGTTTATAAAAAGAAAAAATGGACAAGAGCGTCATGTCTGTTATGCTAAATTTTGAGCTAAGCCTATAACAATGAAATGTATGCTCCAATTTTTTTACCCCAGACATGTACTTGAACATCTATGTTTAGAGAACAATTATGAGCTTCTGTTCTGAATGTCGTTTTCATTACGATGGAATTGCACTTATCATATGTCATATATAATTTAACACTTGATAAAGAAAGTGAAACTAGCATTTTTTATTTACTAATCGTCAAAAGCGATATGAATGTTGTATGTTGATTGTTCCTTTTGTAAGTGATATGATAATTTTACTATCTCCCTTCCCCCTATATGAAGGTACCCATTTATACCCCTTTATATTGTGCCTGTCTTACCTGTACTGCTACCTTCTTCTTGTACTTATACAGGGTGCTACAAGAATTTTTTTCACCACTTGCCCTGTCGGGCAAGTGGGTTTTCAATTTACTTGCCCAAACAATATTTCCACTTGCCCAAAACTTTAAAGCGAAAAAGGACTCGAGGTTAAAGCATTTATTATCTCGTAATGATAAGTTAGTGTTTTAGATAGCAAATTAATGCACATACATGTACAGTGTAACTGTACTGAATAATAACCGTAACGGACATTTTTATTTCATCATTCACTGCTATAAATATCATGCCAAAATTTGTAAATTCTTACTAAATAATAATATTGAAGATATTTTACGATAAATCTCGGATAAGTATGCGAAAACTAGACTAAACAACGTCGCTAAAACCATGAAAACAAAACAACAACGGCTTATATTCTGGGGGTCTCGATACTATTATTATCAAAATGACTCGCTCGGTCGGATCTTGAGACCGCAGTAATAAATTGAAAACGAGACAAAAACATTCATCTGATTTATATGAGCAGCGAGTTTTAAATAATATGTTCACAATCATTAACAGTCATTATGAATAAATATCAAACATTTGACTTTTTGTACTTACTAGAAAATCCCTGTTGTTTATTCCATTCCGATTCGCACGTGTTCATTTCCCTAGAATAATGACGTCATATTTGGCGTGATTCAACCAATCGGCAATCAGAGAATAGCAAAGGCCTGTCGGTGCGGCCTGCAGAGCTAGAGAGAGAGAGCGCGAATAAGCTCGCAGCTGGTACGATCGCGCTAGCTGTCTCTAGCTAGCTCACGGCCGGCCGTGCGTGGAGGCGGAGCGGCATTCATGGCTTGAAGTGTCACTGTTGCATGCGCGCTGAGCTAGCTGAGCTGGCTAGCTGTCTGTGAAGTTTTTTCGAAATCGGAACGATCGCTTTTTTGCTTCTGGATTTTGACGACGGGTAAGAAGTTGACGGGTGAATGGTAGAGTTCTTGGACACTAGGAAATTACTGTAAAAGTATCACTTGCCCGAATCGGGCAAGTGATAATTTGATTTACTTGCCCGACGGCTCAATTTGGTTGCCCCGGGACGTCGGGCAAGCGGGTTTGTCGCGCCCTGCTTATAGGTATAGACCAGTCTATGAAACGCCCCCCCCCCTCTCAAAAAATGAAATGGAAGCTCTTATTACCAATCATGTTACAAAAGAATATGTTTGACTAATACGTGCTGATACAAATTTTGCTGGGAAACCCCTTACTAATTCATATATTTGGTAAATTATCAAATCGATCCAGCCTGGATAGATATCGCAAATGCAAAACGCAAATGCAATGTTCAACATTGAACATTTGGGCATATATTTTTGCTTTTTTTGCGAATTTAGGTTTAAGTATTGTCATCTAAACCTCTGAAGGCAATATTTAAACAATATTGAATGGATATTTTGCACCCAAAACCCTTGAACCGCAATTTTACCACTGACGGTCTATAACTTTAACACTGCTTATATGTTTTTTTGCATCTTGTAGGTTTAACTACCGTTCAACACATTACCTGGTCACTCACGGTTTCTACAACTTCTTGAACTGGTTTGATGAGAGAGCATGGTCTCCTCTCGGAAGGATTGTTGGGGGCACAGTAAGTATAACATTTAATTCAAGGTTATGATGACAACTGATCTAATGGTAGAATTGCATTTTATATATAAAACATCTTTTTTTCAGCTTTCCTGGAAATGGGAATCATGTCAGAAAAAGAATTTGCACAGTCAAATTATACCAACTTGCAAAACCTTCCTGAAAATCACAAACACTGAAAAGCAATGAACGCAGATATGAGTATGTAGGACAGAGAAATATTTAATTTGGGTCGAGTCCTAAGGTCCAGACAAAATTTTAAACTATTTCTCATTGTTTTTAATAATTATATTTTATTTTTTTATTTTATGTTTTTGATTTTGAGAAAGCATTTTAAACCATGCCCCCTCTCCCTTCCACTTCCTGCCACACACAAACACACAGAATAGGAATAATACAATTGAGGACTGGTCAGTGTACTAGCAGATGTCAATTTTATTTTTTCAATTAAAAGTTGCTGTGTATATGTATGTTCAAATATTTGACTCAGCTTGCAATGTATAATGATAAGAAATATTTAAAAGCAAATGCATAATTTGTTTTAACTTAAGACTGTATTTTGATATGTGGAGGAATTAATACATATCTTGTCCATCTATTTCTCCTTCTTTTGTTTAAATTCTGTGAAAAACATTGTCTTTTTTCATGTCTTAAATATTATACTCATCTTCCATAAATATTCACTTTTACTTGTAGTTTTACATCTATAATGATTGAAGAAATGTCAATCAATGGGGTAATTAGCATTTCCCTGAATTAAAATTGATGAACCAATGTATAATTCTCTGTGCTGTAAACATTAACATAATGCTGATTCTCAGCACAGTCTGTCAGCCATTAATAATTGGTGATGGATTGTGGTCTGACTGGTTTGACATTAACTGCCTTGCAAAACTAATCCAGGAGAAGGTATGTGTGGGAGAGATAAGATTACTTTTTTGAATATTACTGTATGCCATTTGGCATTTGATATATCGGTACATTTCATTTTGCAAATTATTCATGTTGCTTCATGTACATGTATGTAACTATATTACCCATAAGCGTTGATCCTTACTTAATACCTGTTGTTCAGGGGGGGGGGGGGGGGGGGGTGATGAGTGAATAATTAGATCATCCCCTCCCCCATCCCCCCCATCCCCCCCCCCCCTGAATGATCATAGCCATCAATTACAGATCTACAAATGTACGACCATGATCATACTGTCTTTTCAGAGCCAGAAAGGTGTTTTGTTAACACCTCTCTGGCTGCGGCAGACGAGAAGAGTTTACTGGAAATCCTCGAATTATGTAACAGTCAATTATAGGGGTGGGTGAAATCAGGAAGTGTGCTTATTCTGCCTGTGCAATTGATTTCTTTATCAACCCCTTCCAATACCTTCTTTTTACCATAAATTTGCACTCTTATTTTTGTTTATTTGTGTTGATGTACCTCTCTTTCTCTCTCTCCCCTCTTCAGGTCTACCCTGGTTTGATGGTGACATCAGGGGCTATTTATAACATCCTTCACTCTCTCAACATACCAATACACATAAGAGATGTCTGTGTGTTTCTAGCGCCCCTCTTCAGGTAAGAGAGAACAAAATTCACCCAGATATTAGTTTTTGCCTTCATAAACAGTCAACTTAGCTAGATTGTATATAAACTAACCACAAGAAAGTGTACACATGTACCTTGCATTCTCTATGGGATACTGGTTTTAAAGGAGTATGAACAATATACAGGATGATTTAAAACCCCACACATGGAACTCAAGGCAGATTCAGGTTCTGGGCGCACTGTTTTCTTTATAATGAACATGTACGGATGCGTCATCTATTCTTACTCACATGTTGCTTTTTGTTTATCAAGAGTGTCTTGAAGCTTTCAATAATTCATATTAGAAGTTATATTTGAAGCTTGTATTTTGAATATGGAATAATGACATGGAACTCCTGACTCCATAGAGAGCTGAATATATTTTGGTGATGGATACAAACTATGAATGCTATCCTGGTCGAGGTTGGAATAGAAATATTTGTGTAAATAATGAAGAGTGGAATATAGAACATACCAGCTGAAATTGCATTGGACGAGTATCCCAATTGAAACAAGGCAAAGCTATTGTTGCATAACCTTGAGAAACAACACTATATTAACATATTTGAGGGTCAGTGTACAGAGGCAATTCAAAGAATGCATTTAGACCATCAACAGTTTGTATTAAGTGATGCAGATATGGCTCAGCTGAATTTTTTTTGTTTTTGTTTTTTGTTTTTTTTTTGGTGGGGGGGGGGGGAGGAGGGGCTTATAAATTTATTTGTTTGACTGTTTCATTATATGCCTTCAGATGGAGATGCTCTATTCGTTATCTTAATACATGACATTAAGACATGAATGTCTTATTCATTTCACGTTTTTAATCCATTAGTGTCCACTCTCTCAGCTGGTAATATTACTATAATTTGATTTACAAAATCACATTTAAGGCTTGTTCAGACATGACGCAGCCAGGGAAAAAAAATACACGGGGGCTCGGGCGAATTCACCCCCGAAACAAAACATCAGCCGTTTTTTATGATGATATAAAGTGTACTATGCCTCACATTTCTATATCTTGTAACAAAGAGCTCATTGAATATGCACAAGTCCTTGGTTGCTGCAGTTGCCCTTCATTTACACGTATATAACCTTGGTGGCTTTTTTGCATACCTGTAATTACAATGCCATATACCTGAAGGAGCCTCTACACAGGAGCAGAAAGAACAATACCGATGAATGAATGGAGTTTCTGTTTCAGTACATTGTCTGGTTCATTTATCTTACTCTTAAAGTGACTCGGTAACATTGCCTCAGATTCTGAAACAAAATCCTGGATTTAGCTCATGCTGCAATGATAATTATGAACCTTTAGGTCAGTCAGGAACCCATGACTCTTTATACAAGCCGATCGCCTGTCTGATTATCAAGATATTTATGATTGGAAATCAAAATCAAAGGACAGTGGGGCTTTAATGTCATGTATTAAGATAACAAATAGAGCATCTCCATCTCAAAAATCATATTTTGTGTTTTCCTGACGGTTTTTAAAACACTACAGTCTATTGGGGAAAATGAGTATGATAAAACGGGTCACTCAAAGATTTTTACTTTTTTGAGGCACTTCATGAACATTTTGAAGCGCAATTTTTTCTAGGGCTTCAATATTACACCATATCACAGACACTGATAACAAGTAGGGCCATGCATCTCAGATTTAACATTGTTAAACGATGCCTTAAATTTTTATTAAACGTCAGACTGATAGAAATTGATTTCTCTAAATTAATGGGTTGATGTTTCCTTGTCTATTGCAGTGGACTCACAGCCTTGGCAGCTTATGGCTTGACAACTGAGCTATGGGATGCAAGTGCTGGTCTATTAGCAGCATGTTTCATTGCTATTGGTAAGTGTACATTATAGACTTTGATATTACATTCCTCATCTGCTGACAAAGGCCCGAATTCACAAAGGAGGTTCGTCGACAAACCTCCTTTTGTTTCGACAAACCTCCTTTTGTTCTTTACAAACCAGGTTTGTAAAAAACGCGTAAAAACGCGTCATATGACGTACGAAAACCAAGATTTGTCCACAAACCTCCTTTGTGAATTTGGGCCATAATGTTTGATTTACATGTACATAATAATTTATAGTGGTTTGAATATGAGGAATATTTTACATTTACTCTTAAAGGCACCATACATACCAGTATACAAATCTGTGCTTCAATTTCTGCATTTGGTTGGGAAAATTTTGCATTTTTAATAGTTGATAAAACAGTTAACAACTCAGTTATTCATACCCTTAACCAAGTTTTGTAACATTTTAAGTATTAAAAAATTGATTTATCCTGATTTATATTTCTTCAGAATATGACATGTTAAAGCTTTTATCTAAATGTATTCAACCACTTTATCTTTCATTCTTGAGTTACATAAAAATAAAAATACATCAAATTTACAAGGGTTATGAAATGAATAATTTAGTTGTGAACTATATATACAGAAAAAGGATCTTGACATTTTCCAGTATAAGCAAGAAATTTAGATATATATAAGTATGCTTTCTGACTTGGAGAAAGAAAAACACTGGGAATAAATGGTAAACAATCTGAAATTCTGAATAGTATATATTTCAAACAGTCCAACCTGTAAAATGATCTTTGTTTAGATTGGTAGTTCATTGGTATATGAGGAAGTATTTCATGCATGCTATATTCAAGTGAGTTTGAGGAAGTAATACAAAGTATTAGTTAGTAGTTTTAATTTCTAGTTTGTATGGAAAGAATATGATTGGTATTCATTGATAAAAAAAATATGAATGGGTTATAAACTGGTACCTGTTAATGTCTTAAGAAGGGAACAAGCACTTAGTGGTGTCATGCACATCTTTAAAATGTAATATATATAAATATATGGTATAAGTTCATATAGCTTTAAAACAAATGCAAAATTATATTTTAAATAATTATATGAAAAATAAAAATCTTTTTTCTTCAAAGGTGTTTTTTTTTTAAAGGTTATTTTTGTTGTTGAAATCTGTATGTGAGCGAGGGTGACTTTTGGTCAACATTCTGAGTTATGTAAATTCATTTCTTCATTTACATGTATGTATATTATCCTGTTTTTTATGTAGGGCTACTGATATATGTGGGCAGATACTGCATTTTGCTCTGAATTGAAATATGTGATATGCATCCTCTATACGTCTCTCCTGTACTATCTTTCATTTTAGAGAAACTTTACTAATGATGATTTTACTTTTTAAAACCAAAGAGAGATTGAAGACATTCAATAAAAGAAGCATGTGCATGTACCTTATAAGGATTTTATAAGTGAAATATCATACTTGCAGATAAGGCATGTTAAATGTTTTAGATGTAGACCTGATTTTTGTTTCCTCCAAGTACTTATCAATCCTTATTTTTTTTGTTTACAGTACCAGGCTACATATCCCGATCAGTGGCTGGATCCTATGATAATGAAGGAATCGCCATCTTTGCTCTGCTTTTCACCTACTATCTATGGGTAAGTAAGAGACCCCAAGTGGGCAAACCTACTTATCTAAAAGTAACAGTCGGCTGTGAGATAGAAAATATGTCGGGTAGAATAAAGAGAAATTGTGCAGAAATGAAAAGAAAAAGATTTGTTTTTTTATTTATTTTTATATCGTTGCTAAATTTAAAATAAATAGATAAATATAAAAATGACCATAAAGGTTTATGAAAATGGAAGCTTGCATACAGGGCACAGTTCTTTTACCTGAAGTATAGGTCAACTTAGCATATCAAGTTTACTTTGATTGATAGCTTGTGTACTGCACAGGACATGCTTGTTGTGAAATTCACATAAATGGGTAGATTACAATGGCATGATTGTAAATCACATGGAAAGAGAAATCTACAAGAAATTGTTTTCACATCTTATTGCCTCACAAGGAACAATTTAGTCGAGGGAAAAAAGTGTAGTTGTGTATTACTCTGAAATATCCTACGATAATTTCTCAAAATTAACTTATGCTCCATGAAGTTAGGAGAAACCTGATCCCTGTTTACATGTTCTGTTGAAACGTGTCCTGTTTAGAGAGCAAATATGCATGATCTATTTCAAACGTATTTAATGATCTTGGCTACCGGTATATGTTTCCTTCTCCAGATCAAGGCTGTAAAGACAGGATCTATTGCCTGGGCTTCTGCTACAGCACTGTTATACTTCTATATGGTAAGTTTTCTATCACTGTTTTCTATACCGCCATTATTACTCTTATAAATTTAAATCAGCACTGAAACATACGGTAGTACTCTTTTCATTTTTAATGGTCTGGAACAATTTTTGTCAAGGTTGGATTGCCCAAGGCCTCTGTTTATTTCCTTTGACAGTGGTGTTTGAGGTGTGTTTACAGCTGTTGCAATATTGATTTCAGTAATCAATCATGTTCATGACATGGCAATGATCTGAATGTCTGAATGTAATTTATGTTACTAGAAATTATTGTAAATGTTATAACCTAATAGCTATTTTTGTTGATTTGTGCTTCTATTCAATGATAACATTTTTTTTTTTTTTTTATACATTCAAGCGATTGGGTGTCTTTGCCTCAGATTCTACATGTAAACAAAATCCTGGATTTAGCTCATGCTTCAATCATAATTATTGACCTTAAGTTAAGTCAGGCATCCCATGACTTTGACAAACTGATCGCCTGTCTGATTTTCAAGATATTTATGATTGGAATTAGAAATTTCAAAAACTGTTTTTCAAACAGTTTTTATGACACTACAGTCTATTTGGGAAAATGAGTATGGTAAAACTGGTCATTCAAAGATTTATACTTTTTGGAGGTACTTCATGATCATTTTGAAGCGCAATTTGTTTAGGGCTTCATTTCATTTTTTTTCATTTCATTTATTTTCCACTTCTCATAAAAAACATATAACAATTTACATACAATATCTGATTAAATACAACAAAACAAAACAAGAAAATAACATAACAATAAAATAATTTTAAGCACCTAGAACTTATAATTGAGTATGTGGAGGAGCCAACAAAGGCCATTGACCTGTCAAGGGCTGGTCTCCAGGAATAAATTAAAAATATATTGGTAGGTAAAGAACATAATTTAGTACATAACAAAAGGGAAACAGGCGGTCTGTGTGATGGAAAAGTATACACAAAGAATATATGAGCATAAATAATTCAGGTGGTGTAGTAATTATTTTAAAAAGATCAACATATTTTAACATTTCAGAAGACATTGTTTGTATTTGCCTTTGAAAGAGGCAGGCGAAGGGCTGTTTTTTATGTCATCAGATAATGAATTCCATAGTTGAGGTCCCAAGTGTCGGACCGTCTGTCTGGACGACTCATACTTTAACAATTGAACACGTGGTCTATTGGAATATCTGGTATTGTACTGATGCATTTCAGAGTTTAACATGAACATATTATTAAAAACCTCAGGCAGCAAGTTGTTGAAATATTTGTACATAAATAATGCAGTTTGCAATTTACAAATGTCAAAAATATTTAATACTTTAAGTTTCTTAAAAAGAGGATCACTTGGTGTTCTGGGATGAGAGTTAGTTATTGCACGTAGAGCTCTTTTTTGCAATACATATAGCTTATTTATTAAAGTATTTGAACATTTCCCCCATACTATATTACAATAAGAAAGGTATGGCAAGATCAATGTGTTATATAAATTGGTTAAAATTCTCAGAGGAATGAAAGGCCTAATTCTATACAATACTCCAATTGCACGTGCTATTTTCCCCATGATTTCATCAATATGACAAGACCAAGTCAGGCTATCATCTACAGCAATTCCAAGAAATTTTATGCAGTATACTTTATCAATCTTATAATTATTGATGTATATATCCTCAATTTCATCATCAAGATGTCTATTTCTTTTCTTAAACACCATACATTGAGTCTTTTTTGAATTGATCATAAGCTTGTTTGCTGCAAACCATTGGTCAATTTTTGGAATTTCTGTACGAATAATGGCATTTAGTTCATTTATACTTTTCCCTTTTAAAAACAAAGTAGTGTCATCAGCAAATATTGTAGGGCAAATGAGTTGAGTAACATATTGAACATCATTAATGTAAAGCAGAAATAGAAGGGGGCCTAATATAGAACCTTGGGGTACACCTACAGAAATCTTGAGTAAAGACGACTTGATATCATCCAAGTAAACAAACTGACTTCTGTTATTCAAATAGCTTCTTATCCATTCTAGACATACTCCCCTTATTCCATAATATTCTAATTTTTTTAATAATATGACATGGTTGATACTATCAAATGCTTTAGAAAGGTCAAGGAAAATACTAAAGGCAATATGTTTACTTTCAAAGGCATTATTTATATTATCAATAAATTCTAGTAACGCCAGGGCAGTAGAATGTCCTGAGCGAAACCCAAATTGTCTATTATATAAAATATTATATTTATTTATGAATGACATCAATTTAGTATAAACTAATTTTTCAAAAATTTTGGCAAAAATGGACAAAAGAGAAATAGGTCGATAATTTGAACTTAGATTCTTTTCTCCACCCTTATATATAGGCAAAACTTTCGCTAATTTTAACTTGTCAGGGAAGTGACCACTTTGTAGAGATACATTATAAATATAAGTTAAAGGCAAAGCAATTATATGTATACATTTCTTGAGAACTTTGGAGTCAATATCATCATATCCTGGACTCTTGCCATCTTTTAGTGCTAGTACTATATTTACAACATCGACCGTCCGTATGTCAGAAAAAAATAATGAAGTAGGATAGTCACCATGTAAGTATTTACCTGGATTTATATCATTTGAAGGTATATTTGTATTAATATTTATGCCAACATTAACAAAGTATTCATTTAATAGTTGCGCTATTTGCTTCTGGTCATGTATAATGTTACCATCAATAGATAAAGACATGCATTCAACCTTCTTAGTGCCATTTTTCAAAATGGAATTTATGACTCTCCATGTAGCTTTTAAATCATTATGTGCTGTATTAAATTTAGAGTGGAAATATTCACGTTTGCTCTTTCTTAAAGCATCACTTGCAATGTTTCTCCATTGTTTGTAAACCTGTTCACGATACTGACTAGGATTCTTCAAGAATTTTCTAAATAACCTGTTTTTCTTCTGACACAATTTTTTAACTTTCTTGTTGTACCAAGGTTTTTCTTTTCTCTTTACACAATTTTTAGCTCTACGAAGAGGGAAATGATTATTATATAAAGAAGTAAATTTTTCGATAAATAAGTCGTATAAGACGTTTACATTTTTGTCACAGTTACACCATGTCACAGTGATACCACGTTTCACAAACTTGACAATTTTAGGGAATCATAATTATTTCACCATCTTTATCTTTGTTACAGGTATCAGCATGGGGAGGTTATGTGTTCATTATCAATCTGATCCCCCTCCATGTATGTGTCCTGCTGCTCATGGGGAGGTTCTCAAACCGTGTCTATGTCGGTGAGTACCTGAGTGACTGCCAAGTTGTCTTCGGCATTATCTGTTTCGCTCATGAGCCATTGCTGTTGAGTCATTTGGTATTTCAATGGAAGTGGACACTTTTCTAACCTCAAATCAACAACTGGGTGGCTTCAGTGCATCAGAAAAAACTTTTTTTTTTCAAACCATGGAATTAGTTGCTTCAAGATTCCATCAAGTAATGAAATGTCATGGTATTTACAATAAGAACGTCCAAACTTTAATATCAGTCGTATGATGATGTTGGCTACTTGGGCACTTCTTTTGATGCATATTAACGGTATCTGTACACTATACACAAGATAAATGATAATAATTGTACCAATATCGCATTATATATTTAAAATTGTACTAATGCATGGATATATTACTGTTTCATTTTCAGCATTCTGTACATTTTACATCTTGGGAACCCTGATGTCTATGCAGATCCCATTCGTAGGCTTTCAGCCAGTACGAACCAGTGAGCACATGGCAGCTGCAGGTAAAGTGAACTCAGATTTTGCATTCCTCAAAGTAGCAAACTATTTTATGTGGAAGAGATTTTGTCTTCAGTTTCAGTTTTTTATTTTTCATTTCCAACAGAACAGTAATTATGACAAGAAATCAGATATACAATTCAACATTCAATATTACATTTTACACGGTTTAAAGTTGTGAAATAGAAAAGTATACATAATTATCCAGTATAATGGGTTTTTGTCTCGCCTGCGTAGCAAAAAAGCGAGACATAGGCGCCTTTCCAGTGACGGCGGCGTCAACATCAAAAACTTAAAGGTTAAGTTTTTGAATTTTTGATATAATTTTGAAAGTATAAGTCCTTAGTCAATGAAACTTGGACTATAGGGTTATCAAGTATCTCCAATCATGTGAGTTGAATTTCAGGTCACAAAGTCAAGGTCAAAGGTCATTTCAGGTCAACAGACTTAGACTATGTTGTGGCATCATTATCAAAAACTTAACCTAAGGTTAAGTTTTTGAATTTTTGATATAACTTTTAAAGTATAAGTTCTTAGTCAACGAAACTTGGACTATAGGGTAATCAAGTATCCCCAATTATGTGAGCAGAATTCAGGTCACTAACTTAAGGTCAAAGGTCATTTTAGGTCAACAAACTTGGATTATGTTTTCACAACTTAATATGAGAATAAATAATCAATTTTTTTTTATTTGTTCATGATTCTTAATCAATATTCACTTCAAAATTCTGCTGATTATATTCAGAGGTTTCATTTTGGCGGGGCCTGCTAATGGGCCACCCTGCCTATAAATAATGTTCTACCCTCAATTTTTCTTCATATCAAATTGCGTAATGCAGGCGAGACTGCCGAGAGCGTTTCCCTTGTTTAATTCTTAAAAAAAGATAAAACTGTGGAAATGGAGGAATCCACTGAAAAGCAGAGCTTGTAAAAATAATGAAATTAATACTCAGGAAGATATTCCTCCGCAGTGGTGGAATAATGAAAACTGCTCCTTACATATATATGCCTTAAGTACATCGTACAATTCATTTGCATGGAATTAAATGAATCATGAATATAACATATTTCACGAAATTGGATTGAAATTGATGCATGGACCAGACCAGATGCAACTTACTTACAATATATTAATTGAAAATTAATGAGCACTATTATTTATATAGAAACTAACATTCCCTGTTTTAATTGAGTTTGTTCTTTCATTTTGTTCATGTATCAGGTACCTTTGTTCTGCTTCAAGCCTTTGCCTTCCTGAGGTATATTCAAGACTTCTTGACCAAGCAAGAATTCCGCTCTCTATTCTTTTTTGGTGTGCTTGGTACAGCAGGAATTACTTTCATGGGTGTCGTATTCTTAACTTATGCAGGTGAGTAAAGGTTCCGCACAATACCAGGATATTGGTATCTTTGGGGGGCTACCGTGAAGCCAGAGTCTTTTTTTAATTGTGAAAATGCAATTTGATTAATATTTCAGAATGAAACTTTCATTCATCCCAACCATGCAAGTTAAAGTATCACTGAATTTACATGTAGATATCTTCAGGATTATATACAAGTGGAAGACTTACTGTTCTCTAATTGGTTTAAAAAATATTGATTTCTTTTGTTCGAGAAAAGTGTTTGAACTTGATTTATATTACATCTTTTTCATTTCTCTCAACTCCTGGTAACATGTTATTCATTTTGTATTGCAGGTTACGTTGCACCCTGGAGTGGTAGATTCTACTCACTGTACGATACTGGGTAAGTGTGTCAGATATTTAAATACCCCTCTTTTACAATACTATTTTTAAATACTGCATATGCATCACAGTAATAAGATTACATGTTTTGTAATGTCGAAGGTAATGTACATTTTCATACATGTATATGCACATACTCTAATCTGTATGGAAGTTCACTTCCATGTGGTCTGTTTATATGGTTTACAATGTTATTAGAGGGCTAATCTGTGTTGAACAAGTTGATTACTTCCTCTCTGAAAGCGTAATCCCTAAACACCAAGAAGGATTTACCAGGGTGGATTACACATACTCTAATTTGTATTAGCTAGGTCATTTGGGTATTTTGGAAGTTCACTAACATGTGATCTGTTTATATGGTTACAATGTTACAAGAGATTGTGTTGAATCTGTGTTGAACAAGTTTATTACCTTCTCTATGAAAGGGTAATCCCTAGCCACAAAGAAGGATTTACCATGGTGGATTACACATACCCTAAATTGTATTAGCTTGGTCATTTGGATATTGCGGAAGTTCATGACCATGTGGTCTGTTTATAGGGTTTACAATTTTACAAGAGGCTGAGTTGAATGTGTTGAATAAGTTGATTACCTTCTCTATGAAAGGGTAATCCCTAGCCACAAAGAAGGATTTACCATGGTGGATTACTGGTCCTGATCATCCCCTTCAGTCTCTAACAACAAAGAGTAAGGATAAGGGCCATTATTCAATCCTGCCAAGTGCTATGGAGTTATGGCTGATACTTGTTGACCCCTGAACAATCGTTTCTTTGGGTCCATTATCTTTTATGACTTCACACAGACGATGTAGGGACTTTCCCGTTTCTGTTAGCCCACCTTACAACCATCTAGTCCTTGGGCCCCCATTTTCTCCTTTTGCCCACACCTTGTTCGAGTGGGATATGTTTTGAAATAACAAAGTGTCCTTTTAATAACTATTGCCTTTATGAAGCAGTCAATCACTGACAGCTTCTTTTCCTCCTGGTTACCCCCAAGGGACCCTAACTACTCACTGCCAGCACCACAGTTTAAATCAGTTCTGGCTTTTCTTTATTTAATTGTCCATGGTGTGCTTCCATGCAACACTTACAGGGAAGGCCACTTAGAATAGCATTCACTGAGCAGGTAGATTGAAAATTCTGCTCAAAAAGAGGCAGCTTTCACAAATGCAAGGAGTTGTATTCACGCATTATATTTTTTCAAATTCTAGAATTCATTAAAGTTTGAAGATGTCACTATTGTTTGTTTACTTTCCAGCTATGCAAAGATTCACATTCCAATCATTGCCTCGGTGTCCGAGCATCAGCCAACGACCTGGGTGTCCTTCTTCTTTGACCTTCATATCTTGGTCTGTACATTCCCAGCTGGACTCTGGTTCGTCATCAAAGACATCAATGATGAGAGAGTCTTCAGTAAGTGCCTTTGAAAAACTTCACAATAAGAAATGATTGTTTTTTTCTCAATGTAGAACAGTTATTGTTACAAGTAACAAATGAAAGTGTTTTAAAGTGTATTATCATTATGACTACGGTAGTATTGTTGTACTGGTTGTTGGATTCAGTGACAATTCTCCACACTTGGACCAACTCGGACCCGGGGACAACTCGGCCCCGCTGCAAAAACAGTCGTTTTTTGCAGGTTAAAGGTTAGGTTTAGGGTTAGGGTTAGTGTAAATGACAAAAAATGACAGTTTTTGCAGCGGGCCGAGTTGTCCCCGGGTCCGAGTTAGCGTGGATCCCTGGAAGTATATCAGCCAGTTTCTGTTTTACAGGTGTGTACATACGCTGGAACCCGCAATATATGTTGTATTCATTGAATGGAAAAAATTATGTCATGTTTAAACTTCATTATGAATTAGCTAAATTAACTTGAACTAGAAGTTTCACTAATCTTAATATCTAAGCTAAATTGTAATGATTGGTTTGTATTTCAGTCCAGTGTGTGTGTATCAATCAGATATGATTATTTACGTCTTGGGACCGACCTTTAAACGTCACCATCCGAAAGACGTGACTCGGTTTCGTGACTCGAACCTGCGTCCTCGGCTGAATCAGTTATAACTTCCATTGTTAGCTTGATTACAGGCGCACGCCACAAAGCCTAGTGTAACCTTTCACTAATTTCAATATCTGAGCTAAATTTTAAGTATTGGTTTGTATTTCAGTTCAGTTTGAATCCAGTTGATAACTCTAAACCACAACTACATTATGAATTGGCTGATAACCCTAAACCAGGCGGTTCACTAATTTCATGTTCTGAGCTAATTTGTAATTATTGGTTTGTATTTCAGTTGCCCTGTATGCCTTGAGTGCTGTGTACTTTGCCGGTGTGATGGTACGTTTGATGCTGACCCTGACACCAGTGGTCTGCATCCTAGCTGCCATTGCGATCAGCAAGACTCTCAATGAATACCTGGTGGATGAACTCCCCAAGAAGTCCCTGACGGGGGAAGAGGAAGAAGAAGAAGAGGAGGAGGATGCAGATCGCAAAAACAGGAAATATTACGATAAGGTAGAGTCTCGCTTGATAGATCGGAAGCATTCAAATAGATCTGTTGAATGGTATTACCTATGGCAATTTCGTATATGTTATTAATTTGTATTTTTCATTCATCAGAGTAATTTCTGCAAACTTGCACCATATCAGATGCAGAATCTCTACAATAAATACTTTTGCTCAATTAATGTTCCATTTATGGCAAGAAATCAGGAATTTGTATGACTTCACCAGGCTATTTTCATCGCCATGTATAAAAACCTTTTCAGCCTTGTTTACATCAGGTTTACATCAAGTATTTAAAATTATATATTGTTTGGAACATCTCTACCACAACAACTCTTTGTAGCATATGTGTCATGAAAGTTTTCACAACCCATTAATAATCTAGTTAATAGTGTTACCTCTGACTCTCTGTTATTTGTCCTCGTCAAATCCCACAGGCTGGTAAAGTGCGACGTATCAAGACGGACAAAGGCAAGGATGATGAAGGCATGGGAGGTAACCTGAAGGGGTTCGTTGTGGTAGCTATCATCATGACCCTCATGCTGTTCTCTGTCCATTGTACCTGGGTCACCAGTAATGCCTACTCCAGCCCTAGTATAGTGCTGGCTTCACACAATCAAGATGGGTAAGTCTATATGTCTTTTTCTGGGTTCTAGGACAATTACCCCCAGGAATTGTCCTAAGGGGGTCATCGTTCTAGAGGGTAATTGTCCTGCTGGGGGGGGGGGGGGGTAATTTTCTGTGGGAGTAATTTTAATTAATTTCGGAAGTTATTGTCTCGCTGGTGATTGGCCGGGGGTGATTGTCCAGGGGGTAATTGTCCTAGAACCTGAATATGAGACACATGATCAAAACAAATACTAGAATTAGCAATACTGAAATAACTTTCTTTTAAGGTAAATCTAAATTAGTTGCAAAACAGTTATACAATCCAACAATTTCTGAATTCATATTGAAATATGTCTTATGCATTCTTAATTTATTTTTATACAAGTAAAAATGTAGTGGTTTACCATAATTATGTAAGTTCATGATTGTTTTTCCTTCTTACAGGTCGCGTGTTATCCTAGATGACTTTCGTGAAGCCTACTACTGGTTGCGTAAGAACACAGACGATCATGCCCGTGTGATGTCATGGTGGGATTATGGCTACCAGATAGCTGGGATGGGAAACAAAACAACACTTGTAGATAACAACACCTGGAACAATAGTCATATAGCATTAGTAAGTAAACTATATACGAACCCCTGGGCCCGTTGCACAAAACTTACCATTGATGGTAACTTTGCCATCAATGGCAACGTTACCATTGATGGTAACTTTGCCATCAATGGCAACTACCATGGTAACAGGGCTCAAGAGCCAATCAAAATCAAAGTTTCCATGTTAGTTACCATTGATGGCAAAGATACCATCAGTGGTAAGTTTTGTGCAACACGGCCCTGGTATTTCAAGTAGATCAGTATTAATTTTATATTTCATTATGGTTGAAAGGGGTATCACGCTAAAGAAGTAAAAGAGGAGGTAATGTATTTTGACTTAAAGAAGTTAAAGAAGTGCTGAGAAGTTCGATCATTTCCTTAAACCAGAAATATTCGCATGTGAACAACTTTTAACTTTCAACAGTAGCATAAGTGATCAAGAATCTTGAAAGTTTCATGTTGCATCATTGATTGAACCACAACACTTAATTTTGACTGCCATTTCCCAAAGTGATGTCACAGAAATATCTGGTTTTACAGTAAATTGAAAAGGGGGCATTCTGTGGTTAGGGATTCTGTTACACAACTTAAGATGCATAATAGTGGGCTCTCATGGGGAATTCGGCACCATTCGGACGTTTTGTCGATCACCAGGATTAGCCTTCATTTTTATGACCAACAGGCCTTATGTAATGCTCTTCATTTTCCACCCATCCCCCATGAGGCTCTTACATTTACTTCAACCAAAGACTCTGAGAGACAAGGGGGTATTTCTTGATGGGACTACAGGTATGTGTGTTAGACTTGTACACCTATCGATGGTATTTCCACCAAGTCTGGTGTCAGCGAATTATGACCTTCTGCGCATGGAAAGTGACAACCATCTGCCTTTAAAGGGTGTCTGTACTAGTTCGGCCAGAAGGGATTAGACTACCCAGCGAGGTCACTGACAGGTGGCTATCTCATCAACTCAGCTCTCAATTAACATAAGAAAAAGAGGATCATGGGGGACCAACAGGCACCGATTGGGGAAGTTTTCTATATAGAGGGGGCAAGTAACTACAAGTAGTACAGTGGGGCTTTAAAAATTCTGAATGAATTTCTCCATACTAGCAAGATGCATTTTCTTCCTTTCTTTCTTTCTCTTTATAGGTTGGCAAGGCCATGTCATCCAATGAGACAGCAGCTTATAAAATAATGAGGGACCTAAGCGTTGACTATGTCCTGGTGATCTTTGGTGGTGTGATAGGGTACTCTGGTGATGACATCAACAAGTTCTTGTGGATGGTGAGGATAGCCGAGGGAGAGCATCCAAGAGATATCAAGGTAAAAATTTCATTGCAGTGTAGAAGAGGCTGGTGGTGAATTATCTAAGCAAAATATTTTTAAAGAGATGATATTAATGCTATTCACTCATAATGGTGTAACTTGGATTTATTTAAAGAATGCTCAAGGCTCGTTCAGGTATGATGACATAAACTGCCGCAAAACAGTTTTTTGATGTGTGAATTAATGGCAAGTGCTTGCAAAGGAGGTCCTACTCATATTCACTGAGCTCAGTGTTATAAGATAGGAAATGTGAAACGTATTACACTTTACATCATAAAAGGAGAACACAGTGGTTTGCCGCTGCATATCAGAACGAGGCTTTACAGTGGCAGATCAGAGGGATTAGAGGGGGGGGGGGGGGGGGACGTCTATATTAAGTACAAATATAAAATGCGCCCCTTACCTTAGTGTAAATTTATATTTTTAATTGCTTTAACAACTGAGAATTTTAAGATACACTAATGAGAGTAATGTTAGAAACATATCCCACACTATAACATGATAAATATCGCATATTCAAAAGATGTCTGAAGGAGTAGATTTTTTTTTTATATTAGCATATCGAAAGTGGTTAAATGCTCATTTTGGAGAAACTCTACCGATTTTTTTTCACGATGTAATTTTGAATTCCTTGTTAATTGATACCTGTGTTCACTTGATGATGTTTACAGGAAAGCAACTACTTTACACCCAATGGGGAGTTCAGAGTGGACAAAGCAGGATCGCCTACTCTACACAACTGCTTAATGTATAAAATGTGTTACTATCGCTTCGGGGAATTGCAGGTGAGTGTCTTCAGTCCTGCAATAGACCAACAAAAATGCTTTTAAGGTGGATCAAAAGTAGATTTTCACTGGATAAATAGTAAGCCTTAAGACCGGTGTCTTGTACGATTTTTTAAGTGCATAAGGCATTGTATTTATGCAATGTAATCACCTGTACTTGTGCAAATGAAAGACAATATTTATATTACATACAATTTAAGGCTGAGACTCTATCCATGTACATGTATGGAGTATATCACATATGTAGCAGACTGTTGTTGAGAAACAAGAAAATACAGCTGACAATGTAACATTTTTTGTAATATCTCATGGTACATTAGAAAAAGTTGATATTTTCTTATGAGGCTCTGTAGAAGCATGAAGGAAAGCATCTTTATGCCTCCGCAACAAAGTAGCCGGAGACATTATGTTTTCAGGTTGTCCGTACATACCATTCTCATGATCGCGTTGTCTCAAGAACCGATCGATGGATTCCTGCTAAACTTGGGTCATGTATGTATCTTGCAGAGCCAATGAACTGAGAGATTTTGGGGTCACGAGGTCAACGGTCACAGGGCTCATTATGTATGCAAAAATAGCTTCTAATCATGATTGCTCTTGCCATCTCTCTTTTGCCGCACCTCAGCTTGATTTTCGGTCACCGGCGGGCTTCGATCGGACGAGAGGTGTGGAGATTGGGAAGAAAGACATCTCCTTTGAGCATCTAGAAGAGGCCTACACCACAGAACACTGGCTCGTCCGAGTCTACAAGGTCAAACCACTCAGTAATCGTGTGCCCTCTCAGAACCTGCTTAAGAGAAAGGCAGGCGTGAAGAAATATGTATCTAAGAAGGTAAGGAAATAAGTTCAAGAAAAATGACAGTTCAATTAGGAGACGCCATGGCTCAGTGGTAGAGAAATAACCTTGTAAATGGGAGGTCCCGGGTTAAAAAAATCCAAGTTGACGCACTAGTGCCCTTTGGTAAAGCATTGATCCTCATTACCACGTCCCTCTGAGAGGATTTAAAGCTGTCAGTCCTGGTCAGTTTCTTACAAACATACACATGCTTTCTTAGCAGTCAGGTAAAACAACCCACCATCCATTATCCAAATCAAATTTATTCCATATCATGCCCTATGACGAATATATAGTATGCAGGTCTTTGCATCAATATCATAATCAAGTGGACCTTCATATGTACTTAGTGGTAGCCATAGTGATTGTTGAGTTGACGGCTATATTCACCCACCAACCAATGTCCATTGAGGATGTCTCCTGTCAATGAATGTATTATTGGGTGCAAACTGATATCTGTTTTATGCTTAAGCAGTTTAGTCTATGTGTGTAATTTTGTGATTACTGGTAATGATAAATATCGTTTTCAGAACATTATATTGATCATGTTTTTCTTTCAAATTCTTCAACTTTTACTTTTCCTTCCTCACATCGACAGACGAGTAAGAAAAGGCGTGGATCTATCAAGAATAAACCAGCGGTGAAACGAGGCAAGCGGACTAGAGGAGGTGGCAAAGTTAATAAGAGAATATAAATCTATTCACCTTGCCGAGTTACTCCAGGAACATGTAGTTTAGTTTTAATAAGATTTTTGGGAAATAGCCTTCTAGAATTATGTAGTTACGGGACAGACTTTGGTGGAATGTTAGGAAAGTGGAGAGATTTTACAGAATTATCAAAACCTAATGATAAGTACTTCAATTTTTCTTGTCGTCCTTGTGTACTTTGTCCTCATGGAAAACCAAATCATCATCTTGCTTTCAGGATTTGTATGTACATGTATGTTGCTGTATTACCCAAGATTTCAGAAAACTTAGGAAAAACAAGGTCTGTTACAGGTAAAACATCAGTCGGGTAACATTTATGCATCGTATCTAAGTATTTATGTTTTTACTTTGGTATACAATTTTGAAAAGAAAAAAAAAGGACTAGAGATACATCATGTAGCTGATGCCATGCCTGCGGGATAATTGAAGAGTTGTGTGTTAATACTGAGCCCCCACCTTCTTCAAATACAAACTTTGAATATTCAGTGGTAATTTAGCAAACAATAGTTATGCCAAGCTTTTTTCATCTTACTTACAATTTTAAGACAACATAAGTTTGCATGCCTCTTTTGTGCTATCTGATTATAGCGCATTTTCGCAAACACGACGGTAACTAGAGCAACAAAAAAATCTGCGCATGCGCGAACCAGAATTTTCTCCGTCCTGTTGATTTTCACGACCGTACGCGGCCATTATAGCGTTTGTTCCCTAAACACAACGGAAGAGCTGTATCCTGTAATCCTCCCGTTGTCTTTGCTTCTGTCGTGTTTGCGAAAGCGCTCTCATGAATTGATAAGATACATTTAAAGTCATTCAATTTTATATTGTGGCTTATGCTCGGAAGATAAAAAATCTGCTTCTGTTATTGCTTTTCCAAGTTCCTTCTACCAAGAAAAAATAATTGTCTTATCCTAATGGGCATGCAGCTTGTTTTAAAAATTGGAAATTCGGCATCTCAGGTTTTCTAAAAATCCATATATGTCTGCAAGGATTGTCATTGAAATAGAACCCTGGAATGCATTTGTTATGACTTTAGATCATCAGATGTACTGACAGTCTATCGTTTTGCATGGTCTTTGAAATATATGATGATGTGATGCAAGTTTTTCATACAAAGCATGAATCGCCTGTCTTCTCTCAAAAACCATATCCTTTTGCTCATGTCTTAAAAGTGTAAGGAGTAATTTGTTCAATGTTTAGGCAATCAATTGTGTCTCCAAAAAAATATAATTGTTTTAGCTATTTCAATGAGTAGTATTTCAATGAGTAGACCTAAAGAGCACATACACGTCAGACCTACCCACTGCACTGTTAGATGTAGAAATCTATTGTGTTCAGAACTTGTGGAATTCTTGTAGTAATGTTATCTGTATATTTTGAACTCAAGTTAGCTGAGTTATGGAAAAAGAAGAGATTTATTTTATGTTGAGTCCAGTACGGTGTGACTTGGTGTGTACAACCACTGTAGCTGTAGTAGAGTGCAATTGTTGCCATCTATTGTTTTTAGATAATCACTTTTTTTGTTAGGTCTTTGATTCCAATACTAGTATACTATCTTCCCTCTGTTCACATTCTCACAAGGTTGTCGGACAGAAATTATGACTCTTAAAATTTGTAAAAAAAACATTTCAATTATAAAATAATGTGAAGTCAGACTTGGGGTTTGGGGTTGCCATTTCTCATGACTAAATAAAGAGTGCTATTTGTTCAGAATTTTTTTTAGAATAGCTTCTGCCTACCACTAGAAGGGTATTCTAATGCAAAAGTTAAACCCATCCTTGCTTTCAAGAGACTTTATTTTGCAAATCTACTTATCTTCAACAAGAAGAAAAGGAAATGAACATCCTCTTCAAACTGTGTGAATGATATAATAAAGATGATATACCCATAATATCTATACGGTAGTCTCATCTACTTATTCTTTATACAATGTTTACTCATGAGAAACCAACAAGATTATGAGATAATCACTAATTTACCAGTCTATACGTCCATCATAGCAGTTTGTCAAGTTGTTGTACATCACATGCTAAGCCCTGCTATTACTTATTACAGTTCATTATAACATTGTCGCAATCAATCAGTTGTGTCCATTTTGCCCCGACTTTGTCTTTAAAAGTCTTTTAGACTTCGTACTGCTATTCATGGAATGAAAGTGTGGTGGTCTAGATTCAATTAAGAAATATTTTCTTTGTTATTATCCTGTTCCAGAGTTGTTATGCGTTGTAATCAAATTTGTATTAAATTCTTTGAAAAAATTTGTATTATTTTTCACCTCTGAAATTGTTGTGATATTGTATTAGATATTATGTCATCCATGATGGTTTGATTATTCACATATTGGAAAGGACTTCCAATATAGAAATATTAAAATTTTACAATAAGTGTTAATGAAAATTGTAAAGGGAATGATGGTTGGTGATTGTTAATTTTTTTTTCTTCAAGTATCTGTGATTGTAATAAAGGAAGATATTGTTCTCTTCATATTTTCTTGTAATGTCTTATGGATGTGATTGACTTCATAGTACAAGACAAGATGTCTTGGTAGGTATATGTATGTGAAATGTGCTGTTTTCACATTTTATACAGAAATCACAATTATTTTCACACTGTTGTGGATATGTGCTGGAAAATTTTGAATAAATGTTCCTGCTTTGAGAGCTAAATTGATATTTTGTATATTTGTTATTTTTCAATTTTTGTCATTTACTCTACATTAAAGCGCACAGTAAATTATTGGAAAGTAGAATAAGAGTAAAACATGTCAGTAAGATGGTTTCCAACAATAATGCCCTTGCAAAATTTACATGTATGTGCATTGAATAAAATTTGCTGGGTTTATATAGCGTTGGATACATCTACAATGTCTCTGAGCATTTACAGAAATATGAAATCCTGATGAAGTTGTGCGGCAATTATTAATCCCCACAATCGGATTCAGGCTTGCCTGCACACAATGTATGCACATTCTCCACTCCCTAGGGAGAATGCCAGCCAGGCACCATTTAACAGATGATCACAATGCTGAGGAAACCCATTTAACACTTGGGTGGAAAGAAATGTAGATAAATTGCCTTATTTATGGACATAGATGCCATCCATCCATCCAAAATATATTTGATATAGCGCCTTTTCCTTGCAGTTACAAAGCACTGCACACACGCTCCACAATGTTTGGGCCACTGAAAAACAAAACACAACCTTCAAATATCCAGTCAAGTGTTAAAACCACTCCACTACAGCACTTTTAGAAAGATTTTTCATTAGAAAAAATAAGCTAAAAAGAGAGAGGTTTACTTTTGCATCATATTGCAGAAATAATTAGGTCTAATAGGCTAATTGGTAACCTTCAGTATTTTCTTTTGTTAGGCCTGTGCCTAAAATACAATTGAGATATAGCAAGATAACAAGGTAGGGCATTTTCTTCTTAAACTGCAAATCATTAAAATCTAAAATGGTTGATTGAGCACTTAAAAAATTACTTGTAGCCCTCTCTGAGTGTATATTTTCTTAGTGGTGATTTATAAGTCGTTATAAGAGTTCTCAAAGTATTCTGTCATTAATTTTGATGAGATAGTTTTGAAACCACTCGGTGGTGAGATGGTGGTATATGAGTGTGATGATTTCCTTTTTCATTTATTTATTTTCCACATTCCTGTTAAAATACATGCAAATACAAAATCATGTACATTATGAACATACAAACATACAACACAAACAAAAAACAAAAACAAGTGACAAAGGAGGAAATAATGACGGAGTAATCATGGTTAACCAGTATATGCGGAGGAGGAAAAACAAAAGCAATGTTGATCATCAGGGTTAATCCCCAGAATAATTATAATATCACATAAACATTGTAAACAAAGGTGGGGGGTTGTTTGAATATTACCTTTACTGGGCTAAGAAGATAATTGCATATTTAACAATAAGTGGTTTCTTTTGTTTGTTTTTTCCATCATCAACATTATACAAGTTGGTTGTTTACATGTGAGAGACAGAGAAAGGTGTTCAGTGCAGCATGTTGCTAAAAATCTGCTAGAATTATCCTCATACCCCCCCCCCCCCACCCCTCATTTTTTTCCTGGAGAGAGAGCATTTAAGGAGAGATGGAATTAGGGAGAATAGAAGAGAGTGTGCATGAGAAATGGATCCATTATTTAGGAGAGGGAAAGGGGTAAGATAAAATGTAAAGAGATAAACTTTGATTTAAAAAAGTTGGAACTACAAAAGAACAAACAAAAACACCGCACCAGGGCTAATAATATGGGTACATTTGTAGAATGGGATATATGAAACAGAAAATATATCTAGTTCAAGTTCAAGTTTTATTTATCTTTCTTTCATAACACACATCACAAATATGACATGAAGGACAGTCCAAAGGGAAGGATGGGTTTTATTCATGGGTCATAACAACATAAAGTTTCACTATGTTTCGCAAGTACGTTAAACTTAATCACCTTCTAATTAAACTCATTTCTCAGAATAGAAGATGATTCCTCTCAATTATAACGTTAGCTACTTAGACTACGCTACTGCGCGTGCGCAAACCGTGTATGTGTCATCCTCGAAGGGTAAGGCTGATCTAGCGTGCATGCATTTTATAGCGCATACCTTGCTAGTCGATCGAGTGATAATACATGGGTCAAAGGATAGGTACCATCAATAGGCGTTTTCCTGGATCCGATCCCTGCATGCAACACACACAAACGTCGCCCCGCTAGTCGTCCCCGAGCCGAACCCCTGGAGTGGAATACCTAAGTCGCAGGAGACCAAAATCGTTGGAGAATTGAAGTAAGTACACATTTTATGGGAATATTTGTAGTTAGATCCTTGAGTCCAAATACATGGTAGTTAACCCATGAAGACTCGATCAACATCAAGTGATGAAGTGCCGGTAAATGATTGCCAGGGACAGCGTGTTTTGTAGACAAGACTCTAGACTATTATGTGTGAGACGAATGGGTCAAGTGGATAGGTGAGATCTGAGTGAGTGAGAGCAAGTGCGATAGCCAGTGCAATGCTGAATTGTCATTCTCAATCAGATAATCAGATTGTTGTTGTTAGTTGGTCATGCCTCACTTGAGAGTGAAAATAATTTGACTGTCTCTCCAACTCAAGCCTCATGATAAGCTACATGTAGCTCCTCTTTTTAATTGCACTTTAAGTGAGGCTTAGTCTTAGATCTACATGTAGCTATTTAAATTGTAAGCACCCTGCACTTGCACTTCATCATGTCTTTTGCGACAGACACAGTTGCAATCATCTTCAGTTCAGGAGTGAACTTTGTGAAGAAGGCAGATTCAAGTCAACTGAAGAAACAAAACTGAAACAAATAGAGTTAGTTCCAATGTTTATCTTAGCCTAGGCTTTGGGGAGATTCTTCCACCTTGTTGATAACAAGAATATCGTAGAGGTTGTCCTAACAGGTTGTGTATCCGAAGTCCCGGACAGTTGATTTAAAATGGTAATTTGAAGAAGTTTACAACTTAACATGCAATACGTCATAAACCTATTAAGACTTATATTAGTCTATACAACATTTTAAAAGACGAATATTTATGATGGTTAGTGCTAGATCATTTGATAATTTGATGCATACATTTTGTTAAATCCAAAGTCAAAAGTGGTGGCTTTATTTTTGTTTAGCATCCGGACACACAACCCCCCCATTATCACATGGGATATTTTTTGAAGCGCACATATACATGTACCACCACACAAGTTGCTCAAGGTGCTCCAATAGTACACTGGCTCTACTATGAGTGCAGTGCTAAGTTGCAGATAAATTCTTAGACAGCGAAATCCATCTCCTTAAATTTAAAAAAACATACCAGTAAACTGTTTTGTCTTTTGAAGCTCTCCTCGAAGACATGTAGGAGAGGGATTCGGTGAAGCCAAACATGGTCTCTGCAGAACATATCCCTGAATATAATTTACTGATTTTTCAGTCTATAGATTTTGGTACTCCAAGCATTTAACAACTGGGTAGAGAGTGGCAAATGTAGATCAATGTCTTGCCAAAGGGCATTGGTGCTGCAGACCTGCAGTTGGACTCGAACCATACATAATGCACAGTTTGAGGATGTATCCACTAGACCATGACGCCTGAACCTGTTGATGCAATGGGAATATCAATCTCGTAAACATTTTGCAGTGTTGGTTTGCTGGTCACATTTGGTCTGGAAACCACTAGCTCGTATGCATGCACACGCTTGTGTGTACTGTTGAGTCTATGGGTAACAAAAGGGAGGCCAGTGCATTTGACGCAATGAAGCACTACTGCTTGGAGCGAATGGTGGTTTCTAACATATTTGATATTGAAGCCAAAACTATCAAATTTTCATGATGTGTACGAACATGTGAGTGTGTACAGTATGTACAAATGAACTTCTACTTGTTTTCACACAATAGAGTACTTTTTGTAAATATGTACTCATAAGCCCCAAAATAGGGTTATTATTTAGAGCCCCTTTTGTATTTTGTAACTGTTTTGTGGAAATCATTCAATGAAGTATACCATGTTAGGAGGTCATTTTTTACTGCATTAATGATTATGCATGACACAATTGATAAAAAGTGACACCTCTGTGATAGGAGAACCTCACACTTGTATGAGAGTATTCCAGAATAGCCTCGGAGACACAGAGAAACTAAAGCATGAACTGCTTATGGTAATATAAAACCCAAGGGCCCAGTAGACGGACAGTAAGAGTTACAAACCCAAGGACACCAGCAGATCTATTACATAAACAATCAAATGTATTGCTCAAAAAAGCACTCAAAGAAAGTACCGGTATATGATATCCCGTGTCTCACCTTTCCTTGTCATGCTGCAGCCTACAATTTCCCCCAGGTTCAGGTAAAATACAGAGGGGGCAACTCCTGTTGTTTTAAAAGAATCAATGTCTACACATGTATGTCTATTCATGTCTAGCCTATTCTTTGAATATGGAACACAATGTCACAGCCAAATATGCCTTGAGAAACTATCATTGTACATACCGGTACAGTATACAGTGTATGTACAGTAGATGTGTCCTGTTTTTTCCCCTATAGTTTTTGTATACTAATTTGACGCACATGATTAATTTTTAATTAATTACATTTCATGCAATGTACACGTACCAACAGTGTATTGATTTATGTTGATGTCTTCTGTTATTGATCCAAAGTTTACAAAAAAATCAATACGAACAGTGGTACTTAGAAATTAATACCAGGTTTATGGTAGTTAGAATGGATGTTTGTCATGCTATCTTAGTGGCATTTTTAATTTCCTAATGTTACATATATATGTCTCTGTATGATTTATGGCATGCTATGGTTAACTGCTTATTTTGGTATTTAGATCAAGTCCCATAGAAATATGTACACTGTAAGTGAGAGCTGAGATTCTGTATTTATCATCCTTCATTAGACATTTTAGCTTTCATTTATATCACTTAACTTGTACATGTACATGCGTGTGTACAATACATAGAGAAGGATCTACCGGTATTATGTAATTTCTACAAGAGTTATTACCCGGTACTTATTAGTATGAGATTTCAGATTTCTCTATCTTTAAAATGCTTACCGGTATTATTCTCAACATTTTTGTTTCTCTCTTCAGTCTTAACAAACCCAGAAGCTGAACAATCTAAAGACCTGACAGGAATCATTACAGAATTGCAAAGATGGCAGATTTAAAGAATGATTACAACAAATATGCGGACATCGATGAGGATGAGATTCTCAAGAATCTCACTGAAGAGCAGTTGGAGGAGCTTGCCTATGAACTAGACCCAGATGTGAGTATCAACTAATCTTCCTTATTATTGCATAAAATCAAATTTGAAATTTCAATGTGGATAAATACATACAGTACCTGCTATTACGATATAATTAGGCCTACTATGTACATGTATAATGTCAATTAGTGCTTTCAACTAGTATACATAATTTACATACATTTGGGTACATGTACTGTACCTGTACGTGCACATGGTACCATTGTGATGCAGTGCTGGTTAAGTTAATATACATAATTACGTGTACATGTACATGTTCAAAGCTCAAACTCCAATGGGTAATTACAAAACATGTGTAGATTACAATACAGTCCATATTAATACAAGGCTTTTATGCTGTAAGTAGGAGAAAGATAAAACCACCCTTCTACAGTATGCCTTATATAAAGATTATTATGCATGTTTTTCTACATATTGTACAGTACATGTAGGGCTCAGGTTTTTACGTGATTTGAAGATGGAAATTTTTGAATCACTAATTGTTATAACTGTACACTACAGTCCGTGTTTGGGGACAAAGGTCAGTCAGATCCTTGTCATCTTCAAATTACTGTAGTTCCCAATGTAAGTGTGCATACTATTATCCAGACCGATTGGGTTTCAAAGGTACATAATTGATACAAGTCTGCTAATTCAAGATGTTGGGGAAAAGTTTTGATTGAATTGAAATGTGTTGATGTGTACGTCTAGACATCAAATTATTTACCTATGATCCTCTTTGCGAATAAAACATAATGTACACTTGTAGCAAGTTATCCATTCTTATTAAAGAATTTTGTTTATATCATTCTTTTTAAAATCAATTTTCTCTCCACTACGCTGTGGGTTGATGGTAGATGTATAATTTATTTTGTATATGAGTACCTTTAAGAGATGTTTTGTGATTGAGTAAGTCAGCAGCTGCCTGCTTTGTTGACATAACGACTTAACACATTCATGCACCATATTGTCATACAGTAATTGTAAGGGGTAGGGAATCAGGGATCTGGATGTTTTGGTGTACATAGCATACCGGTAAATCTTGTAGTCATGTTATACATGTATGTATGTACATTATTAATGGACCTCTTTTTATGCATGTTGTTCACCAGCATATGTGATGTACATGTATTCCACACTTTGAACTTGTACTAGTCTGCTTGTATTTTTTTTTTTTTGTCACTGTATGAGATGAGGAGTCACATGAATGTTAAAGTGTCCATATACATGTTCGTTTGTACAACTTTCATTACATTTATATTTCCTATTCAACTTAATACTGCATGTACATACATGTAGCAAATCCAAATTTCTTTGTAAAGAGCAATTTTGTAATAAACATGCCCTGTAAATGTCAATATTATGTCAATCTGTTATTCTTAACAATCATTTGTACATGTAGGTGTATGTTTATACAATGTACATGTGGGTATGCTGCTTACCCTTTGCTCTCCCATATTGGTCTCTATACATGTACAGTATATAATGCCAAAAATGTTGGGTTATTTTTATGATGATCTTTGAACCTGATTAATTATAGTTTTTCCTGAAACTTCATTTTTCGATTACAGTTTATTGAATGCTAGGTATTGATTAGGAATCATATTTATTTTGTATATATTCCTCAGAATAATATGCTACCAGCATCAGACCGTATGCGACCACAAACTAAGAAAGCACCCACAGGAAAGTTTGATAGAAAACAGCTTCTTGAATTCCTGGAAAAGAAGGCAAAGGAAGAAAAAGATTGGGAGGAGAAAGTACCCTTTAAATCTGGCCAGAAGAGAGGTAAGTTATCTTTCTTTGTTGGTTCTTTGGTAATATTTGTATGTTGAATGTTGTGTACCTCCTAACTAATGTTTCAGTTTGTTGTATTCTATGCCCCCTTTCTCTCTCTAGCTCTGTTTGTCTGTTTGGTTCTCTTTGTTTCCCTCTTACATGTATGTCTATTTTCTCTCATATTTACATATATGTGCAGGGAATAATTTTCCTCAAATTTTTTGATTAGCAATTTCAGCCGATGGATAAATATTTCAAATGAAATTCTGTACATTTCTATGGAAGAAAACTGCTACACAAAAGATATTTTGTATAGCAGTCATGCAAAAATGCACAGCAAATTGCGATGCGATACCAGGAAAATTATTCCCTGATGTAGCATTTACCGGTGATCCACAAAAATCTTGTTCTTTAAAATAAAAAAAAGTGATAAAACTACAAGTAAAAAGTACACACAGGTGTATTATATCAGATTTTTCTCCTTTTCCTAAAGGTGCATTTTTATGTCATATAATTTTTTTTTCACAAATATTTGTCATTTCACCATGTCAACGATTACTTTTTTGTATTCCTTCTGAATCTTTGAAGAGTAGTGTTGTCAAGTGATTAAATATTCTTCTTATTTCCATTAAATTGTTGCCAGAAACCATTATTATTATTTTTTCCTGAAAAATGTTATGTGATTAAGTGGAGAAGTTCTTAATAGCTAACCCTTTTGACTCACGTCAGAGGGATGCTTCAGGGAAGTTATTTGTAAATTTGACAGAGTGCCAGGTTATGATGAGGTCATTAAAGAGTAAGAATGCTTTACCTGTTTGACGTACATGTATATATAGGATACTAATTTGATCGACCAAGCTTAGCATACTTTAGATTGGTTTGTTAAATTCATATTGTACTATAATACGTGTGGTATCTGGTATTAAGTGCAGCTGAGTCTGGATTATTCACTTTATTATTGACTAAAACATTTCCATTACAATAAGCAAAAGTAAAAATTATATTAATTATTTGTTAGGAGTTGCCCAGAAAAAATTGTGCAAGGTTATGATAAATAATACTGTACGTCAACAAGCTAGAGAGAAGCACTTTATTCTTTATAATTGAGTCTAGGCTGCAATACATACTACTGTATGCATACATAGGCTATAATTAAACTAAGCTATGATTTAATAATTGAATCACAGTACCTGGGGTGCATGCACACACATGTAAAAGGACCCCAATTGAGCCATATTCTTGTGCCTTTTAAGCCCTCTAGATCTTCACTTGGGGTGATGAATATAATATACACACCTGACAAACCTCATCAGTTATAAATGTCATCACATCATACATGTACTACCGGTAGTAGGCCTATACCATGTCAGCTGATTGATGCATTGTGTAGATGTACATGTAGATGTACATATTCCTGTCTCTGAGTGTCTCATCTCATGCCAGCTCTTGTGTTTGTATAGATGCATGCCAGAGAGTGATTATCACGGCTGTGTACATTAACAGTATGCATGGTACTCTTGTGCACTTGTCATGCACATGCTCATCATGTAAAGAGCAATAGAGAATGTCATTGTTTATATGAGTATGGTTTGGATTAAGATAAGATGCCAGTTATGCATTGCATAGACTTTCATTTCAAAGGTACTTTCTTAGTATTATGACTTATCTTATAACTAAACTTAGACTACCAGAGTAACCAGACTGTACGTGTACACCAACTAATCTTATTGACGCTACATGTAGATGTCTAGTTCTTGATATTGATCTATCAATTCTTTTCATGAGTGAGTAACTGAGTACTGTAAGTAATGCAATCATAATTGATGTATGATACAACATCTAAGCTTCATTGTAGCTCTTGTAGCGCAGTAGAATATATACCTAATGTTGGATAGTTTCTGCGCTTTATAAATGTACTATTATTATTATTATTATTATTGTGATACCAGTATGGGACATTATGCATTATAATTTTATGCATTACAACATGTACATGTACAGTGTATGCCTGTTTCTTTTATGATTTGTGTAGTATGATCTTAAGACCTGATTTATATCTACCGGTACTCAGAAGTGATCCTTTACCTACATGTACAAAATGTACAGTTGTACATGAATAGTATGCGTGTATGCAGAAGTGATGAACATTTAAACAACTGTATGAGATAACATTGATAAGAAGAAGGGGGGGGGGGCATTGATATTTTTCTTGTATGTCAATTACATTAAATTACATGTATGTTGATTCAAGGACTGTCTAGAATAAGAATTAATTACCCAAAACTACCAACAATTAAAATTCATGTGTCTCGTGGTTTTAATGCATTTTACCCATGAGTATACAAATTTGTTACCGGCACATGTACTGGTATATCTTATCTGTCGTTAGTGTTGTGTTGCCTAGTGCCTACCTTTATCTGCTTTAAACCGTTTCATGTGAGAGCTTAATAAATAATAATGGGTAGTAATAAGTAGTGTGTGTCTTTCTCAATTTCAAGGTAAAGTATATGAGAGGAAGGAGGATGAGAAGAGTGAAGAAAAGACCAATGGGAAAGGGAAACCAGAGGAATGGGAGCATGAACTAGACGGTGCTACTGAAGAAGACCTGGTGGAATTAGCAGGTAAGAACTTGATTATTCAACACAGAATATGTACATACAAGATGTATATGAACAACACAATGTAAGATATAAATGTTTAAAATGTAAATTGATGTAAATATAAACGATGATCAGTATGTGAATTAAAACACCTCGGTAAGAGGATAAGAAAAAAAGGAAGTGAAAAAACTCTCACTAAAAGGAACATTGTGGTGATACCACTACCGGTACTGGTCTGCTGGATGATAGTATTTTTGGCTTTAAGTGCTAAATTTATTTAGAGTGCCATTTTGATTTTGAGATGATAAGTAACTTTAATTCATTGATGAACATCATGGCAGCTACATTTCTGACATTCAGTATTTTAGTCTGACTGATTATTTTGTTTTCAGACATGTTTGGGGATTTTATGATATGTAAGGCAAGGACTTTGTTATCTCAGAATATGCTTGGCCCTGTCTGATAAAGAGAACAATTGATCCGGATTGATCACAAGTCCTTCAATCAATTGCAAACATACACTCTCTTCTCTCTTTTTATAGAGTTGCAATCGATTTTGAGTTATGATCAGGTCGCAACTGTTCATAAGACAGAACCCTGAGAATTATAGAGAATGATTGCCAAGAGCCATTCTTTCCCTTTTTTAAAAAGGCGTGAGAAGAAGTGTTTAATTACCGTGTCAGAAAATTACCATGCAAAAACCATACAATGAATTCAGTCGTCTGATTAATTCTTTGTTTTGCTCTGATAATTTCAGGTATTCTGGGTCTACACAGCATGCTGGACCAGGAGCAATTTGCAGCATCTCAACGAAGTGTGACAGGCGATGAAAAGATTATCGGGCTTGATGGTGAAAGAATGAAGTTTTCAGGTAAGTGAACCATCAACAAGATCAATTATACTTATTATTCAAAAAGAAAAGTTTCAATATGAAATCTAAGCAAAGAAAATGGAGCGAGACCTGAATTACATTCTTGTGAATGTTTGAAAGAGCAATTGACAAATGATAATGTGATTCGGTGTGAAAAATACTTTTTTGTTTCCATGAGCTTATTGTGTTGTTGTATTTAAGTGTAGTAATCAAGTATTTTATTGTTATTTATTACCAGAGATCTTTTACAGTTTACCAGAGATATTTTGAGCTTTCAGAGCTAAATCGCTCACCACTCCTGTGTATGTTTTTTCGCTGATATGATTTCTAGATAAACTTCTTACATTGCCATTTTAATGTTTGATAGATTAGGAACCAAACATTTGATATACTTTATGTTAATATTTGTTTAACAGTTAATGCAATGTATCCAATATGTTACCCAAATATGAGCATAGCAGTTCATGTAAGTTCTCTTGTTTAGCCCCGGACTGAATCTTTAAATATGTGTTAAAAAAAGTGTGAAACCATTTCATTTGTGAGGTTTGTGATGAATTAAATATATTTCAAATAGTATTTTCTCTCTCCTTATTTTTTGAATAAACAGCTGTCACCAAAGCTAGCCTGCCGAAAGATTTCTCACTAGAACCCCCCAACACTACAGATGTTGAAGGCTCGATCAAGAAACTGAAGGCAAATGACAAAGCAATCAAAGAACTCAATCTCAATAATATTAAGGTGAGGGTTTATGTTCTTATTTAAGTACGGTGTGGTAATCGTCTTGAATTGCCTGCAGGATATATATCTAAGTGATTGGTTTTGAGGTGTCATGTATCAATGAATTAAGTATTTTGTTAATATTACTAAATAATAAATATTTGTTTTGTAAACGTGTAGCAACTGCTTAGGATCCCTTTATACAACTGCACAACCTAGATTATATTTCAACCATACATAATTGATATTTAGTTTTTTTGAATGATTTAAGAATGACATTTTTGCTATGCCGATTTTAGTAATTAAGTTTTGGGAGATATAGAAGACATGTATCATTTATAGGTACTGCAGCAATAATATTTTCTGAAAAGGTCGGGTTCTGGGGTCACGTTTAATGTCTTTTCTCGTATAAACAGGAAGATATTGAGGTTATGGCGTCATATGAGGAAGGATGTTATCACTGGCATTACAGCCTGCCTGGTTGTCTTAAAATTGTTTTTTTACAAAGAAATGTTTTAATGCCTTTAAGGAAATGAAACCAATTATCAGTTTGATATAAAAGGGCACATGAATAGGTTAATTTTAATTGGCTATTGTATATTTGATTGTTTCATGCTTAATTGATTCCAAGCTCCGAACTATTAAGAGGGGCATGTTCACATGGGCCCCTTCAAATTCTCCCTGGACTCCAAAAGTTTAAACGATTTATCAGGGATCATTTGCAGTCTGTAGTATACCAATCTGTGTCCCCCAGAAATAACACGTACAAAAAAAACTACCTTGTTAAATGTTGTTAAGCCTGTGTTATTTGATAAAGACCCTTTTTAGACTTTGGTGTGGGTTAACATTTTCAAAGAGCATGTGAACAGCTGTTGTTGTTTAGTCAGAAGTACTGTTTTAACTATTGAACTCTGCTTGCTCCTGAAGTTGTTTAGTAATTCATCGACTACATGTACAAAGGAGATAACCAAATGATACCATGCTCACATATACAGTGGTATGTAGCATACATGTAGTACATGGGTATATTAATGAAGCCCACAAAGCCAATCCCTTCTGTCCCATGGAGTAATGTCCTTAAAAAGTGTTATTGTTGTTATGGTGTACTTTCTGTACCAGGGAGAAATGTCCTTTGTTGTGTAACCATTGGCCTTGGGGAACAATGCAGATCTTTGACACTCTTGAATGAGTACAGTGTCATTCTTGTGTAGGGCAGAGTACCTACATGTATGTTTGAATTTAGCATAGCTTCAGTGAGCAAAAAATAATCCTGATGAATGCACTAGCATGTAATCTACAAGTATGTGTAATTTGTGGGTATAGTTCTTTTAGTCAATCGGCTTTTGAACTCTGTTGTGACCTCTTGAGCTTTAATAATGGTGGCTAACAGAAAAACATGTTATTTTGGATTGAGATCAATATGACAAGTTCATGTAAAGTTTATGCGATGAATGAATTGTATAGATCTCTCTAATAAATAATGGGTGATGATAAGAGATACCCCCCAAATTTTCTCTGTCTCTTGGTCAAGAGAAGTTCATAGAACTTGTTGTTCCATTTTGAAATCTTATTCATGTAAATTTGTTGATTTCCTTTCCATTGATGTGTGCACCCCGCTGCAAACACATGCATGCAATCAAAACGTGGACATGGTTGGCTAGCTATTTCGCAAACATCCATTGAACTTCAGTATTTGATTTTCATGCACCTCATCCCAATGTAAATTTCCTGGATTTGTAAATGTTAGCCAGTGTCTCTCAATTCAGAAGATTACATTCAATATTGACTTTTAGGTCAAGCTCTTCTCTTCAAACTTTCTGTTGATAACCATCAAATCCAATCATGTTTAATAAAAGGAAATGTGTGGCATACATTGACTCAGTCAGGAGCAAATATAGTTTGTAATCCCAGACTTCTTGATTATGCTTTCTAGAGATTATTGTCATAATCATGCACCTGATGATAAAGTCTCAATTTTTTTTGTCAGCACAAAGCTATACATTTGCCATCTTTTTCTTCTGTGTGTATTTTTGTGTAAACTTGATTGAGAAATGTTATTTAAAAAAAATGATATATTCAAGTGTTCAGTTCAACTCCATGTTGTACTTGTAGATATGTTTACAAAAATGCTAATTATTATGGCCAAAGTGAAGTCACTATCAATGGATATCGGTCTCTTAATGTTCCTTTTCCCTCAATCTGGTGAATTTTAAATTGCAACCATAATCATCAAAATGAAATAACTACCAATTGCTACTAATCTTTTGTTCGACTGATTTGCCTTACATGATGATTTTAAGTTTGATTGCCTGATTTGGTATGTGGATAAGGAGATAATGACTAATTTCTTGGCCTCAAGTCACTTGGCAAATGCGCTGAGTAGCACCATATGTTCATATTCATGTTAGGAAGAGGAACAGTAGGGAATATTTCATGTATTTAAAGAAAATCTTACCATCATATCATATCGATCAACAGGAAATCAAATTGGACGTTATCCAGGAGATATTTTCTGCCGTTGGAGACAACACAGTACTTGAATCGCTCAGTATGGCTAGCACAGGTTTAGCAGATAAAGCAGCAGCGGTAAGGCAATCAATAAATCTACCCCGTCAAAGAGTTTGAGTGTGGTGCTTGACCATGATAAAATTCAAGCATTGGGAAGGAAAGATCATAAAAGTAGCCTATTTTGTATACTTCATAGCAAAATGCTGTCCCTTTTTAGCTAAATTACCATTGTTTTAGCTAAGAAGCCTGTGAAGTATATGTAATGATTTATACATCTTGATGAAGAGAGATAGCTATTAAAAAAATGCCTTGTTTAAGTTCGAAATTACCAAGCTGGGATTTGAACCCAAGACCCTCTCTAATTTAAAATCAATTAAGTGAGCCAATATGCCACAGATGTAAATAATTATTATTCAAAGTGTCAACGGTTTAATGTTAATGTAGATGTACTTGAATTACTGTCAATTTGTATTGTTTTCAAAACTGCATACTGGTCCTGGTAGGGAATTTACATTTTGAAGTGTCTGAGCCTGCTGGTAATACACCATGCTAATCAGACTGCATTGGATTAATGACTAATTATCATAATGGTTTCTGATATCTCAATGGTTTGTAAATCATAATGGTTTCTTATATCGCAATGGTTTCTAAATCATAATGGTTTCTTATATCATAATGGCTTCTTACATCATAATGGTTTTTGTATATCATAATGGTTTCTTATAACATAATGGTTTCTTATATCGTGTCATTTCTTTCCATTCTCAGATGGCAGCTGAGGTAATCAAGAAGAACACCACATTGAAGTCATTGAACCTAGAATCGAATTTCATCACCAGTGAAGGCATGAGTAAACTCTGCAAAGCTCTAGCAAACAACCCAACAATAACCGAGTTTAGAGTAGCAAATCAGGTAGGATGATCATGCTTAAATGGTAGTTTAAGATTGCTATCGAACTGTCCGTCTATGATGCTACAATCATTTCATTTTATAGCATAATGATGTAGCGTTTAAAGAGAAGGTTGAGTTCTGGGAAGAGGTGAAAAATAATTTGTGAGCATTACTCATTCTTATTATGCAAGTGTGGAAGAACATCAGATAAGAGATGTTCCCTGAAAAGTATGGCTCTTCAAATGCCTTCATATTCTAAATATGCATGTAACATCGTAAAAATCGGGGGGGGGGGGGGCCGGCTTTTTACGCCACGTGTTCGTGTAGTCCCATATACATCTTTCTATGTACGGTGTTTGTAACTTTACCAAGACTTGGCCAAATTTCTTATCATTTTGATGATTCCAGAACCTTGCAATACACACAAATTCTTATATGCTAGATGATCAACCTTTTCTGGTCGGTTCCACACCGTTATTTTCACAATGCAATCGCATGACCAGAACTCAACTTCATCTTTAAGTAAGAATTTTATATACATTTTTTTCTTCTTCAGAGTGGATCACTTTTTTTTATTGTGATTCTCCTCCAACTCTACATATAATTCAGCTAAATGACAGTGTCTTTTCTCTTGGTTGAGATGATTGGGATTACAACCTATCTTTAAACATATGATTTCAACATTTAATGAGAACCCAGTCAAGATGATAATCAACAACGAAATTCCACAGAAATTTAAATATATTTCAATGAATATGTGATGAAAACAAAATTGGATTTGTTGAAGAATGTTTTAAAATGACAACCAGAAATGTATAATCTTACAAGTGCAAAATAAAGGGAAGTTATTGCAGATATTATATTACAGTTAGACAACCACCCCAGCCACTCAAGATTTTCATGGACATATATTTAGCGATCTGAGCTTTCAAGCTTCTTTTTCTTTTCCCAGTCAATTGTCTGAATTTTTATCAAGATTGGGCAGATTTTTTTTCTCTTTCTGGTTTTACTCAAATTAACCTATTTTTCCTGTTTAATTGTCCTTGAAAAGAAGAATAGAATCAAACAGGCATATCAAGATAATAGGTTATTTCCGTCGACCACTGTTTATCTCTTTTGATCTGTTTATGTGTGGCTAGAGGCTAGAGCAGCCACATGAAGCATGACATGGTAAACCAGATTTTACCTTGAACAAGACGGAAAGAATTGCCTCAATTGAATAAATGGATAATAAAAACTTGTATAACAAGTATAACACGGAATCTTAGTCAAGTAAACAAGTCGTGGGAAATTTGTGTACATGGTATTTAAGTCATATAAACAAATGGTGGGAAATTCATAACTTTGGCTGATACAAAGAAAATATAATGTGCTCTTTTGTAATATGCTGCATCTTTAGGTGATGACAGTTTTTTGTTCAAACACCACATTGTGCTCACCATAGTGTTTAATGGAGAGCATTCTATATCATATTTCATCAAAATGTCAGTTGGCAAACTTGCTAAGGATCAAAATATAGACTGTACATGTATGTATATTGCTAGCATGCTGTCATCTCTTTCAGACGCACTTCAATCTCAAATTGTCACTATCATCTCCAATTAACACAAATGAATTTCAAATCATATTTTAACATCCATTTTGATACCCGTTTACATGTATTATATTTTCACTTATGTATTTTTTTCCTGCAGAGATCAATGATGGGCAGTAAAGGAGAACAGGAATATGCCGTCATGTTGGATAAGAAAAACAAGACTCTGCTGAAGCTTGGTTTGGCCTTTGAGCATGCAGGACCTAGGTCAATGGCACAAGATGCTCTCATGAGAAACAACGAAGCAGGTAAGACCAAGAAGCAAGGAGAAAAGAAAGGGTTTGTACATCCTATGCACCGAGGCTAATTTGCTCTGTGGTCTCTTCCAACACTTAATGAATTCCTAACTTTGACCCTGGACCAAGCACTGTACCTTACCCCGACCTTTACCATAAGTCTAATCTACCATCCAACTCTAACCCAACCCTTGAAATATATCTTTGATGTGATAATAATAATAATGAAAACAGTGCTCATAAAGCACTTTCCACAAAAGTCTCTAATAAAGCCTTGAACAGTTGTTGCTACAGCAACTCTCAGATCACTGAATAAAAATGTTGAATGAAAGATGAATTAGTCATTTCCCACAGTACATGAATTCCTAATTTTGACCCTGGACCAAAGCACCTGACCTCACCCCGACCTTAACCATAAACCTAACCTGCAATCCAACTGCAACCCAAACCCTTGGGATATGTCTTTGATGAAATAAAGCCAGGAGCAGTTGTTGCTAGAGCAAATCTCAGATCCCTGAATAAAAATGTAAATTCTGTATGAGAGCGATGAGAAATGAGGTCAACCACAACCTTTTGTTCAATCTTAAATCTTCTTGTTGTCATAGAGGATTTTTAGAACCCTTTTAGGATAAAAACACTTTTGTAACAATATTTACATTATACACAATCCACACCTCTTTGTCAGTTGGCAAACAAAGCACACTGTTCCTTTTTTTGTCAAAAGCCTTAAGGAATACAGAGTTACAGATAAAGTTGAGTTCTCGGGGTTGCAATTGCCACATGAAGAAAAAAAACTGTATAGAAGCAGTGGGAAAAGGTTGATCATATAGCACACAAGAGTTTGTGTATACCATGAGGTTTATCTATCATAAAAAATGAGAAGAAATTGACTTGGTTTTGCAGAAGGTCACATGCACTTCACACAGAAATGGGCATGTGGGACTTCATCTACATGTAGCATGAAAGTTTTCTTCCAAACTCTTCGGCCAGTTCTTGTCATATGTTGAATATGAAGGTATTTGGACAGCAGTCCTTTTCAGGGGAAATTTCTGCTATGATATTATTTCACATTCATATTTAAAAAATATGAAAAAGCTTGTAAATTAGCATGTCCCCTTTTCCAGAACTCAACCTTCTCTTTTTATGCAATTGTCTCTTTATAGATGCCAACACAAATACATGTATAGTTGCTATATGGAATTATTATAGTTGTACCACTCCTTAGAAAAACAATAAACCACTTTACTTTTCATACTAAGTATATACAGCAATCATATCACATGGAAAATCAAATTGTGTGCACCTGTTACTCGATGAGGCACAGAAAGTATGCATCATTAAGTACACAGGTGTATCAAGTGTGTGCATTCTTTTTGGTGGCTCATCATGAGCTTTTTTGCTAAGGCATCTGGTGTATCCATAGAAGAAAGTGAATCTTGTGTGCTCCAGCTCACAAATGTCAACAGCATTCAGGAGTAGGCAAACATTCCCTTTGTATAAACAGAGAGTGGCCTTTTATTGGCAGAAATACTTTGAATTATAAAAAAGAAAGATACATGGCTGATGCAGATATTTCTTTGGAATGGAGGTGTTCATTATGCAAAGTGTTAATCGTCATTCTTGTGTGTGTATACTGTAGATTAATAGGCTGGTTATCCTGAATAATTTAGGGATGATACAATGAAGCACAGTGAACTGTCTTGTAACTGCTCTTCATGGTACAAATGATTATCCTTAATGCTTTTTGGGGTTGTTGTTATTGTATGTTAGGGTAGGTTTCCACCCCTCCCCCTTTTTATTTCTCTTTTTTATGGGTGTAGAGGTCGAAAAAATTATATTTGAATTGCACTAAAATCTGAGAAATATGTATTGGCAGAATCATTGAATTGCACTATTATATTGCAAATAGTATTTGATGTTCTAGCATGTTTAATGTTTATGTTCATTTGTTTCATTTTGCAGTACGTACAAAGAAAGGAGGAAAGAAGTGAAACCAGCTATGATGAGGATTATCTTGTCACAAAACTCATCATATAGTGACTTCCTCTGCTCTGCTCTCAATGTAGACGTCATCTATTAAATAGAACTCTTATCAAAATTTGGTTGCTGCTCTTCTTTACTTCTGTTTGTGTGTTGGGTGAAGGGCTTTCCACAAGCTGGACAAAAAAATCTTTCTGGAAACTTTGCGGTTTGTCTGTTGTGGAGCTGATGGAAGAAAGCAGAAGGATGTACATACGATTCTCTCTCAAAGGTGCCCCTGTATCATATGAATATACTTGAAGTGGTGATTCTGCAGATTTTGTAGTTTCAGTTTTAGAAGAAAAAAAAGTTTGTTTAAATTAAACTAAGATTTCTAATAAATCCTTACATGTAATTCGCTGTTATCAGTTTGAAATATAGACGCAGTGTTTAATTATTTTGGTCAGATCCAGAGTTAAGTTTGCTGTATCTTTTTATTTTAGAATTAAATTTGCATTTTCTATTAACATCTCATTTCATTGATTTTCATTGATTTATATTTGTAGTCATAATTAATGAGAAATAAGGGTGAAACTATCGTGAGCCAATTAGTCTTGTTTTTAAAAGTAAATCTATTTCCATCATGTCTTTGTCCGATGCAATCTAATTCTCTGACAAGTTTGTTTGGTAAATGCTTGGATATACAGTGCTGTTTTGTGTATGATTTTTATACCCTTACGGATCCTGAAAATACAGTTGTAAAATACTGGGTAGTGTGAAAATGTGGAGGTCATTGGTTCTAACTTAATGATATATATGCAAACTAGAATATCCCGTAATATTTACACTCTGAATGAACGCGAGTTACAGAATGAAGTTGGTTTCATACTTTCTCATGTTTGGGATTTTCTCCTATTCTGAGCAGAACTATTTCAAGAGTATGTTGTTCATTGATGTAGTTTGTCAAAGCCTCAAATTCATATTTCAAAAAAAAGATTCCTAGATAGAGTAGAGCTTAATCACACAACATTCATCACAAGAGGCAAACTGTGTTAGAAATTGATCCATTTGTTGTAGACATGAAGGAAGGACAAGTTGGATGTTTATTAACGATTTATGTCAAAAAATCAAGCATTTTGACAAGGTTTGTGTAGTTTTTAAAGTGCAATTAAAGTGTGAATGTATGAACTTTCATCTGAAGTGTGGCGTTTGCTATAAGTAACATATATCTGCATCACTTCATACATCAATAATCCTTTGATAAGATGAGAGATTGAATACGAGCATCATGTCTTAATAATTGCAGTTAATTTGTGCTAAATGTCATGCACAAATTCAACTGGGCCCATGAAATATACAACTAATAGATGTGATTTGAGAAAAGATTGCAGTGCAGGCCAAGAAAAAATAAGTTTCCTTAGTATCTGAAATATTTCTTTCAAAGTAGAAACGGTTAATTCTTGTCATTTTAGTTTATTTCTGTACGTAGTAAGTAAGATCAGAATTGGAAGGTGCAGATGATATAAAATGATATTAGAGGGTACATATACAAATTTGTCTATTATCAAGTCATTTCATCAAATGTGTGACATATAGAATAAAATAAAGGGGCCATTTTGTGTTTTAATTATCAACCTTGCCGTGCCAGTCCATTTTTAATTCCAACGTATCCATCGAGGTATATAATCTTTCATATTTACCCAATACTATACTATTCAACCCACCAAGGTATCTGGTGTGAATGTATCTCTACTTAACGTTCTGAGAGCTTAGAAAGGCATACTACTGTAATTACTCAGAAGCAACTTTTTCATTGCGTATCATTTTAAGAACCATTGTTTAATAGTGGTAGTTGTAAAAGCCATGCTATATTGGACATAATTAAATGTTAATAACAGTATGTTAATTGAAGGAGAAGAAAAAAGGTTACTACAATTTGCAAAATGTATTCAAAATATTCATAAATGTTTATTTAAAGTAGGTAATATTCAATTGAGAGGCTTGAAGGATGTAGTAAAGAATGATTATATTGCATTTTTTAAATAAATATTTTAGTCAGATAATAAATGGTATATCAGTATAAATCATAGTTTTTGAAAATGAACAATGCCCTTACATACTTGCTTTGAAAATTGTGCTTAAAATGATTAACAAATACATACTTCTTTTTTACTTAATTTTTATTCATCTATTAGTTCATTGTATAATAAAGATGTATGTCTGTGTGTATATATAGGAGCAATGGCCACCCACCAATAGTGTCAGGACAATCATGGTTTTACATGACAAATCTTAGGACATGCCTTATTTCATCGGTGATTCTAAATTGGCATCGTACGAGATCCATCGTTATGCGAACCCAATTTCAGGCCTCAGTTTGTAGTATTCCGTAGAGAGTTAACACCAATAATGTGCTTCATTAAATCATTTGGGAATTGGGATGACCATTTTGTAATTCCATGAAGAGTGTAGGTGAAGCTTCTTGCTTAATACATACCGTAGACATTTAGATGTGCTGTCTCTCGTTCATTTGAAATCATGGGTTTATGCAAATAACTTTGAAGGTGTGCTTTTATGCCGAGTAACTTTCATTTTTTGAAGTGATTTTTCTTGAAAGCATCTGCCAGCTTCTAGTCCATATAGATACAAATTTGATATGTGTGTAAAAGCTCATTACAGTGTTACCTGTTCAATTAGTTGCTGTTTTTCCTTTTTTTTCATATATGATTTGTGAAATAAGATCAGATTGTGCTATTATTGGAAAGTATATATGGTTTGGACATCCTGAAATAATGTTTTCATTGAAAATGCATACAATTTGAATAGGTTCATGACAATATGTTACTTACTAGTAGTAGTAGTAGTAATAGTGGAATCTAAAGGTGCACAAAAACATCAGGCTTTCCTAAGATTACACACAAAACTATATAGTGAGAGCAAAAACAGAAATGTTGAAGTCAATGAAACCAGCATTCTTTGATGCCACTACAGAGGTGAAAAAGGCCAGCAATTTCCATTTCAGAATCCACTGCTAAGAAAAATGCCCTGAGTACAAAGTCTATTGATGTGCCATTAAAAATGTTTTATGTTGTGTATATTCCGTGTATGTAAATTGTTTGTACAAAGTCAGATTATTTCATTATGATTAGCCACTTAGGATTCAGATTATGCTTATTTTCAACTCTTTATGCCTTGCATGATTAAAAGTTCTGCCTTCTGCCCTAGTTTGCCAGTAGACAATTAGAGAGAGAGAAGAAATTCGCAATGTATCGACCACAGTAATCTGGTCTGCACTGCCTTAGTAGGTTTTATCGCATCTTTGCAAGTGACTTATACATTTCTTTTCTTTGCATGTACTACTTAATTTGTATTTAGCAAAATGTAGGTTTATTTTATTGTAGTAAGATCAGTACTATATGTGGTATATTCAGGTTTTATGATTAGGTACATTCTCTCCTTGCTTCAACATTTTATTTAGGTGCAATTCAATAGAAATTAACTTTTGGGGAGGTGGCAGAATCTGGTAGATTGTGATAACATGGAATACGTGAACAGTGTTGGACAATTTCTTTTACTATTCTACATGTAAAACAGTGTATTCTGCATTTGCACAGTCCTAAACCCCAAGGGTACCGCTAGACACAAGTTTTTTTCAGTTGGCTGTGGGTTTATTCACGTTGTTCAGTTGACCAATGAAATTGTGCATTCTTGTTCATTTGGGTGCCTTTAGCCCTAACTTCATGCAACCTCATACATGTGTGTTGTCAAAATGCTGTCGTGTGGTGATTTGATAAAAGTGTGCAAGAGCTCGTATGGTTCAAGTAGCCATTCTATTACTTTAAGATCAAGAAGTCAGTCATATATAACATATCATGAAGAACTTGGCGACTCTGTTGTTTATTGACACACTCCCCAAGTTCTTCAGCCATTGTATATGTGGCAGTCCACATGATTTTCTCATAACCTACCTGTAAAAAAAAAACTTGCTGATCCAGTCACTGTTTGCACTCATCTGACAACAATCAAACTTTCTTTTCAGATAATTCTTAGCTCTTGAAGTTACAGTACAAAAATGTGGTTAGATATTTTACTCAAAGAGTACGGGCATATGTATCATAACTTCTGACATACAATGTAAAGGGATGTGTCTGTGATTTGTAATACTTGTATAATTATGTCCATGTGATCTACGATTTACAAGTTTATATGAACATTTTGAATAGATATGTAAGTATATGTGTCGTTTGCTGGTGATGGACTGTTCTTCTTGGCACAAAGTTTGATAAATGCCATTATTCTGAAAGGCAGGCTCAAGCATTTGCAGAAATCTTAGGTTATGTTTTCAGAAACAAGCATGGCTCTTCTATCCTAATGAAGATCAATTCTGGATATCATGTTAATAATGCAGGCCTTATTTTATCTGTTATACTTTCTCTAAATGCATGCAGGCAGCACTTAAACTTTTTGTTGACAGTTTTCATTTGGGAGTTCGTACTGTATACTAAGGATTGGAGACATTTTTTTAGTCCACGTCTGCATATTTTCTGCAAATGTTTGACTCTGCCTTTAACTGCCAGTACCTGTACATAATAATCCCTTTCTATTTGAGTATTTGATCGGTTTGTTTGAGATCTAAGTCGAGTGGTAGAAGCATAACACATTTCAGTTTAACAAGGTGCACAAACTATGGTATGCTGCCTCGTAATAGAATCAATTATTCACATGATTAGTGCATTGTATTCTCTCATTGCCCTTAAAAGTAATGTCAAAACTTTAATGAAAGGTTGTCAATATAAAGTAGATTTAATCACAGGGTTTGCAATTGTCAAATATATCTTAAAATAAATTTTAAATCAGTGATTGTTATCATGTTGGGAAATTAAAACTCTAGTGAGAATGTTGTATGATCTTACTTCCAGTGATTTTTTTAATGTGCATCAGTTTCATTCATGTTTATATATGTAATGAACTTTGATTAAATGACTGTATTAAAATCTAGATTAGACAATTAAATCAATGTGGTAAGATTTGTCTATGTGTGGGTGGGTGTGTGTGTATGTGTGAGAGAACTTGAAAGATGTGTTTGTACATGTGTAAAGGCTCGTAGAGATATGAAGCTAAGACCCTCAGCTAGTAGTGTTTTTAAAATGTCTAAATTAACGACAACTGCGCGCAACAAAGATCCTAGGCGTAGCCACTAAGCTCTATGTTATGAGATAGGCATACTGTGGAGCATATGCATTTATATCATTACAAAAAGATGCAGAGGTTATCCACGCCATATCTGAACAAAGCTAATAGACCAAAGTATAGTTTGATATTTATTTCAAAGAATATTTAATTATTTCTGATCATATAACTTGAGCATACTACAGTCTATGGTTACAACTACTTTTTATATGGTCAAAGATTCACAGTTCAGTTCGGTTTATTTGAACAACTTGAATAAAATCATGATACGATCAATAAAAAGGGGAAATAGATAAAGAGAAGCAATACCAATCAAATGGTTTGAGAATTTACGGACATCACTAGACCTATCAAAGGTCAATCAAAATTGTTTAAGTTTCGTATATTAAAACATATCTACAGTGATTACAGGGAAATCCAACCCAAATAGACAATTACTCTAAAAGAAAGCAGAAAAATCAAAGAAGCAAACTGATGAAAGTATCAATTAAGTCTGACTAAACATGAAAAGTTATGAATTTTTGAAAGTTGTAATCGCTATACGTATTAGCTGAAGTGATAATGTCAATGTGATGTAGTGCCAGACTACTTTCCCATCTGTTCCAACATATAAAATGACTACAATTTAAATTCTGTCAATTCTGTTTAGAGGACCTATAATAATATGTTTTCTATAATATATATATTGAGTAGTGGCTCAAGGGAGAAATAACTTACGTGAATAAAAGAAATTAGTGATCGGCAAATGGGAGAGTTATCCACGTCCTACGTTACAATCCACTGACCAAACTACCAATTTGAGATTCGCATAGACTTAGTGATCTCATATTTCAAACATTCATAACTTCCTTACTATTGATCCAGTTCATTTAAAACTTGCCATTCTGTTTCTGTTATTTTTCTGCCTTCATACAAGTCAACTTATTACAAGGGTTGGATTGTCCTTTATAAAGGCTATTTCTTCTTTTCTCTTTTTCTTTTTTTATATAATCAACTTATTGAAAGGATACATCTAAACCTAAAACCGGGATATTACCAAAAATTATATGACTGCAATGAAAATTGAATGGACCATCAATTGTATGTAGCTATATTGAGCTTTATGCGAGCAGATCATGACATGAATATATAAAATTCATGAATATATCAAAAGGACTCAGAAATGTATATATATTTTTGTCCATCACGAGTGAAGTCAACTCATATTGAAAGGAACAGAAATCACAATGAACTATATGTAAACTTGTGTTTAAAATAATCAATTACAGCATCAAAATAACTCCCGTTATTAAAACGGACATGTTTTTCAATACTTTTCAGAAACCATAGAGAAAATGTTTTATGTAGACCTAATTATATACACTGTAGCTTTTTATAGAATTTGTTCAGGTAATGACAAGAGTTGTATGTTGAATATTAATATTTCTTTTCAAGTTATTTTTGTTATATTTATAATCTGCTGTTCCTGTTACTTTTTATTCAAATCCTCTGTACAAATGTTTGTGAAAGAAGAATGAAATGAACTATGAACTATGAACTGCTAGAAAATCACATTTCGTCAATATTTTACCGAACCGTATTTGCTATTTTGCTCCACCATACTATAAAAACAACGTATACTATTTCGAACAAGAAGCTAACTTTTTACTGACTTCGGGCTGTAAAACTCCTATATTTCCAAGTTACAAGTGACTACACGCAGAAAGAAGGCATTGTCTAGGCCATAACTACTCATAAATTTAATTAATCATGGCTTGGAGTACTAGCGCTCTCCACGTAGATGATGGACTTGCTGAAGATTTTGCATCGAATTTGTCGGGTTTGGGAACTGAGCTTGGCACGGGAGCCTACAACATGAGGTGAGTGCAGTTTGCATTGGTGTTTATGCCAGATCAAAGTGAGCGATCGCTCTGCCTCTGCGCAGAATTATTGACGTAGGCCTAATGAATTTACGTCCCACGGAAGAGTAATGTTTCACAACAGAACTGCATGATATAAATTCTATATGATAGCAAGAGCTTTGAATATTATATGATTGTATATTTGTCTAGCTAACATAACTGAAATATGGGTAAACAACTAAACATCACTAGGCCTATTTACTTGTTTGCAAAATATGAATTGACCATTTGATTTGAGTTCAGATGTGAACATGAAACTTGAAAGGAGATAAGAATTAAGATGATTCAAGATCTCATGTTTTCTACACAAGTCACAAGGTTTCCAGTATGAATTATATACCAATAAGATCATTAAAGAATTAATATATAATTCCATCCAGATCCAGTTGATCTAACATCCAGCAAAACTATCTCAAGATCTAAACAAAGTAAAAGAAGGTTTTCTTTTTTTGGTTTATACATATTGCAAATAGATTATGAATATGAATAGATCTAGGTCAGCTATCACCATTTGAGCCCAGATCTCCTGCAAAGTCTACCTGACCCAAGTCAGGCTTGTCAGGATCGGGAAGGCAACTGATGACTGCTGCCGTCTGTGTCGGGCAGAGCGAGAGGATGTTGAGCACCTTGTTGCAACTTGCCCAGCCCTATCATCTGTGCGTCAAGACCTTATTAATCGTATCAAGGATAACCTCAACACAAAGCAGTTTGCTCAATACTTCGAGTCTGCGTCTGCGCTGTTCTTGGAGTCAGTGCTCTTTCTCCCTGCTGGACACATCAGCAGTAGTGCCAAAACACAGCTGCATACACTTATCCTTTATTTTATACGCAACTTTCACACAACCAGTCAAAATCTACTTAACAACCTATAGAAAGCCATTTATGTAACTTTGGCAGACTCACAGTGCCAACGATCTCCCACCTGAGCGGAGGAAGGATACAAGAGAGAGATGAGTTCGCCCATCAAATCAAACTCCAATTTTTAAAGATCATCAGTTTGAATCCATCCGGGGTGGATCACTGAAGCTGAAGCATGTTTTGCATGTTACCATGCCCCTCTCCTTACAGACAACATTTCAGTGGAAAACACTGTCCCCCAAATACATGTTAATGTTGGGCATTAAATTGAGGTCCATGGTGTAGTAAGTTTTACCCCCTAGAATATGTGAACCAATTGCACTTGTTGCATTCATATTCATAAAGAGTACGTGGAATCCCCAGCCCAGACAGCTACAGAGAAGATGTGATTTCCCTGCAAATCCCATGAGTCATTCCAGAAGGAGAGACTTTATTATTTTTCTTCATCATCTGCCTCCCAGGCTAGATGAGGCAGATTGAGTTTTGATAGAGGTCTAATGAAATTCAGATGCTAAAAGTCAGGAAAGGCTATGTGTTTTTTTACAACAAAGGAAACAAAGTTAGGATGATAACTTGAAAATGGGAATCTTCAGGGGCTGCAGCTGCAGTACATGTAGATACATGTAGAATGAGAAATATATGATTATGATAGAAGTTGTACGCAAAAATATTATAGGCTTATTGAAAGTGCCACTGTAGTACTTTAAAAATCATCAATTGATTGTGAGTTTATTCATAAATTTGGTTAACTTTATTCTTTTTTAGAATATTGAAACCAGACCAAGGAAATAATGCTTCACATTTAGGAATTTGTAAAATGAAAAGATATAATTCTATGTGGGTAAATTTATTAATCAGTTCAGACAGTTACTTTAAGTTCAATGAAGTCTGTACATGTATTTCTTCCATTTAATTTCTCTTCACAGTGAGGTGTTAGCTTTGCCTATGTTCAAACAAGAAGTAATCGAAGGGTAAGTTTAACTGATCCAATATATTAGCCTAGTGATTTTTTCCTCAAAGTATGCATTTATAATTAGTTGTGTGTAGCTCATTATTCAATAGTAGTATCTAGTAAGTGTGATACATATTGACAGAACATTTATTTGGAAGTAATGTATTTGCTGCCACACTTCTAAATGTTTTTTTCATAAAGTTTCCCAAATATTCACATAATTAACTTGTATTTCATGCCCAGTCTTAAAGGGACTTTGTAACATTGTTCAGATGAGAGATAGTGGTGCTAAGGTAGTGACTTTAATGCTAGATGTACAATTAAAGATAATCTGAAAATTTTAGTGAAAACGGATCATTATTCATGGTACAAATTGGGAAAAACTGATCTGATCGATTCCTTAATTCTCCCAACTATATTATTCTACTTCTATTCTGCTTCTAGTCAAAGCCTGTTTAGCATCAAGACAAGGACAATTTAATTACATTTTAGGTGAATGTAAATCGTCACAAAGCAATAAAATGGCTCTACATTCCATTCCAGACAGTTAAGTGTTGACAGATTTTTATAGCCTATTTTATGTATTTTTCTCATGGAAAAAGGGTTGGGAAAATTCAAAAATGGTTGGGAGAATTTACTGTTAATCACTGTTAGAGGGTGCCTCACATCGACGCCTTCAAAGAAAACTATAGATATCTTTGTGGTTTGAGAATTTGTTCAGGATTTTTTGCATGTCAGAGGGTTAGTATAGTAGAAGGAATATTATACAAAAATTAAGCAATTTTTTTCATCAACCTTCAACAATGTTACCGAGTCACTTTAAAATAACTTTTATACTAATTTGAGACATTCTCATTTTTATTCCACATTTGGAAAGAAGGGGGAAGGAAATTGTATATTACATGTACAAATACTGTGTGGTGAAACGTTTCAACAGTACATAATAATACCAAAACACGTTTTAATAACAATGGTTTACACTTTTCCAAACAAGGAAAATACAAAAAATTTACTTTTAAAGTAACTCGGTAACATTGTTGAAGATTGATGAAAAAAATTGCTTAATTTTTGTATAAAATGTTACTTATTATATTCCTTCTACTATACTAACCCTCTGACATGCAAAAAATCCTGAACAAATTCTCAAACCACAAAGATATCTATAGTTTTCTTTGAAGGCGTCGATGTGAGGCACCTTCTAAAAGTGATTAACAGTAAATTCTCCCAACCATTTTTGAATTTTCCCAACCCATTTTCCATGAGAAAAATACATAAAATAGGCTATAAAAATCTGTCAACACTTAACTGCCTGGAATGGAATGTAGAGCCATTTTATTGCTTTGTGACGATTTACATTCACCTAAAATGTAATTAAATTGTCCTTGTCTTGATGCTAAACAGGCTTTGACTAGTAGCAGAATAGAAGTAGAATAATATAGTTGGGAGAATTAAGGAATCGATCAGATCAGTTTTTCCCAATTTGTACCATGAATAATGATCCGTTTTCACTAAAATTTTCAGATTATCTTTAATTGTACATCTAGCATTAAAGTCACTACCTTAGCACCACTATCTCTCATCTGAAAAATGTTACAAAGTCCCTTTAAGAGATATTTGTCAATTCCAGGGACTGAATAATTAATTAGCTTGTACATGTAAATGTGTCTTAATAAACTATGTTAATCTTTTGAGAATCTTCTTGATATACATACATATTTTATGATATAGTAATATTCATAACACTTTATTCAAAGAAGTGATATACGTCCCTTCTGATAAGGTTACCATTTCAAATCATTTTCCTAAACATTCTGAGTATGGATTGCCTTATGTACTACCCAACCTATTGTTGATATCTTTCACCTGCTTTATTATTTATCTCTAGACGAGTTGGTACAGACCTACCAACCACTCTTGAGAAGGCATTTGGGGCTTTTTCCTCAATCCACCAAGTTGCAGTTGCTGAAGACGAAGAACAGTCCAGGTATGAATGCTGATAAACAACAATGTGGTTTTTGACATTAGATGATTAAAGGCGAATATTGAAGAGTCATAAAGAAAAGGCATGAAAACTAAGCCTCTGTAGATCTTTCTTATAACGCAAAGTAATTGCATGAATCATAAAAGAGCTAGCTAGATTCAGTTGGCATTAGTCCTTGATTGATGTATATCCTGCTCACAAACCTCCTGTGGTATTCAGAATATAATTCAACAAGAAATATACAAGGAAAGATTTGAGTACCAATATATTTTTCTCAGTTTTATACACTTATGATATGAATTATATATGTACATGAAGGATAAATCTCATTTCAGAGGAAACAACATATTTTATTGACCTTTTTGCTTCACATTTAACTGTGATGGAATATCCCTAATCACTCAACTCTCAAGAGGTGGCAGAATATATAAGTCTAATTATGTTTATAGCTTGTGATAGTTGGAGAAAACAAACCAAAAATGGTACTCACGAATGTGACATGTTCATGCTGTAACCTGTTACTGAATGATTATGTAGTGGTGGTTGTTTTACCTGACTGCTAAGAAAGCATAAAAGCTCGTTGGTAAGCAACGAGAGGACTAACGGCTTTAGGTCTTCTCCGAGAGACCTGGTAATGAAGATTAATGCCTTAACTAAGGGCATCGCCTTGGTTACAAACCTGGGTCGCCTGATTACGAGACCACTGCTCTACCAACTGAGCTATCACACCGCCTCCTACATGATATTTTCTCCTACTACATCTTTCAGTTTCCAGGTGATTTTAAATGCAGCCACATCACCTGCCACGAAAGTCAACGAAGACACCTTAACATACCTCAACCAAGGCCAGTCCTATGAACTCAAAATAAGAAAGCTGGGAGCTAAGGATTATGAAGGCAAATTATTCAAGGTAAGATTGCAAATGAAACATGTTTAAGGTCGTAATGAAATGATGGAAGTAACTTGAAATTGAGTATTTCGAATTAAAATCCAAGGTACTTTGATAAGTAGCGTTCATGGAAAGATTTGTCACAAGCAAACGTATGATTTCCAGTGATGAATAATTGAACAGAGTTTCCTTTAAGCGAAGACTTTTTGTGTTACTATGACCTTGTCCTTAAAATGAAATATATGATTTATTATACTATATTATGGTTTAAAAGGGGGCATGTAGATGTTACATAGGAGTATGCATCAAGACTCCTTACATACATGTTAGGCAGTAAACTGCTACACAATAACCCCCAAGCAAAATATAACCTTCTTTACATGTAAACAATGAAAGTGTCGACATGAAAGACGTTAAAAGACGGGAGTTGCTGCTACCTTGTTTGGCGTTTAACAATAAGTGATAGAGCATTGGGCAAAAAGAATTTCCATTTTCGGTTTAACTTGGAGTGGACTTTAAAAGTTTATTATTATTATTGTAAGACCACATGAATGGTAAAAGTGCTGTATGCGTTATGCATACCCATTATAAACAGTTCAGTTTTGCATACTGTAGAAGTGTTGTTGTCAAGTGGTTTAAGCTGTAATGGCTGCTAGGCTAAAGCCGGGGTTTATAATTAAATAGTGCGTCTTGGAATAGAATTGTCTTAATAGACGGCGTTATATAAATGCATATTATTATTATTACTGTACTTTTTTACCATTTTGTTTGGCAAAGAGCCTATGATTGTGTCCAAGATTACAAGTGCATGGCATTTTTCCTCCTCACAGAGTGTGGTCCGAGTACTGTTCCATGACAAGAGGTTGCAGTACACCGAACATGCACAGATTGACGAATGGCGGACGAATCGACCGGGCGAGAGGATATTGAGGATAGATCTTCCGCTCTCATATAACATAGTCAAATACAACACTGCCTCACAGACTATCAATGAAGTGGAGTTCTTCTGGGATCCCTCGTCGACAGTTGGTGTCTTTCTCCAGGTGAGAAACTGTCCTGTGAATATAAAATGCAGTTATGATCCTGCCCCCCCCCCCACTCAGTTTTATTTAGGGTATGCGTATGCATGTTCCCTCCCTTTGAAAACACCCCCCTCAGGCCGGTGTGTGAAGTCAATACAGGCCGATTTTGTGTGTGTTATGAGCCAGACTTTGTTGCGTGAAAAGTACCCCTTTACCGAACATTTTGGGAACATGAATGTGGTCCCTCCGTTCCCAGAGTTGGGGGGGGGGGTTATGATACATGGACATGCAGTAGGTCATCTACACTCTTGCGTAACTCAACTTGCAAATGAATTTTCAATTTTCAATCCTGGCTATATATAGAAAATAAGAAATTTAAAAAAATGCTGTTTTGTGTATTTAAATCTTGCTTTACCTGATTATAGCATCTCCATTAAATATATTCATTGTTTGGTTTTAAAAGTATTAGTTGTCTTGCAGAACATTTCATTATGTTTATTGATGTTGCAAACTGTTCAAATTCTCCTGTCAGTTTTACCTACATGCTCCTCATTATATGTGTTTCATTGCTCTCCCACATGCTCCCAATCATTATGACTAATGTCTTCACTCTCATAAATACACATGTGAATTTTTCTCCTATTAAACTTCAAAGTTGACATGTTTTTATTTCTTCTCTTCCCCAGATTCACTGCATCAGTTCCGAATTCACAGCCAAGAAACATGGTGGAGAGAAAGGTGTCGTGTTTAGGATACAGGTCGATTCATATTATGTGGATGATGATGGTACGGAGAAACCTCTTCATGCGGCTAGCTGTCAAGTCAAGGTCTTCAAGGTAAACATTTTCTCTGTCTTATCTTGAATTCTGTATGACGTGAAAAGATGTATGTTGGAATGTCCTGGATTGTTGATGTCTTGTCAATTTGTAAAATAAATAGATAGCGTTTCCATCATATGTGTCAAGATGGCTGTACTAGGCTGATGTGATATAACGTGTTATAAAATGGGTTCAAGAATATAGCCAATGAGAAGCGTTGAAATGGATAACATGTGTACGTGCATTAATTTTTACCATATGCACAGAGAGTGCATTTTGGTGATAAAAGCTGAAAAAAAGTCAACTTCTTGACTTTATACTCATATTGTAGACCCATCTTATAAAACATATAATACATGTTTTAGCTCGTGCATGAGTGATATGCACTGCACTTGGTTAATCATAATGAGATGGACAATGAACTCGACTTTGGTAGTAAAAACTGCACCAAAATTCCAATATCTCAACTTTATACTCATATTTTAGACCCATCTTATAAAACAAATATTACATGTTTTTAGCACAGGCATTAGTGATATGCACTGCACTTGGTTAATCATAATGTGACTGTGACTTAACCTGCAGTGCATATTGACTAATGCACTCACAAACGTGTATTATTTGTATATTGATATCATATGCTCTTATCATTCTAATTGCATTGTAATTCATGAAAATAACATGGTTAGCAATTCCATGTTAAAGCTGCCAGTAATAGAAGATTACAGTGGTGTTTTAATTTATGTATGATACTTGAATTAAACTTCAAATCACAATCTCAACATTTCACAAAACAAATGATGAAACATTTAGAAACCCTGTTTTAAGTTATCTGATTAGCCATTTGATGATATGTCGCTATTAATCCATCTGCACTCTTCTGCCTTTTTATTTTGTTTAATCAGCCCAAAGGTGCAGACAGGAAACACAAAACAGATAGAGAAAAGATGGAGAAGAAAACGGACAAGCACAAATACCAGCCCTCCTATGATTGTACAGTTCTCACCGAGGTGGGTGTCCAACTTTCTTTATTTAGTCTCGCTACTTCGCACATCGTATTATTTGTAAGAATGAAAGGAAAGATACAATCGACTGTATTGAATCTTCTGTCTAATTCTTTAAACCACCTGCACCAGACATGACCGATTTTCCTATAATGAAGCCATTCAAGCTGATATTTTGAAGAAAAGAAATTGGTAAATAGATGTACCTAAACAATTAGTGTAGTGATGTGTCCAAAATTTAGTGCAATAGCATAAATGTGGTTTGAAGAGTGGCACTTCTAATAGAGAAGAGAAACATACCATTAATCTAGTGACTTTCTTCTTCTTTTTTTTTCCTTCTTTTGTGTAATATTTTTTTCATTTAAAAGTTAAAAATCTCTTTGTTCTTTGGAAACTATTACCCAATTCAATTAAATTCAATTAAATTTATTTCGCAATATAAAAATCAAAGTATACAAGGTAACAGTAAATGTTAACTATTTACAAAGGTTATATGCGGGGCTTTCTATGAAGGTTGTGAAAACCTGTACCCTTCCTTTGGCTCTAGCATTATTTCACAACATATTTCATGGACAAAATACCACCAGAGTACCATTCAATACACTTGTCTTTAGAGAGACAATTGTAGTAAACGCTTGTAAACAGGACATATGCACTTGAAAGTATTTCACCTCGTAACCTCTCAATTACAAGAATAATTTCCTTTGTACAGTTTACGTGTTAAGATGAACAGGTTTCAGTTTCAAAATGAGTTTGATTGAAACCATTCTATGAAATCATTCTCATAGTTAGATGATCTCTCAGTATTAATACTTTCAACCTTTCCATTGAAAGACTATTATCACAATTAGCTTTAATGTCAGTCAAAGAGAAGGTTGAGTTCTGCATGGGGAGAGGTGATAAATAATTTGTGAGCGTTATCATTGTTATTATGCAAGTGTGGAAGAACATCAGAGAAAAAATGTTCTCTGAAAAACATGGCTCTTCAAATGCCTTCATATTCTAAATACGACATGTAACAGCTTAAAAAAATGGGCCTCATTTTATGCCACATGTTTGTGTAGTCCCATATACATCTTTCTGTGTACAGTGTTACTTTACCAAGACTGGGCCAAATTTCTTATCATTTTGATGATTCCAGAACCTTGCAGTACACACCAATATTTATATGCTATAACATGATCAACTTTTTCTGATTGATTCCACACCGTTTCTTTCACGATGCAATCGCATGACCAGAACTTACTTATTAACATTGTAGTGGTAAGATGGCCTATCTGTAGAGTAAGCCTTGGTATATCGCAAAAGAATACATATCATCTAACATCATTCTCATTCTATTTGCCAGTTGGCAGTTGCTATACAGCAGACCGCCAATGTTAGCAACATCCAGGCTCAAAGCCCTGGTCTAGCATACCAGAATGATAGCGGGAGAAGGAGTTTCTCATCGTTAGACCAGTGCTACTCACCGTTGGACAATACCTACTCATCCATAGAACAGAGCTTTGTCACTACTCCAGACAGGTTCGTTGCTTCTGAAAGATTTATGTAATTTTTTATACTATGAAATCTTGAAGAATTTTGATATTTTGGGGGTTGTTGATAAACTGTGAGATTCTTTTCATATCGGTGGTGTGTAAAATATACATTATGCAATAAATATCTTTCTGTTACATTTTTTTTTTTTTTAATGATAAAGTGCAAATTAGAGAGGTCCTTGCAAAGTAGAGCATGGAGTTGCCAACATGCATTTGATTGGTTATAACTTAAAGAATTCATAGCTTTCCATTTCTCTCATTTTTTCTGCTGCTTTTAAACGAACCCTCAGAGTAGAGTTACACTTTAATTGGACATTATTAAGTGGATTTGTTTTTTTCCTTCTTGATACCAGATCTCCTGCTCAAACTAACAACCATGTTCTTTCACCCGAAGTATCTGTTGCGGAAACACTCTCAGTAAGTAGAAAACCAAACTCTTTCATCCTTCACCCACCTCTCGTGCCTCCCCCCCCCCCCCCCCCCCCCCAACCTTGAAGTGAGAAACATTATCGTGATAATCGAGCTTATCGTGATATTTTTGAATTCTGGCAAATCCTTGGAGTTTCACATGATTCTAATTATACATTTTTTACACATTTTATTGTATAAATATATATATATATATATATATATATATATATATATATACTTCTTTTTGTAACCATGTTACCAAAATAATATTAATATTTGTATTATTAAAAATCTTATTACAAATGCCAATTTTTTTGGGGGGAAGTCTTGTTCCTTTTATCTTGGTGTTTTTATCAAGGGAGTGGGTTTGGTATTGGTAATCAGACATTTCTTCATTTTGGAGCTTAATCTGTTCTACTGGATACATGTCATAATTCAATACAGTTTCTTTTGTTGTTCTGTTTCTTTTGTCTGCTTGACCAAGCAGCCCTTATATCCACACTTCACTGCAGCTCAGACACAGGAATGGCTGAAACAACAAAGATTTGAAAATTATTGCAAACCCTTCCAGAATTTCTCAGGTAACAACTCTCCTCATTTGGTCGATTAAATACTCTGTTTTGATAGTGAACAAGTGATGCTTGGTGTTTGTGAAGTATGTTTTGACTGACACATTCGAGTAGTGAGGTAGGAAAAGCATCATAAGCTTTTTAAGTGTTTAGATCCCTCTTAAGTCTTAGTGTAGATTGTGCATACTGATTTTAAAAGACAGGATGTAATGAATGACTAGGCGTTGTGGCGTGCCCCTGTAATCCAGCTAACAGTGGAATTACAAACTAATTCAGCCGAGGACGGAGGTTCGAATCTGAGTCACGTCTTTCGGATGGTGACGTTAAAGGTCGGTCCCCAGGCGTAAAAAATCATATCTGATTGATACACGTCTGTAAAAACCCAATTACACACACACATGATTGTGTTTCTGTCTTGCATTCAAAGAGTCAGTCTCTGTTGCCTTGATTTAGTTTGTAAGAAATCAAAATGAACATGTTAACGTCAGTAGCCTGTTGTATAGCCCTGATGTCTATCATGCTCTAGCACTATTACCCTGTTCAGAGCCAAGCAGCCAAATATGAAGTGCTTTACATATCAGGGAAAAGTTTACACCTGGGTGGAGAGTGGCAAATGTATATTAATGTCTTTTATTTCAAGATATTGTTACTGAATACAAAATAAGTATGAAGAGTGGCAAATGCGTAGTAATGTCTTTAAATTCAAGACGGTGTTACGGAATGAAATATAAGTGTGATCAATTTCTTGTTTGTTTGTTTTGGTGATCTTGTAAAGGTGCTGATTTACTGAGACTAGCAAAGGAAGATTTGATTCGCATCTTGGGCCCAGCTGATGGTATCCGACTCAACAACGCCTTACAAGAAAGGTCAAGAAACTTTTCTCCTTCCATACTTCAAGGCTAAGCCGATGCTTATAATGAATTAACTATATATATATATATATATATATATATATACAGTATGATATGAAAAACATGGGTTAGCAAGCTACATGTATCAAGCAGGCCTATTGATATATTACATACAGCAGGCATTACTCACAGGCGTAGACATACAACACTCCATTTGCAATTGGTTAATTCAATTGATGCCTTTGTTAACTTGATGATTGTTTGAAGTGGAGAATATTTTATCACGTTTCGGGGGGCCTTTGTCATGAATGTTTCCTTCCTGAGCAATTGCAGTTTGTAATTTTTTGTATGATAATGAAGAAGGTAAACTTCCAACCTCTATTTGCTCTCTTATCAGCCAATCCCATCCACATGAAACACTTTTATTACATGTTCACATGAAGGACTTACATACTTGTATACTTTGAATATAAAGGGTAGAGAATGCCATATTTCCACGAGTGTGTTTTTGTGCAACAAGTTTTCTTTATCAAATAATGACTTCTTCTCTTTTTCCCTACAGACACATCAGACCAAGATTAACAATGTACGTCTGTCAAGAAAGAGAACAAGGTATCTTACTTTTCTTATTTTCTCTGTTTTTTTCTTTCTTGTCTTTATATTTCCTTTTTGTCAGATGTTATCACCTAGCTGCCAGCTGAAATGGGGCAAACTAGTCTTGAAATTACTATGTTACCACTGAGCATATTGGTTCAAGTCAGCAGATCAGAAATTAGCAAAATGTTGCAAGGGCACTCTTTGTAAAAAAATTGCTAGCATTCACAACTTTGTGCATAATTCAAAACAGCAATATATTCTGTACTGTAAAGATCTATGGCTTATATTCATATTCAAAATTTATATTATCAATACAAAGAAAACAACTTTCACGCTGTAACAAGTTTCTCTGCCCTTAAATACCCCCATATGGGCATTTAAACAGCTTGAATTACTTTCTAGACAGATAAGACATATATGTGGAACACATATATATTCTGGTGGTGAAGTTTGTGTTGGAATTCTGTTGTGCTTTTGAGTGTTTTTTGAGCGCTCTGCGATGACATTGAACTATCGGGTGACATACACAAATGTGCTTAGTCCCACATACGGATATACAGTTCGGAGTATATATATATCTCACGCGATTGAACTACGTTATTGGATCAGTTCCTCTTCGATTGTCAGCATCATTATCATCATGCTGTAATATATATTGCTCTTAGACGTTATTCTGGAATGCATCAATAACACTTGGAAATGAAAATGTGGAACTTTGAGATGGACTAGTGAGTAGGTATTTTGTATTTATGATCTGATAACATTTCAAAGCTCAACGACGAGAAGTTTATAAATACTGAATTATATATTGGTTATTACCATCACGCATCATTAACATTAAAACTGTTTGATAAAACAAGATTTATTTGAACTCCGTGGTTCTTATCAAGCCATTTTCTACGTGGTCGACCTGTTTTTTACATTTTATCATGTATTCACAATCTACCATTACACCGAACAATGTCGACAACATTGCTGAAAATGCAATCAATTCCTTTATCAAAGGAGAGCTTTTCTTGAAAACAATTCGCCAAGCAGTGCGTGAAGGCGTACAAAAGGAAATAGGCCTAATCATGGGTCGTCTCGACGCCCATGAAGCAAGGATTATGGTTTTGGAGAACAAGGTCGATTCTCTGTCGAAAAATATCGATCACTTTCACAAAGACCTAGAAAGAAAACAAAACAAAGTGGAAACTCTTACAAGGGAACTCAATGCACAAGAACAGTACTCTAGACGTAATTGCCTCCGTTTCTATGGTGTGCCGGAATCTACGAACGAAAACACGGATGACCTAATCCGAGAGATTGTGAACGACAAACTAAAGATCCCAATCAACAATGGAGACATTGAGCGTTCGCATCGCATCTCTTTCAAGAAAAAGGAGGGGGCCAATGCTCAAGAAGGGGTGAAAACCCGATCGTCAACGCGCACTGCCACTCCCAATCCCAAGGACTCCAAGGATCCCAGCCCACGCCCTATAATTGTGAAGTTCGTGAGCTATCGCATGCGGAGGTCAATAATTCTAAACCGTCGCGAACTCAAAGGAAAAAAACTTGGTATTGACGAAGATCTGACAAAGGCAAATGCTGCCCTCTTACGAAAAACAAAAGACTGTGCGAAGGTTCTGTCTGCCTGGACGTCAGACGGTAGGGTCATTGCCCTACTCCCTGCGTCTGGGGGAAAGACTATGAAAAAACTCATCACCTGTGAAGAGGACTTGGACTTAATTTGATATATTTTTTAATACAAAACATTAACTCCATACCTTCATGCTCCAGTTTTTTTTAGGTAATGGATATTCTGATATTCGAATTAATATAATATACACGAGTAATGATGATATTGATGCATTCCAGGACTACTCTGCTCTTATTTATAGTTTCAGTTAATTGGAATCTTATCTCTCTTTTTTAATATTGTAAATTGTTTTTGTAAATTTCTAATGCCAATATGTATACTGTAATATGTTTTATGATGATTTCTTTCTTACGTTGCTCTACTATTTCCACTATTCTATGTGTAAAAAGTGTGTTTACTCGACACCATGACGGAATCTCGTGATGTCTAATAATACAAACATCTTTGGAGAATCTACATATTTCACAGTTGGAAAATTTAATGAATGTATTTCAGCATTTGATTGTAAAACAAATATATCAATTATACACCTAAATTGTCGTAGTTTAACGAAGAATTTTGACAATTTATCTCTATATTTAAATGGTTTTGATAGACAATTTAGTATTATTGCTTTGTCGGAAACATGGTTGAAAAAATCACATCCTAATCTATGTCAACTCAATAATTACTCTTTTATCAGTCAGGAAAGAGAAAATAGACGCGGTGGTGGCGTTGGTTTTTTTATCTTGAATAATCTGAATTACAGTATAATGCATAATCTCAATATAAACAATGAATATTGTGAAGCTATATTTTTGAAAATCAATGAGAATGTTATTATCGGCTGTGTATATAGACCACCTGGTCAACCAATTAATGATTTTTTGAATATTTTACAAAATACTCTCCAACATATTCCACGTTCCATGTCATGCTATTTCTTTGGAGACTATAATATAAATCTTTTATCGTCTGAGGGCAATCTTTTCAATAATGAATTCATAGATATGTTTTGTTCTTTTTCATTTTACCCAGTTATTGATAAGCCCACCCGCATAACGAAAGATTCTGCTACATTAATTGACAACATGTTTACAAATAAGCCTGATACGGTCAGGGAAAGTGGTATTCTCTTTGGAGACATTAGTGATCATTTGCCCATATTTAGCGTTATTTCACCAAGTTGTATATTTTCTAACTCTGACAATGTAAACAGTTTTAAACGTGTAGTCAATGATTATAATATTGCAATATTTTGTAGACATTTAAGGGATTTTGACTGGAATCTTCGTGTGACAAATGTAAATGACATGTTCAAAGACTTTGTGGATATTTTTCTAGATATATACGACAAGTGTTTCCCTCTCAAAAAATCAAAAAATATGAACAATCGGAAGAACAAGGCTTGGTTCACAAAAGAACTTAAAAAAATGTGTAAAAAAAGACAAACTTTATACAAAAAATTTATATCACGCCGAGCAGTAATTGATGAAAGAATTTACAAGTCATTCCGTAACAAATGCACAAAGGCAATACAAAAAACAAAACAACGATATTTTCAATCTAAATTTTGTGCCGTTACAGGGAATTCCAAGGCTACTTGGAAAGAAATTAATACGGTTTTAAACAGAACTAAAATTAAAAAAAATATCCCTTCCAAAATTGTAAATGACAATAATGACATATCTCACCCAAGGGAAATGGCTAACGAATTTAATAAATATTTCATTTCGATAGGCCCCAATTTACAAAAGAAACTGGATGATCCCCATGATACATGTAATAAACATTTCTCCAAATATCTTTCAAATCCTTGTTCTTCTTCAATATTTTTTCAACCGATTGTTGAAAGTGAAATTATATCCATTGTTGACAAATTTAAAAATGATACTTCTTCTGGTTTCGACCACATAGATGTAAAAGTAGTTAAGAAAGTAATACCGTTTATTTGTAAACCATTGAGTCAAATTTTTAACATGTCAATGTCGACAGGTCTTGTTCCAGATAATCTCAAAGTAGCTAAAGTTATACCAGTTTTTAAATCGGGGTCAAAAGAATGTATGTCGAATTATAGACCAATTTCTGTACTTACTGTTTTCTCAAAAATAATCGAAAAATGTGTTTTCAGTAGAATTTCCAATTTTTTATCTTCCAACAACTTATTAAATAGCACTCAATATGGATTTAGAGAGGGTCTGTCAACATCATTAGCAATTACAAAATTCACTCAAGATATTACAAATTCCATTGAAATTAAAAAAACAACAGTCGGTGTATTTTTAGATATGTCAAAAGCATTTGATACAATAGACCATAATATTTTAATGCAAAAATTATATCATATTGGCATACGAGGTGTTCCCCATAAATGGATTGAAAATTATCTTAGCAATAGAAAACAATATGTTACAATTAATTCTACAGACTCAAATATGCTCAATGTTGTTTGCGGGGTTCCACAGGGTTCTATCCTCGGCCCATTATTATTTCTAATTTACATAAATGATATTCAGTGTTCATCAAATGTCCTAAGTTTTATACAGTTTGCCGACGATACAAGTATTTTTTTTACCCATAAAGATATTCCCCTTATTAATACCACGTTTAATAAAGAATTACAAAATGTATATCAGTGGTTAAAATGTAATAAGTTAATTATAAATATGTCTAAAACTAACTATATGGTTTTTAGCAATATGAATTATAATATTGATGATATAAGAATCCATATGGACAAATCCCAACTATTACATACAAATCATACCAAATTTTTAGGTGTTCATATAGATGAATCCATGTCTTGGAAATATCATTTAGGAGATGTTTGTTCTAAAATTTCTCAAGTTGTTGGTATCCTATATCGCCTGCTCAATTTATTACCCGAAAAAATTCTTCTTACTATTTACAATACCCTTTTCCTACCCCACATATCATACTGTAATATAAATTGGGGTGGCTGTCCTAAGTCATATTCTGATAGAGTCTTTAAACTACAAAAAAAAGCCATTCGCCTGATATCAAAATCCTCGTATAACTCTCATTCTGCTCCGCTATTTCATAAGCTCAATGTATTAAGCCTATCCGATATTTGTCAGCTACAAACTGGTATGTTCATGTATAAATGTAAAAATCGCTTATTCCCTCGTTATATTACTGATCTATTTCCTATAAATGCAAGTATTCACTCTTATCAAACTCGGTCTTCCAATGATTTTCATTTCCCCAAAATACGTACATCCTATGCAAAATCTACTTTATTTTTTACCGGCCCAAAACTGTGGAGTTCTTTACCAAATGAAATAAAAAACTCAGTGTCACTCCAATCTTTCAAACGCAAACTAAAAAAACACTTGATAAATTCATATCGTAATCAACTACAACGTTAGTAGAGCTTCTTAACCCGTCCTTTCTTTCTTTATATACAAATTTACTTTGCTTTTTTTTTGTTTAACGCAATTATTCAATTGTTATTTAATGTATTAAGATTATATTTAATTGATTATGATGGGTGCCAACGCACTTAAGACTATTTTCCTGTCTTCCAGTTGGCTCCCTCCGCAATAATAACATGTTCTATATCATTACACTTTAATCAATCACTTATGCTCATTTTCCTCTTTGTCAATGTTACTGTAAATGTTCACATTTTGTTTTGGTATTTGTTGTTGTTATTGTATATACATGTATATATCTGTTATATGTAATGTACATCTTTGTACTTTTATTATTGTGGAAAATAAATGAATCTGAATCTGAATAATCATATTTTCTCTCAACGATTTATTTTCACTCTCTCTCTCTTTCATTCAGTATATCATGCCATGTACCTCGAGAGACCGTTGGTGTCGGAACTGAAGGCCAAGTTAGCAGCATTGTATCACGTCGATAGCGAACACATCTCAAGAATACTCAAGCAAGGAGTAGGGGGGATCAGAGTGTTAGTCAGTGATGAGGTCAGTATTACACAAACTTTGCAAAATTCATAACTGTACTAAATCATTTATAATCAGTTTCCAAATATTGTACTTCATTCAATGCAGTGAAGAAGATGGGATGCTTTATCACATTTTTTTTTTTTTTTTGTGTGTGTTACCTATGTTCAAGTCAAATGTACTATTCTGTTTCCATTTGTATCTTATTGATGTTTATAATCTGTAATCTTGTACTGACATGCAAACGGAACAAATTTCCAATCATTGGACAATAAATTTTGAATTTTAATTTTAATTTTGTATGTGTACTAAGTGAATGGTACCCTCAAGTAGGGTCTTGGCCGTAGAGCAACTGATTGTTGCAGAATTTTCATTTACAGCATGTAATTGATTTATTATTCATTTACCTGACTGCCAAGAAAGCAAGTATACGTTTTGGCAGTGAGGGATAGTGGCTTACCAAAGAGCATTAGCACATCAACCTGGTTTTGAATTATTGACCTTGCAGTCATGAGACTACTGCTCTACCACTGAACCACGACCCTCCCTTATTAAAGCAGTGGGAACATTACAGTATTCTACATCATTAAAATGTATGGCAGAAAAAGCCATGTAATTCTGTTACTGAGCATGTGGAATCTACCAACTGGTGATATGTTTGGTAATGAGCCCTATTAGGCAAACTGAATCTCAGGGCCCTGTCTTATAAACAGCTGCAATTAAGTCAACTTATCTGCAGTTGGTATCAATCGCAATAAGAGATGTATAAGAGATAGGAGACTGTAAACATGCCATTGATTGGAAAACCTTCGATTGAATCGTTCGATCACAACTCTATTAGGGAGGGCCATGGTTTCTATATTCTTCAGAAAGAAAAATCACCTTGTTTATTGCTTTGTATCATTTTCAGATGGTGCAGAACATTGCAGATGAGAGCAACTTCTCTCTAGAGGCCGTTAAAGGTATGTCATGTCAGGATCTATGAATTAGATATTTATATGTTTTTAGGAAGATAATGATTGCATGAATACCAAGCCATTGTGAAATATCTGACCAAGAAAAAGAACCAAGTGCACTCAGTGTAAAGTTCAAATTTGTCATGGGCTCAAAGGTCACTTCTAGCCATTATAAAAATTGTTAAGAGCTATCTTATATGTTACCTTTGTGATTGCATGTAGATTTGGAATGTAAATACAGTGTTTATGTATCTTCATCTGATCCAGGAATCAATTTGCTTACTGAACTTTTTTTCTACAGATCCCGATGGAACGACGTATACAATCGTGATGAAATGAAGGCAAATCTCTGCAGAATTTTGAGAAAATAACTTATCTAGCGGAAGGAGAAGCCTTCAATATGGGGCGTTGACATCCTCGGAAAATGATCATGTACTTTGTCAAGCACTACTTCTCTTGATGTCACGGCATTGGTCAGTGGGTACGAAGCCAAAATGATTCTTGATGTCACCAAGTGTTGCCACAATCTCTGTGTATTGATGTCTGGTATGTGCCATATCAACCGAGTTTCTGTTCCGAGGACAGCATTTTGGAAAGCAGGACAATCAACAGGATGAAAGGTGGTATTCTCGAAAGCGGACTAACTTTAGTCCATGGTTTAATCCTCCGACTAAGTATGGAATGCCAAGTGTCCATATGAATATGTTTTTGAATAATTTTATCTGTCACTAAATTAGAATAAAATGTTTTCATTTAATAAATATTTTGTAATAGCATAGTTAATAACAAATGTCAAATTATTCAAAAATATATATTCATATGGACACTTGGCATTCCATACCATGGACTAAAGTAAGTCCGCTTTCGAGAATACCACCAGAAGTGTTTCTCCAAAATGAAAATCATCTTGAGCTTTTATAATATATGTTATGTTGCCATGATTCTTAAAACACATGTAGAACAGTGTTCATGCAAGGGGTATACTTTATTTTCTGTATCATCATCATGTTGTTAATGTAGAAACTGGAAAAGGGATTTCCTGTGAATGATATCGTTTGGGCGTTCATGTACTTTTTATACATCGATGGTGGTATTCTGAACCATGTCAAGTGAAAGTATATGAATGGTCTGAACGAATTGCAATAATACAGAATAAACTTTGGTGCTGATGGTGCACTTACTCTGACATTGTTGTGAATTTTCCCCATACTTCAAGCACCTCTAAAGTGTTGGGAGCCCCAAATTCGCCAAAAATTTCACTTAAATTGTATCATAATGTGAAAGAGGATATTATTTAAGACGCACTTCTGTAAAGATCCCCCCCCCCCCCAAAAAAAAAAAAAAAAAAAAAAAATGTATTTGGAGACAAAATTGATAATTTGGGTTTTCTGTTGTACACAGAAAACCTAAATTTTGTATTCTTTCATCAATATTCGACTTCAAACACATTTGTTTTGAAAATCCTTGCAGAAATGTGTCTTAAATGACATCCTCTTTTACATTTTGATACTATTTAAGTGAAATTTTGCAATCAAATTTTTTGGCGAATTTGGGGCTCCCAACACTTTTAATAGAAAGGCTTTAACCACCGACTTGTAGACATTAATCAATTACCAACTGCCCTGCAATTATGTATCTGTATTTGCTGTACATCATTTCTATATAACCATAGAACTTTCTATTGTTTCCACTTTCCAGACTACTTCCTCTGATCCCAAGTAGCTGGAATTTTCCTTTCCTGTTTAAAATTTGTGAAATCATAGCTCTTAGCTCACTTAAAGATGATTTGTATGCAATCTCCATGTAATTTAATTGATAGGTTTATTATTGAAATGCCTGTGAAATGAAATTGGACAGAGGAATAAGGCATTGTTATTGATGTCAAATCTAATTTAATATGCATAGCTAGAAATAATGAGAATTCACAAAACTTGAAATAGGGAATAGCAATGACTCAGTTTTGATTGAGCCATTTTCTTTTTTCTTTTTCTGTCAATAATTTATAATAGTATATCTATGAATTCATCATTATGACCATTGGCCACCATGCATACATGCCAACTGTTCAGATTAAAGAGGAACATTCCTCTTTTTGGGAGAAGATAATTATCATTTTAATGCAGGTGTTCCTCTTCCTGTACAAATTTGTCTGTAGTATTGAATAGGAGAGTTAGGATTTTTCCTCTTTTTTTTAAAATAGCATAATTTGTACAGATTTCTGATTTTCAAATGTTGGCATGTATGCACCATGGCCCTGTTATAAAAAGCAAATAACAATCATTGATATAAACTACTGAAATCTTGTCATTTGATTGACTATGAGCAAACTTGTTGAAGAATCGTGGCAATCGATATTAAAAACAAGTTTAATAAAACGAGGTCCAGTTTATTTCATATCATAGCAAGAGATTAGGTGATATGTGTCAGTCTTGCCACCCTCCTCTATAACTTCTACATCCCCTCCCTCTCCTTCATGTGTATTGAAAAAAAATCTGTTGCTGCATTGGAGTAAGTCATTTTAAGAAGTCCTCCTCAAACTATTTTATATCCATCATGTAGATGTCATATTATTTTCCTTTCCATTCTCCCTTTAACTATTTTGCTGCCCCCAAGACCTATATTGTCAGTGTTCATTCCATTAGAAAGAGGCTCTCTCTACATGTAGGAGTTGCTTTTCCATGCAGGTGGTTCCCAGCATGCTTTCATAATTTGTCTATATTTGGCTGGTCCAAACAACCCTATAATGTATGAGGATAACTCGTCCATAATTCAGAAAGAACCTACAACTAGACGGTCTCTTAAAAAAACGGCAAGTACTCGAGCTTAAGTGCGTGAATGAGTTGCGTATGTGTGTTTGTTGATGTCAAAAGTTTATACATTATGTGAAATTCAGGATGGTTTTAAAGTTTTGGCTTGTGAATAACAGAAGGTTTTGATCATAACATTGCTATTTTCTAACATAAGATGTACAACATCATTTACCTCATGGGTCATCAACCATAGGATGTTATGTACAAGAGTTTGATTATGTAGCTACCTGGTTTTTGAGAATGGATTGAGTTGGCAGTGAGCTTTTCATTGAAGTATAAAGTGGGTTAATGTACTTTTAATTCTGTCATGGAAGGCATTGTTTATATGTCATGTGAAGTATGGGCAATGCTACAGAGACAGGATTTAATCCTTGCAGTTTTCAAGATGTAGATAATGATCAAATACATACATTATATGTGATGTGTAATGGAGAGCTGATCTTTAACTTTAAAGGGGAAGTCCACCCTGATATTACGTTGGTTTTAATAGAATCAGAAAAATTAGAGGCACAGGTCAGTGAACGTTTGAGCAATATCTGACTAAAAGTAGGAAAGTTGTGATTTATAAAGTTGTCATCAATGAAACACAATTGGCAACACTGATATATCTTGCAAGGTCCCCCAATTTGCTCTGTACAAAAATTTCATCAATTTTCATTTTCTTTGTTATTGATGACGGAAAAGATTTCTTTCATGCAGGGATTGTTTAGAAACATATTTGCTATAGTTATACTTAGGGCTCATTTATAATTTAACCTTTTCTTTTGGGAAAATAGAGATATATGACTTTTTAAAGTACAGAGCAAATAGAAAGAAACCTCGCATGAACATCACAGAGTTGGAAATTTGTGTTCGATTGATCGCAACTTTAAAGGTTCATAACTTTCTTATTTGTAATCAGATTTTTCTCAAACTTTCACTGACCTGTTTTTTTCTCAATTTTTGCTTGTAATAAAACAAACTTAATAGCAGGTTGAATTTCCCCTCTAAAGCATAATGTGCTTCACATTTTTGTACGTTACAAAATGCAGAAAAGGGAGTACATGTAACACCTTTGTTGCATATGCAGCTCCTTTCATATCCCAACTTGCCACTAATTGACATATTTACAATAAATCTGGAGCTTGTGTGATAAAACATGTTATCAATAACAAACACCAATTTTTATGACAAATTTGCTCTCGGCCAATCAAATGCCACGATTTTGGTAGCTTGCAACAGTTACTGGGACTCGTCATTGATCAAAAGGATTTATAAAACTGGGCCCTGTTTTGGTTTACTGTAGCATGTAAATCAGCATAAACTTTCTTTTAAGTATAGGTAACATTGAGATCTAGTAATTTACAGCTTTAAATGGAATTTACAGTGAATATTAAACTAAACTGGTTCGGCACATGATCGTTAAATCCTTGTAGGTTTAATGAATATGGCCTGGTTTAATTATGTGTCAAATTAAGCCGACAGAAGAAAAAAACTGAATTTTTAGCAACGAGAGATAAGGCTATCAATGACGGGCAAGATTACCATTCTATTATATGTCCCATATGTGTGTATGCGTGTTAGTCTTCATCATGTTGGCTATTGGCAAGTATTCCTTTTTTTTTTGGGGGGGGGGTACATTTTTCAGGTACCAACCAGCTACAATATATACCAGGATTAAATTATATAAAAATGAAACAAAACGATTAAATATTGATATTAAGGTTGGACAGTTTTTATCCAAATTCAATTCATGAACAGAGTTTGCTACCATATGGATTTATAATTGTATTACATTCATTTCTCTACATTCATGTCTCAAACAAATATGTTCAACTTTTTCTTTTTTGTAATAGTTAATGTTGTTCGAATGATGTCAAATTTTATGCTAAATTGCAAAGGAAAGTGGTTGGATTCGTTTTAAATGCCAAGTTGATATCTTTATGTTGTAACTCAAATGATACAAAGTAAATGGTTTGATTTATTTGTTAAAGTAAATGGGGATTTTATGGTGCACAATTATTTGTCAGGTAAATGTGATTTGAACTGTCTTAATTATCATTCAATTGCACAAACACTTTTGCAATTTTTCTATCATTAATTGTGTTTTGATACTTACTGTCAATTATTTGTTTAAAACTGACATGTGCAGACACTGATTTTATTGCATTACAGGTATTTGGGAATTATGATGGTGTTTGAAAGTACCGGTACATGTTTGGATAAATATTAGCTTTTACAGTTATCTCGAGAAGGGGTTATGAAGTTTTGTTGACATAGCTTTGGATAAGTACATTACCTAGTTGTATTCTTAGCTTGGATTTGTGGGTACTGTGAGATGAAATGTGGAATATCTGTGTTAGATAGCATTTTGGAGGCTGAAATCCTGATTTGTAGTCTTCAGATATTACATACAGAATTTAAGGAGAAGTGTATTGGAGAAGAATAATGTACTCGACATTCGAGGAAAACTTTGCTTTAGATATTACAAATTATTGAATAGAAGTAAAATGAAAATAGAATTGTGCAGGTGATATTCACCAATAGCAAGACATTATTTTTCTTCCAATTTTAATGATTAAATGCAACTCTTCTACCATTTCATTGATTTTGCTACCTGTAACTGTTATTGAACTAAGCATTTGCCACTCTGTTTAAGCAAATACTATTAAGAGGGGTAAATGAACATTTATCTGAATCGTTGACATACCTATAATTAGTATGTGCAAGGTTTGTTGGTTTATTCTTTATTGTTGCATTTAGGGAGCAGCACATAATTATTATTGAAGTCAACAGATCATTAGATATTTGTTTTGAAATCTGTTATGGGGGTTGATATTTGGAAATTACATGTTGCTAATGCTGGAAATAAATTAGTATTGTTCCCATTTGCAACTTAATATGTTTGCATCTGCTGGCAAAAATAACCATTTAGATACTTTCTAGAATCATTATCACTAGTCCAAGGTAAATCAGACGATTTTTATCTGTCAAACTTGCTTTTGCTACTTTCATTCTGCCTTTTATTTTTCTTTAAATGTGCCTGTTAGAGTTACTTTAATCTTATTTTTGAAATGTGCCGTTGGTAAATGTGATATTAACTCATATTATTGATGTGAAATTATGACATTACTCTATGATATAAGTTGTCATGCCAACGGGCAAGAAATCATGGATGTAGGAATGAATGAGTTGTTTTATAACTTTGTACATATTTTTAAGTACCTGTACAGAAGATACAGATCATTGTGTTTGATCACATTCTATAGATTTTGGAGATATTCTAGTAAAGAGAAATGGAAGCCAACATATACTGCCGTGTCACAAGGATTTTATGTATGCAACGTGTTTCCTTATATACAAGATACAAGGCCAAGTCAAGTGAATTGTGTAGAAAAAGGAAGAAAGGATGGCCTAAGGGAATTTGTTTTTGTTATGTTTGTTTGTTTGTTGTTTTTGTTTTGTTTTTTGTTGTTTTTTTTGGGGGGGGAGGATGCTTGTTTTTTCTTATACTACCTACAGTGTAATTTAAATTCACATTGTAAAATAAGTCTACCAATATTTCCAACAAATACTCTTCACATCCCCCTCCCCCCTCCCCCCCAAAAAGATTAGAAATCAAAGCATTTGTTGAAGTTGTTGTAGTAAAGAGGAAATAGCTGTCAATTCTTAATATCATCCATTTGGAACCAGAAGGGTGTTCATTTGTATACTTTAACAGTATATTAACAATGCCCTTTTGCCTCCAAACAGATAATATACAACTCCCATTATTGCTTCTCACTGCTCACATTGTACGATTACCGGCACTCGTCCACTCACACACTAACACTGTAACACTGGGTGAATAGGAACAACTGTCAGAAACCGAATTTGACAATGTCTTTGAATGTATATTGCCAATCATCCTCACAAACTGATTTCCACATAACTTTAACGACTTCTCATTTTGTTAATATTTCATGGAAAATGTGTCTAAATTGATCCTTCCATAGGGCATTTGAAAAAAAGTTACTACCACTGGTCCATTCACCCATTTTACAGTATCCCCATAACTCATTCACGGTATGTCCTTGTACCCATGTTTGCCAACTTGCAAAGGCATAGTAGCACAAGTTCTGAAGCTTTTGCCTTCTTTCATTTAGAGTGGAGTAGCCTTTTTTGCCCAGCACTCAATACTCTCTTGCTCTTAATAATGAAACTGTTCTACCCAGTCTACAGTAGGGAGAAAATGATCAAGGGGCCTGCTCCATAAAACTTACCATTGATGGTAAGTTTGCCATCAATGACAACTACCATGGTAACAGGGCGCAACAACCAATCAAAATCAAGGTTTCCAACGTGATGATAGGATTGCAAAGTTACCATCAATGGTAAGTTTTGTGCAACGGTCCCTGTTATTTTTGTCCCTCCCTGGATTAGTTTACCCATTCCAGACTCGATCATTACAGCTCTAGTTTATTAACCAAAATTAAAAGCTATTCCATCTACCCCGGTAGTAGCAGATCTGAGTAGCTTTCATGGCATAACATACGGCAGTAGAACAACTTTCAGTCACACACACTCCTACACTTCTATATCATGGCTATAAAAATGCCACTTAATAATATCCAAAATATTGGCTCTTGACTAATGGACATGGCACAATTTCTGCATGGCCACAACATTTGTTAATATCAATAAAACAAATAAAATTTGAAAAAAAGTGTATTTTCAGAGGTTAGAAATAATGTTAACAACTAGCTTTTCATATACATGAAGTTCTGGGGCCAGCTACGTAAAACTTACCATCGATGGTAACTTTGTCATTAATGGCAACTACCATGGTAACAGGGCTCAACAGCCAATCAAAATGAAGGTTTCCATGGTAGTTACCATTGATCGCAAATTTACCATCAATGGTAAGTTTATGCTATTAAGGGGAATTGGATCAGGCAACAATGACAAATTGTGTCTTCCCATATATTTGTTTTAATCCTTTCATTAACGTTTGTGTGCTCCAAACATTCTGTAATTCAATAATTTCATGTATTCGCTCCCTTTTTAATATACATTATCAGTAAAAGTTTTCTCACATCCAGGTCAACAAAAAACAACACCTTTTTTCAAAGAAAGTTCTCTTCAGTGGCTAACATCTTTATTGCTGTATAAGTTCAAACATTTTATTCCATGATATAAACTAAAATCTGGAACTCTAGTTTACAAGTTACCACAAACTGTGAAAGGGGAAAAAAATTAGCTTCTGTTGCCGTTATGTGCTTATTATCAGCTGGAACGTAAGCCAAAGTCTGTTACAAGATTACTCTACATGTACTTAAATATAACTGAAGCAAGCTGAAAAAAAATAAAGGAAATCAGAATTTCAATAATGAATATTCAAAATAAATTCACTTGCTTCACATTATAAGAAAAAATGTGCAGCCATACTTAGTTATGACTTGTTACAATGTCATACACAATACAATTGCAATACTGTGACGTTGCACAATCAGAATCACATCTACATGTACATAGAGACCACTTTCAACACTTAAAATCTTGATTAAATTAAAAGGTAAATACTGTACATCAAATTTAATAAGCACAATGCATTGATCAAAAGGAGTAGAAAGTAAATGTTTATCTATAATTTATCACTCGAGAGTAAAGAAAAATGTATATGTATAAGTTCTTTAATCTCATTATTAAACTGACAAACAACCAGAAGCAGGAAATCAATTTTTCATGGACTTTGAATGGTAGTATGCTGTAGTATTGCTGTACCAATGTTTAAAGTTTCAGATGACTTCAGAATAATACAACATTACACAAGTCAGTCCTGTTATTTAGTTTAGTTTTAAATGTATACCATTAATAAAATACTAGCTACATCCAAAATCTTTTTTTTTCTCGGCTGATCTTCTTGTAACAGGTATGTTCTGAGTAAATTTCATAAAAGTGCTTTGATAGAACATAATTTACACAAAATTAAATGAGACATTGAAATTATTTTATAAAAATCACCCGATTTACAAAGTATTTAACCTCACAGCATTGCAAATAAAGAATATCACAATATGTGATCTTTAATATTCAGGACTAATTTTTAGTACTGTCACATGATTTGTAACACCTTTTTTTTAAAAAAGAAATCTACAACTTGTCTTCCTCCAAAAGGAGAAGACATACTCTGTCTATCAACAGTTCTGATTAATATAAAAACACAAGTAAGCATGGGTAGAATTGGGGGCATATTTTAGAGGTAATTGAAGAGATTCCTACAAAGATATAAATGATTTCTGCTTTATCGATACATTCATGTGCTCCTCTTTCAGTGTTTTAGTGAGTTCTGTAAGGAACCCTTTATCGTTTAGACTTATGAATCCCTCAATGTTTTTAGAAATCGTTTGGATACGGAACTGAAGAAATAGTTGCTTGTAACCATGAGAACAGAAAAACACGACTGCATGGTAGTCTTAACAAACCCAGTGTTCTCATAATTCTTTGCTCATTTTTGTAAAGCATAATTCACATGTTCTTCAAATTTGTATGGTAAACACTGTTCATTTGTAGTTGTAGCATTCCATGTAAATACTGTAGGACTTGGTGAATATCGTATTTAGGAGATTCCATTTTTAGATATTATTAGGTGTTCAATATTTCTACCCAATTTCACTTTTGTGATCAAACACAAACCTGCTTTTATGGGCAAAACAGATGTAGTACCGCATGACCATGTATTAAAGTTAAACATTCTTTTCAAATATTAGCCAAAAGACATACATTCACAGAATTTAACGTGAGGGAGAAGTTATTGGATATTTAGTACATGTACTTCATGGCATTTTAAGTGTGTATTTAACAGATCTTCTGACTATGTGTCTGCAAGCATTCTACACTACCATAAACATACATGAATCCCCTTTAACCAGAAAGTCACACAAATCATCATAGTAAAAATATTTGAACAAAAATTATGGCACGTATACAATAATGGCTTGCGTTGCACACAAGCCCGATAATATTGTATCTTTACTATGACCCAGCTGTTCACACACCATTGCACTTTCAAAATAGTATGTACATACATGTATGTTATAATGAACTAAAGCTACTATACAATAATTATAAATGAAGTCAAAATATGACTACTTCTGCAAATAAACCCTCTCCAAATACAATCGTATGAATCTTAAAGCCCACAACACATGATGATCAGTACTACATGCCAAATGACATGTACACAAGATTCAAGATTCAAGATCTTGAGACAAATAGAGACAAATCAAACTCACATTTTGCATGCTATACCAAATTAGGAGGGAAATTATCACACATCTATACCAAATAGATTCAAGTAATTGCACTTACAGTGCAGCACTAGAGATGAATCTCAAGCACACATGAAGTGGCATACTCCATTACCACCTTGCTTTGTTAACTAGAAATCCATCAACTCTTGAAAATATCTAAGGGAATCTAGGGTTGTTTGGCTTGATAAGAGGCTTTCCCATGAGAGCAGCAGCAGGGAATGGCATTCTAGGACCACCGGGTGGGAACCCATGACCTGGTGGAAGACGCAATGCACCAGCAGGCATAGCTCCTGGAGGTAATGCACCCGATGGAGGACGAAGGGCGCCAGGAACCATACGAACGGCGCCTGGTGGTACTGCACCTGGAGGCAAGCGAACTGCACCAGGAGGCAAGCGTATTGCACCATGAGAGGCTGCACCCCGAGGCATAAGGCCAGGTCTCAGATGAACTGCGCCTTGTGGAATGGCACCCTGAGGCAGACGAAATGCACCTGGCGGGATACCGCCTTGTGGCTGAGGAACTGTACCTTGTGGGACGACACCTGGAGGGAAACGTACTGCTCCCCGAGGAACAGCACCTGTTGGAAGGCGGACTGCACCAGGGGGTAAGCGGACTACACCCTGGGGTAAGCGGACAGCACCTTGAGGAAATTGCATTGCACCTCGCAACTCTTCTTGCATACTAACGGGTACCGGCAGACGCATTCCTTGAGGCATTCCAGGGACTCGCATCGGGATTTGTCCCATTTCTGGTAGTTCTGGTCTCGGACTTGGTATACCTGATCTCATAACTGCATCGGGTGTCATAGCTCTCACGGGAGTTCTAATCATCTGTTCTATAGCACCTCCCATGGGAGTTCTAATCATTTGCTCCATAGCACCTCCCATGGGAGTTCTTATCACCTGTTCCATAGCACCTCCCATGGGAGTTCTAATCATCTGTTCCATAGCACCTCTCATTTGAGGTCTAATCATTTGTTCCATAGCACCTCCCATGGGAGTTCTAATCATCTGTTCCATAGCACCTCCCATAGCACCTCCCATGGGAGTTCTAATCAACTGTTCCATAGCACCTCTCATTTGAGGTCTAATCATTTGTTCCATAGCACCTCCCATAGCACCTCCCATGGGAGTTCTAATCATCTGTTCCATAGCACCTCTCATTTGAGGTCTAATCATCTGTTCCATGGCACCCCGCATTTGAGGTCTAATCATCTGTTCCATTCCACCTCTCATGGCAAAAGGGATGCCTGGCCCTTGAAATCTTGGTGGCCTCATCATGGATGGTCTTGGAGGTCTATGTGATAGCATGTTTGAACTAGTGTCGGACAGAGCAGGAGAAGCACTTCTTTGAGAAGGTACAGGTGATGGAGATTGATGATGAATGACACCATCAGCTGGCATTGGTATTTCAACACTCACAGGCACTCCTCCGATACTAATTGAAATCGGTACCATAGGTCTAGGGCTTTGATTATCAGGATTTTCAGATATTGGAGTACTTCTTGGTGATTTCTTATTACTGCTTTCTGGGTAATTGCTAGATTGCACAAACGGTAGGGGTGAAACAGCTGGACTCTCAGAAACGTTATTCTGGGAAGGTGTACAGGCTATTGGCTGACTAGCTGCTTGTGAAGACGACTCTGCAGAAGTGGCTGGAACGGGTGAAGGCGAAAACCTTATCCCTCCCTGCACAGAGTTTTGAGGCGACTCCCTTTCTTGCGTAACTGGAACGGGTGACGGCGAAAACCTTCCCCCTCCCTGCACAGAGATTTGAGGCGACTCCCTCTGTTGCATAACTGAGACAGGTGAAGGCGAAAACCTTACCCCTCCCTGCAAAGAGATTTGAGGCGACTCCCTCTGTTGCATAATTTGAACAGGTGAAGGCGAAAACCTTACCCCTCCCTGCACCGAGATTTGAGGCGACTCCATCTGTTGCATAACTGGAAAGGGAAAACCTGGACGACTACCAACTAATCTTTGTCCAGGATGAATGCCCTGCAATTGTGGTCCTGGGAATCTTACCATAACAGGAGCAGCACGTGGAACCATACCAGGTGGAACAGATCTGTTAGGAACTGCTCCAACAGGCAAAGCACCAGGCATTCTTGCAAATTGTATTCCTTGCAGTGCCCCTGGCAGTGCAGCTGATGGAAGAGCTCCTCTTGGCACCAAACCTGATGGAACAGCTCCTGCAAGTGCCTCTGCAGATATAGCACCTCCAGGGAATGCTCCACCAGCAAATGCCCCTGCTGGAATTGCCCCTGCCGGAATTGCCCCTGCCGGAATCGCCCCTGCCGGAATCGCCCCTGCTGGAATTGCTTGGATTGCTGCTCCTGAAAGGCCTGATGGAATTGCTCCCCCTGCAATTGCACCAGTTTGAATTGCTGATACAGGAATTCCACCAGCATGGATAGCACCTGCTGGAATTGCTCCACCCTGTAATGCAGCTCCTGATAGGGCACTTGCAGGTACTAGTGTACCTGGTATAGGCCCTGGTACCATTGCTTGCAGTCCCTCCATAGAAGCAGCACCAGGTATCATTCCACGTGGTGCCATTGAAGTAACAAATCTTGGTTGCAAAGCACCCATTGGAGAGCTACCTTGTATCGCAGAAGATGTTAAAGCTTGCATCTGTAGTGCATCTGATAGTGACATCCCAGGTCTCACGCCAGCCATATTTACTGTCCCTGCTTGCAGCATTTCAGGTGTAACATACCTCAAACCAGCCGGTGTCATTGCTCTGATTGTGCCAGGAGCACCAGGCATTGCACCAGGCATACTGGCTGGACTAATTAACCGCACACCCTGCATACCTTGTATACCAGCTACGCCTGCTTGCATGGGCATTCCTGCTTGCATGGGCACTCCTCCTTGCATGGGAACTCCTCCTTGCATGGGAACTCCTCCTTGCATGGGAACTCCTCCTTGCAGCTGTACAATCCCCTGGCCAGGAACATGAACAAGTTGCATTGGGGAAATAGAAGAGCTTGGTGGAGTCTGAACACGAACGAGCTGCATTCCCATTGGACTTGACATAGGAACAGGTGTATTGGGACGTACCATTGGCATTTGGAGAAGTGTCATATGAGGGTTGTGTGCTTCTGCAGCAAGTAAATGTGGAGACATATTAGAATGTGGTGACATTACATGGTGACCTGATTGCAGTGAAGAAGAACGAGAAGGAGGTCTGACATCTGCTTCACCCTGCTGCTCCTGCTCTCTAGGCACTTCTTGAGAGGCAAGTCCAGGATGTATGGGACCAATGAATCCTGGAGGTCTATCTGGATCGTCACTTTCCTCAGCAGTTTCATTGCTCTCTTGGATAGCCTGCACTTGTGCTTCCATCTGTGCTTCCATTTGTGCATCATGCAACTGTGCTGCTTGTGCTGCATGTGCATCTTGTATTTGCTGCAAATTTGCTGAAGGAGTTCTTATAAACCTAGTACCCGGCATAAACCCTTGTCTAGGAATCAACCCTTGTCTAGGAATTAACATTTGTCTAGGAATACCTACAGCTTGAGGCATTAACCGTGTCATTCCAGGAACAGCAGGCCTATGAACAAGCATATGCCGTTGAAGAAGTGCTGACTGGGGCACAAGGGCCTGTTGAGGAAGCAGAGTTGGTCGGGGAACCAGACTTTGTTGGGGAACTAGAGTCGGCTGGGGAATTAGAGTTGCCTGTGGTACAAGAGACTGTGGTTGTACAATTGTCTCTACTTGCTGTTGGAGTGCTGTCTCCTGGGCAAGTAGCTGTTGATGCTCCACAGCCACAGCAGTTTGTGAGGATTGTCCCGTTCCCTGACCTTGGGCCTGCATTAATTTTTGCTGCACATGCAATCTAGCTTGCTGCTCCAATTGTTTATATTTCTCCATTTCTTCAGGTGCAATTGACACTAGACCATCATCTTCAGATTTATCCTTGGTTCCCTCTTCTTCTTTTACAGCTGGTACATTGGGAATTTTGAATGCATCATCATTTGATTCACTTCCTCCTGCTCTATTTTCTGAATCGCTATTCTGGAAAGCACAACTACTTGGCATTTTCTGACCTTCCTGCTTTACATCTGTCCTAGATTGTGTAGGAGGTGAATCTGGAATTGGTTTTCCTGAGATGTGTGTTTTACCAGTCTTGCTTTGTTTCACGATAAGTCCTTTACCCTCAGGAACGTGTGTCTTATCTTCAACACTTGAAAGAGTTTGTATCAAGTCTGAAATCTTTTCTTTTGTTTTACTTAATATTGATGTAGAGGGTCGATCAGATTGCAGGGTAGGATCGGAAGCCTTGCTCTCTTTCAAGGCTTTTCTTACCCATTCCTTCAAAGCACCACAACTACCTGCACGATCAGTAGCTTTGCTCTTACTTATATCTTGCTTCATCTTTTCCTGAACAACTCCTTTTCCCCTTTCTACTTTAGGTGACCTGCTTCTTGACCTGGAGTAGCTACGTCTGTGCCTTCTTGAAGACCTTGACAAACTTCGGGAATGTCTGGACCTTTTACTTCTGCTTCTATCTTCATCACTGTAGCTATCACTATGGTAGCTACGCTGCCTCCTAGAGGATCTGTCATCCCTGTCAGAGTAAGAGGAGTAGCTGGAAGATCTGTGTCTTCGTTTTGAGCTGCTGGACTTACGATAATCATCATCACTGTAGGAGCTTTTTCTATGCCTCCTGTCGTCATCAGAACTGTCCTCACTATCTGAATATCGGCTTTTCCTCCTCTTAGAATGGCCCGATTTATAATGGTCATCAGAACTATCATGGCTTCTCTTATGTCCTCTATCTTTGGATGAATGATGACTCTTTTTTCTGTGTTTCTTTCTTCTATGCTTCCTGCCACCATCTGATGCATCTGATTCATAGTCTGAACCATGTGTATGATGACTCTTCGACCTTTTCTTCTTCTTCCTTTTCCTCTTTCTCTTTTTTCCTTTGTCTGATTTATGCTCCCCATTTCTCAATGTACTTTCACTAGATTTTTGTTTATCCTTACCCAGTATACTCTTGAAATCATACGACAATGGATTCACACTATACGCCAGTGAAGGGGTTACCTGAGTGTGAGTAATCATATCTGTGGGCCAAGACAAAGTTCTCTTAAAATCTTTAGCAAGTATTGGCAAATAACCCTCTTCAACATTTCCAAGCTTTACAGGGAAGGAAACATCTTTCAATTCATTCTCTAAGGCAGCAAAACTTTCAGTTTCATGCCTTTTATAGACCTCTTCTATACTCTCCTCTACAACCTCTGTTGCGATTGGGGCTACTTCTGTCTTACTCTCTTCGTTTTCTGTAGGTTCCTTTTGAACAGCATCATCAATTTTTGCTACAGATGGAACAGATGTTTTAGGAACATTAGGAACAGTGGCTTTAGGAACAATGGCCTTAGGAACAGTGGCCTTAGGAACAATGGGGGCAGAAATCTTAGGAGCAACAGGATTGGTGTTTTTTAGAACCATGGCAGAGACTTTAGGAGCAACTGCTACAGAGGCTTTAGGAGTAATGGGAATAGTGATTTTTGGTGCAGCAGGTACAGGGATTTTAAGAACATTGAGAACTGATGTTTTAGTAGCACTGGGAACTGATGTTTTAGTAGCACTTGGAAAAGTGAGTTTGGGAGCAGTTGTGACAGGAGCTTTGGGGGTAATGGCAACAGAGGTTTTGGGAGAGGGAGAGGGATTTTCTGGCAAAGGAATATCTTTGGCTGAAAGAGTAGCCATACTCAAACTGATATCTTTATTAACAGCAGTGATTCCCATACTACCCTTCTCAGAATGTTTCAGGTTTGATTGACTGTTGGTAGTAGAACCACTTTTAGAACCAATACTTGGTGCAGCAGAGGATGTCTTCAGGTCTGTACTTGGTTTCATTGGTGGGACAGGTATTGAATGGAGAGCAGAGAGTTTCTTGGCAGTTCTTGTTTTAGCATTGTTGTCGCTGGAAACATCAGTTTTTGTTTTGCCATTTGATTTACCAACCACAGACATGTTCTTCATGACAATATCTGGATGTTCCCCACTATCAGGTTTCTTCTCATTTTTGGTTTTACTTCCTTTTGTACCTTTGAGACTATCGTTGATCTGTGTCTCGGTGTTCCTGGTAATGCGAATCACAGACTTCTTACTAATGTTCACAGGTATAGTATTTTGTTTCCCTCCGTTCTCACTTTCCATCTGAGCTGCTGGTGGTTTCGAGTTTTGCGATGATGCAGCGCTTCGGGTAGTCACTGATCGAGTAGAGAGCCGATCTTTTGGCCTAAAGAAAACCAAAGATGTACACAAGAGGGATAAACATAAAAATATTATAGTTGTTCTCTGGTTGAAATGATATCTGATTGAAGACAAAGAAAGACCTGAAGGTACCATGATTATTTTGTCACTGTTTGAATGTTTGCATCTTCTTGTTACAACAGAATATTGAGGAATACTTTGCAGAAATTCATTATGTGAAGTCAAGATTTTTAAAATTAAAAAAGTTATAAAAGAACGCAATATTTTGGACTGATTACACTTTTTAATATATTATTTTGCTATTGTTAAAAATGGAATGAAATCAACACATCTTTTAAATTTCTCCAGAATTATATTTAATTCATCCCTAGCTTCACTTGCTGGAAATGCCATTTTTCTTATATAGATATTGCCATATTGCACATATAAATTTAAACTCTCTCTTTATCAACTTGAAGAAAAACACAACCTACCTGGAAATTATTGTACCGATACTGCAAGAAGTTTGTCTACCAAAACAAGAGTAAGGTGTAGATGGAGCATCCATACTACTACTACTTGAACAAATTCAATCCATAAATATCTTACTTCTTATCAGGAGGTCCACTTGCTGGCTTCTCTGGCTGCGATGCAGGTTTGGTCTTGTCCCGCGTGCCAGCATCTTCGGTCCCCTTGCCAGGCTTCACCTTCGACTCGGGAGTCTGTCAATACAAAGATCATTTAGAAAATCACTCCATGAGATACAAGACTATCTAGCAGCCTGTACAACCATAATACAATAATTCATCATGAACTTTATACTGAACACATTATTCAACAATTTTGGGTTTCAGTGATCGACATCGTCTATATCTGTGAAAGCATAGATTCATCCATGTATTATGTATACATACAATTTCAAATTTGTACCGAAATGTAGTGTAGTTCAGAATCATTCAATACAAGTTCTCCTGTTAGAGCGAAGGGCATGTCATGGAAACTGACAGAAATAATAAAATACAGTATGATGATATACTGTAAATCTCTGTGCATAAGACGCACTTTTTTCCCACCGAAAAAAATTGAAAGTCAGGGGTGCGTCTTATACACAGGTACACAAAAAAAAGAACAAAAAAGAACCAAGAAAAAACAAAACAAAATAATAATTTGTAATTTGTTTTAAAGTGTTGATTTATGCCCCCTCCGCCTGCACTGTGCCTGGCAATGTCTCCCAGCTCAGTCATACAGGGTATGTTGACTCACCACTCACACCAATACAGTCACAGTAAGATACTGAAGGAAGTTATTTGAAGTGGCACAGTAAAACTAACTAGATTATATAATCTGTAATCCAGGTTACATAGTTACAACAGTAATGTACTGTCACTATTTGTCACCTGGGTTATAGTGATGGCACAGCATCAAACTTATTTTTTTTCCCCAAAAAATAGGTGTGCGTCTTATAGACGGATATTTACGATATGAATTTCAAATCTACACATACTCTTAAAATGGTCCCTTATAAATTTGAAATTGAACAAGGAATACAAAAGCTTAAAACATGAAAGAAAATTATAAAAGCAAATAACTTTGTTGCTTTTGATGCTTTACTCAAACTCCTAGTTTCAAACAACCTTCAAAAAAATTTGGAAAGAAAAAGGAAAATAAAATCTGTGAGTGTTCTTACCTTGAGGCTAACAGCTTTTTGCTTCACCTGACTGCTGCCCTCTTTCGCGGCCTTCTGGCTTGCGGCCCTCTTTCTAGACTCTGTATCAGAAAAGTAAAGAGAATCTGATTGTTAAATATCAATATCCAATAAAGACGAATGTGATTTTGTCTGATTAGTATAACAGCATGAAAAGAAGCTCTTTGGTTTCGATGTACCAGTATAATGATAAAATACATGTAAGGATGCCAAGTTATAAGATGGTGTTAGTAAGTACTGCTCTATAGATGATTTTTTTTTTTTTTTTTTTTTTTTAATAATTTTTTTTTTATATTCCGGGTAATCATTTTTTATTACAAATGACAAAAAATTACATTTTTATCATAACAAACTGCTAAATTACCATCTTAAAATTATTTACATGATTCTCAAGTGATAATTTCAAATCATTCACATAACTAGGACAGCAGTTTAGAATAGTTACATGAAAGTGAAGTGTGATAATACTTATAAAATGAAAATGAAGCCATACCCTTGTCAAAATATATGATTACTTGGCAAAACTACATTACTTTGCAGATTTGAACACACAAAATAATAAAGTGGCTAGCAAATTTGGTTCAGATCCAGGTTTATTTCCAGATGCCTCATTATTAAATTATGAATAAAATTATAGATTTAGTATCATAAGCTTTTTGACCTTCTTCCCCCCCCCCCACCCACCCTCTTTTCTTGTATACAAGACTAAGATTTCATGTGCATGTGTTACAAATGCTGAAACCAATATTTGTTTAACAGCTGGAAACATTGTTTTAACAGTGTACACCATTCAGAAAATTAAAAATTATTAGAATAAACATTAGTATGCAGACAACATTTTAAAGAGTATTTTTTCAACAAAACAATGATACATAAATATTTCATTTCATATATATAACAAGTCATGAAGTAGATGAAGATGTCTGAAAACACGCAACTGTCAGCAAGCGGGATACTTTTTTTCTTTGAAGGTATACTTACTCGGCAGATTACACCTGTTATTTGTTAGGGGGAAATCGGATTAATTACATAATTTTACTGTGCTACAAATCACCAATCACTTATTTGAAGAAATCAATACCAGATAATTCTCCAAATACTTTCATCTCAATTCATCACATCTACATCCAGCACCAGCACTCATGAAACAGAAACTATACAACACAAGAGGGTTTGGGGTGCTAATTAGGAAAGTGTTACAGAAACACACAAAACTAATATTAGCTACATTTTTTCCATGACGGATACGTGTGAGCAAACACTACAACTATTCCAGTTTGATCTGTTATCTGCAGATAGATTGGGGCTTACTTGCACATCTTTTATTGTCATTACAGTGATGACAATTACCGCCATTGAATTTGTTCTGCTCTCATTGGTCAATATTTTATTCACTCCTTACATTTTGTGTTAATAAATTTGTATGAATTAAAAAAACTGGGTATTATATGAATTTATTGCAAAATTTAGTTTAAGCCCAGCTCTCTTCTTACTGCACTACACATGATAAACATAACAAAATATGCTTTAAAATTTTACATGAATAATCATCATGAATGCCTTGTCACATTCACCCAAGTTCTAGCTGGAAAAGTCTGATTTTAATTCAGTGTAATTTTCTTTGTCCAATATCGTCCTTTGAACTTATTCATTTTTTCCTCTTCATGAAAATACAGGAAAGATACACATTGTAGGCCTAGAGTCACAATGTTTTTTTTTTCTTTAATACAACAGCCAAATCACTTGAATTCCCTCAACCTAAACCAAATTAAAATAAACATAAGACAGATATAGAAATACATGAAATAAGGTGCACTTAAATGAATAACATTTGTAAACCATGAGGAAAAGTGAAAATTTATCTATGATCAATCCCGACCTCTTAATTTTGTTCACAAAACTGAACACAAAAAAGATAAACTATAATAAGTAAAATACTGTATTATTCAATCCACTTCCCTCCTCCTTATATAATTAAGCACTTCATGTGTGAATTCAACCCAAATAATTTTTTTTAAATTCAAAGTTTGACATTTTTCCTCACCACAATATAATTCATTTTTTGTTTTTGTTTTTCCTGTTGCAATTTGCAAAATTCTGCTACTTCAACCCAAGAAATTATTTCCAATATGGAAGCATGATGCAAGCAGCAACTGGAATATGGGGGATAAGGTTCGTTTTCCTTGTACCATTGTGTGTACAATCACTATCATATCTGTATTTCCTAAACTTGAGGAGCAAATCCACTAATTACCATACAACAGTATCATAAGACATTTTGCTTAGTATGAAATTGCCAATGAATTCTACCATCACGCTGGCAATAAATACAATTCATTTCTGTATATACAATAGCAACCCTCTATTAAAATATTAAGGGGAGAAAATAAATGGGTGTGAGTGATGAATGAAAAAGAGGAAAAAGATAGGTTTGGCCGCCACAAAAAAAAATTGATTGCATGCAAAATCAGCAAAAGTCTAGCAAAAGGCCACAGAATATGAACCAGTACAACATGCAAAGAAAACAAGTTATCATCTGTGCCCTGTTTCATAACAACTTGTTATCAATAACAAATTCGAAATTTCTATGGTAATTTTGATGTCGGCCAACCAAATGGCCACAATTTCAGTAGAACAGTTTTTGTAACTTGTTATTGATAGGAAGTTTTATGAAACAAGGCCCTGTTTTAGAGCCAAAAGGACATACACCTGTAGCTGATAAGTTACATGATTCAACACACTTCTGGCTCAAAAGTCAAAACTTACATTATAATCTACATACTACAAATGCATACATGCCAACATTTGAAAATCAGAAATCTGTACAAATTATGCTATTTTCAAAAAAAAGAGGAACAATCCTAACTCTATTCAATACTATAGACAAATTTGTACAGGAAGAGGAACACCTGCATTAAAATGATAATTATCTTCTCCCAAAAAGAGGAATGTTCCTCTTTAATCTGAACAGTTGGCATGTATGCAAATGTACTTTGATGTTTGACAGATTTACTGGGTCTATGTTTCTGCCTAACATCTTGGACCATGTAAATTATACTTTGGAACTACTGTATAACAAAATGTTACAAAATTTGGTCTAAAGTAAATGTTTATTTTAATCAAAATCTTTTCTTCTTTTCTATTCTAGTTTCATTATAATTGTGTAATTGTGAGAATGTAATATAATATCATATCAAAGCAAGTAGAAATATTTTCTCTTCCTTTACAGACCCATTTGAATAATGCATACAGAAAAGTATGATGCGAGTATTGCAATGAAAGAAGTAAAGTACTATTTCTAACCCTCACATCCCATGCAAAGGCTGCAATGCCTTTTGATTAATTGATTTACAGAAAATGTCCATGACTATAAATTAAACAAGAAGGAAACAAAAGGGTTTGAATATACTATCCCAGCGATCTAATTGCTTTCATTGTGAATGATAGTGATGATTCAATATGAATAGCATAACAATTTGTAAACCATGCAAATCTTTGTTATGCTAATTGATGGCTTACTTGAGTAGTAAAAAGCAGACAGTTTGATCACATGGGACATAAACACATGTATTAACCACTGTAAATGTAGAACTCAGAAAGTAACACACACACATAATTATACACACGCTAAAGTAAAGTTGAATTCACAAGAAACACAAAACAAATACCTGTAGATCTGTATAAATACTTAATTAATTCAAAAATCTTCAGAATTGGTTCAGAGAGAAGGCTGACAAGTAATTTTCAATGCGTACTATATGTTAATCAATCACACTTTACCATACATGTATGTACATATATATATGGTGCATATTATTAGTGAATCTTCATTTTTGCTTTCATCATTGTCCTCATATAAGATATCATCTAGTATTGAGGTCATTTTCGATTCAATTCAATTCATTTATTTTTGATTATATATTGATGGTTTGGACCCAAACAGTGCACCATCTACTATCCTTTTTTTTGTAACCTTTTTTTTTTGTCGAGGCATGTTTTGACATTATTTAAAATTTCAAAAATGCCAGAAAAACAAACAAAACACCTTTTGCGTTGATTGGCAAGAGGCATAATTACTACTTTTTGTTTGAAATTCAATGCCCACTTCAAATGTCTACTTTTTTCCGGCTCTTTTTCCCTTTCCTTTCTCTTTTGCCAATTCTTAAAGTGTTTTTACCTTCACACATCTGAAGAGTAGAAGTAGATACTTACGAAATGTTTGTTCTCATGATTACATATTTGACTACCGGTACTTTAATATACACACAAAATATATGCACCAATTTAAAAAAGGTAATCAATAAACAAATTCAAGCATCTACATATGAATAACTGATGACCAAAGATGAAGAACTATGCACACATACATAAATGTTCCATGACAAGTAATTTACTACTTTTTGTCAAAGGCCCATAAAAATCCTTTTAAAACAAGTTGGAATTGAATAGCTGAAGTAGGGAATAATCAAATATCTCCCGGGGGAAAACATAATATTTTTTGAGATAAATGTTTCCATGTCATTGCAGAATACCAAACTGATTACTGAGTTTGTAAAATAGCCACAAAGACATGAAGTTACACAATATTTAATAATGGTAACATTCCCATATCAGATTTTTGGTTGAATGCAGAATTTAGTGGAAGATGGCAAGTGCAGCATATGAAATGTTACTATTTATGCTAATCATGAGGATTACAATAATACATCTAATAATAATAATGATAATGATACAACTAATAACAATAATAATAACATACAATAACAAATTTCAACATTTGAATTTAAAAAAATTATTATTATTTAAAATAATTAAAAGGGGAAATAATATTCAAGCCTCTAGACCCCAAATCAAAAAGAAAATTGTGCTTTAAAAATACTAGTTTAAAATGTTATTAGCTTTATATATATATATATATATAATAAATGAAGGAGGTAAGTGGTTTTAAGTTTTAAAGAAAATAAGTTATCTCAATAATTCCGACAATGACAGTAAATACAAATTTTTGTAACCTCTAATTCATCCACCACTATTTGATTCACCATATCATGTATGCTTCAAA